GCCCTCAACTTCCAACCTTGCGCTAAGACCTCCTCGCAAGACCGTTATGCAGTCCAGCAGATACATATTCAGGGACGCGTCTGGACCCTGTCTGCGGTTTTTGATGGTAGGCGCAGTTTTTGACAATGCTTGTCATTGTGTCGTTACCGGGAATTATTCACAGGTCACCTCGGCAGCCATACCGTCGAGCATGTGGCTCATCACATGCCCATCATTGTGCGGGAACACTTGGAGTTGATCACTCAGAAACACGGTGACCGTGTTGTACCACCGCCTTTAATTGCGGACATGTTTGCGATGGCCATTCGCGCTTTCGATGACGCCATCGCTAATGACGTCCTGGAACTTTTCCCGGGCGGTTTGTCATCTCTGTCTCGCTTGTCGGACTTGCAGATCCAGGAAGTTCTTGATGATCAACTTTCAGGAGGACAAAATTACACGAAGGCAAGGCTGTGCTTGTATGGTACTACTGCGCTCGTAGCTCTTGTTGACCCTGATCATCAAAATCTATGGCTCGCCAACCTAGGTGACTGCCAAGGACGTACGTAGAGCATGACAATACTATTTGTCGTGACGGCTAACGTTTTGATTCAAGTGATGGTCTCAGAGACTGATCAGAAAGCATGGAATGTCGAGGTTTTAACGCGATCTCATAATGGAGAAAATCCGCTCGAGGTTCAACGCGTCATAAATGAGCACCCTGGTGAGCCAGAGTGTATTTTGGATGGTCGTGTGCTTGGAGCTATTGCACCCTTTCGATGCATGTTACATTCAGATTTTCAGATTTCACTATTCGCTGACATGCTCGATTGAACAGGTCTAGGAGACACCCCCTTCAAACAACCACCCGAGTTCACTCGACGTATCCTCTACAATCTATACCCTGGTCAGCATGACACATCTCCTTGGGAAGAATTTCTCATGAGGAACCACACGCCTCCATATATTTCATCCACGCCGGAAGTCACGCATTATCCCCTTGATCCATCGCCCCGAGCTCATCGCAGATACCTTATTCTCTGCTCAGATGGGTTCACGGACATATGCGGCACAAACCAACATGTAATTGTTGATCGGTGGGCCCGTGCGGCCGCATGCAGTAGCTCAAGAGAGCTAGATGAAAAAAGTCTGGCCCTCCGACTGCTTTGGCAAGCGCTTGGTAATGATCCGACGAGCGTATCTCGTGTTCTGACTTTGAACATGGACTCACCTTGGTTAGATGATGTGTCTATTGTTGTACAGTGTTTATAATATTTGTATTATATGGCGATAGTCTGAAGAACATACTTATTCTACTTTAACATGCTTGCTAACCCACATATGGAATTGTTGTGGTCGACTAGTGTATTTGCAATTGTTTACTGTTGACAAATAAGGACAATTAACGGTTCCTTCTGAACACCGGGCTGCCGTGAAGGACGCGGAGACCATATGCCTCTCTCCTCATACATCATTGTATTGCCTTAGGGAGACTGATGGCGAAGCCACTTCAATCCTCTGCGTCTACCGATTCCTCCGACCTGTTCGGCCCTGACGATCCAGAGTTCCTTGAAGCTCTCAGGAACGCGGTGCTACCCGGAGATCAAATCACAGCTCCCTCAGCTGACACAGAGTCACTGAGTCGCAAGCGTCATCGTGATGAAAGTGACGAGCAGCAAGTTGAGACGACCTCACACGGGACCTTGACCCATAGACTCCGTGACACCGAGGATGATCCCGAGATCTATGGCGCATCTCGTTTTGGACATTTTGGAGAATACATGCATCGCAAGCGCGCCAAACTCCAGATACAGAATGCAGACATAGGCGTTGGCACTACAACAAAAATATTTAGCGGTCTTTCAATATACGTGCGCATCTCCGCTGTCATCCCAGGAACGCAGGGCCTTGACTTTGATCGCAGATTAACGGGTGGACGAATCCTTCAGTTCAAGATCTGCGTCAGTTGATAGTGGCGCACGGGGGTGTGTTTCAACCTTACCTGGATAAGAAATCATTAGTGTCTGCACCTTCCTTATCAATCCAGTCATTTCACAGAGATTCATCGCCCCTTATACAGGACCCATATCATCACTTGCTCACTGACAGCTGCGAAGATCAAAGAATGGAAGCACATGAAGATTGTGAGACCTGATTGGTTGGTGGATAGTGCCGCTGCAGGAACCTTAATGCCCTGGAGGAATTACATTTTCAAACCTGAGGCCAGGGTCGAGCAACATCAAGGAGCGCACACGCCTCAAAGTTATCTGTCTACGGATTCACGTACAGCAGCATGCTCTGGTATGCGTAAGCATCAACAGCCACCATCAAATAACCAGGTTTCTGCGGCAACGCCTGATTCCAGCATGACAGGTATTGCCGCCCCTGAGGCTGGTGACCCCGCGTCTTATTCACCCCGACCGCTGCATGTTACAGATCCTGGCACATACAAAGACTCTGCACGCATCCCTGGATACGCCGCTCATACATCGAACCCGCTAGCAGAGCGCGTGATGGCTAATCCTGAATGGAGAGCCGCACATACCTCCGTGGCACCGGATTTCATAGAAGGTTTTTACAAACACTCACGACTGCACTACCTGTCCACATGGAAGGCTGAGCTGAAAAATTTGGTTCAACAAGCCCAAGAAGAAGTTGAAAATGGGTTGATACATGAGTCTATAGGCGACCTTCAGGACATGGCTAAGAGTAGTGATGCCAACATGAGCGGGGCACAGCTCGCGACGAGGTCTCCATCAAAAAGAAAAGGAAAGGGAAAAGCCCCGGGTTTGAAGCGTGTTATCATGCACTGCGACTTTGATTGCTTTTTCGTTTCCGTCGGCCTTCTGAGTCACCCTGAGTTGCGAGGCAAACCGGTTGTCGTTTGTCACTCGCAAGGGAGCACAGGGGGTGCATCGAGTACAAGTGAAATAGCAAGCTCAAGTTACGAAGCCAGGTCATTTGGGATCAAAAACGGAATGAGGTATGCTACATACATTTCACGTGTTGACTTGTGAGTAATAGCTATCTTCAGCCTTCAGCAAGGACGGAGATTATGCCCTGATCTTATGACTATGCCTTACGAATTTGAGAAGTATGTATTTGTCTTTTCATTCACTACACTCACCCAACACGAGATCAGATATAAACAGCTGTCGTTGCGTTTCTACACTATTTTAATGCGTCATGCGGATGATATCCAGGCTGTCTCCGTCGATGAGGCTTTAATTGAGGTTACCACGAGTATTTCCCGATGTGCTCTCCGGCCGTCTTCCCTAGCATTTGTGGATGATCCCGCAAGGTCCCTTGCAGAACAGATACGGTCCGAGGTCAGAGAAGGAACAGGTTGCGAAGGTACTTCACATCAATGTGCCCATCGTCACTTATTGACACAAGCCACAGTTAGCATTGGTATTGCGGAGAACATACAGCTTGCTCGCATTGCGACACGTAAGGCCAAGCCTGCAGGATCATTCCATCTGAAACTAGAAGATGTACAAGAGGTTCTAGCGCCGTTAGATATCGATGACCTTCACGGCTTCGGACATTCTACGCGCCACAAAGCGAACGAGAAGCTCGGAGCCACAAATCTCGGCGAACTCACTAAGAAAACCAAAGCCGCATTGTGCGATGCGCTTGGCAAGACTACTGGCGAAACTCTGTACAATGCGATCCGTGGCATCGATGAACGAAAACTCGAGTCTGACAAACCGAGGAAGTCTGTCTCATGCGATATCAACGTGAGTTGCTGATAAGTAGTTTGGTTTATGTAGTCACTGAGCTCTGAGTCTAACCTAGTATGGCATACGTTTTGAAAACGACGGCCAAGCCAAGGCATTCATCTACCAGATGGCCGAAGAAGTTTCCCGGAGATTGAACGCTATCGACATGTCTGGACGTTCTTTAACACTGAAAATTATGAAACGCGATCCAAGTGCACCTGTTGAGGGACCTAAGGTATCCAGGATTGTAGACCTTATTCAAACCAGGTGCTGATGAATGTTCACTGTTTAGTTCATGGGACACGGTATCTGCGAGACGTTCAGCAAGCAAACTCTATTAAGCAGCGCAAATGGCAGGGCTACAAGCGATCCAAAGGATATCGGTGACCACGCATGGGCACTATTGGATTCCTGGGGATTCGATCCAAAAGAGCTGCGCGGAATAGGCATTCAGGTACAGAAGCTAGATATGCTGTCGGCATCTGACATCACCGATCCTGGGCAAGTGAAGCTGCCCTTCCACGCTAGAAGCTCCAAGACAACTATACAGGAGAACACCGAACAAGATGTTCTCCCAGTGCCTAGGATTATCACTGAACCCCCTTCGCAAGATGATCCACTCCAGAATGAGAATGAGGCCGGTCCTTCACGTCCATTGCCTACATTGGACCTTCCCTCTTTCTCCCAGGTCGACAAGGACGTCTTCAATGCGTTACCAGACGACGTCAAGAAGGAACTAGAGGTCGAATATCAACGCAGATCACGTTCGCCAATGCCGGCGGAACAACCCTCTCATGACGTCCGACCGACAATCTTAGTCAAAGGCGTCAACGTCAAAAGAATCACTCAACAGCTTGCACCGAAGAACAGAACGAGTGTATCCCCCCGTAAAAACACGCTCTTTGCAAAACGTGATGTCCCATCGTACATGCGTGTATCTGACGCAGAGCTCCGAAAACTTGATATCGACCCAGATGTGTTTGCTGCCTTACCTTTGGATTTGCAGCGTGAGCAGGTGATCATGGCTCGACATGCGAGAAGTGGAAATCTCTTTCAAGAACGCAAGATCATCAAGGCTTCTAGTCGCGCGCCATCTGCACCTTATCGCAAGAAACCCCCTCCTCAGGCTAAGCACCCGGAGCCTCCTCTTTTGAAGCAGCAGGGCAAGCAGCCAGGGGAGAAATTGTACTTCGCGGAAACTGGAGATGTTCAGACTGTCATCGAGTCATGGGTCAAGGGATTCACAGAATATCCTCCGAAGCAAAAAGACGTTGACTACTTCAGCAAATTTTTGGTGCGGAACGTAGAATCGGCTGATACAGGCATGGAAAAAACCATTGGTGTAATGAAGTGGTGGCTTATCCTCTTGAGGAGGAATTGGGAGGTGTATGAACGCGCGAGCGGCGCAGAGGAGAATCACGATGGAAGATCGACTGCGGAGAGCATCGGGAAAGCTTGGTGGAAAGCATTCTGGGAAGTGAAGGCCAAAGTCGATACTGCTGCCAGAAGACGCTTTGGTGGTTCATTATCTCTCAAATGATGATTTGATCTAATACAGAGTAATTTATGGTTCTTCAGCAACTTCCTTGGTCCCAGAAGCTAAGAAGATCTGGACAGGGTATCCATCTCTCTTCGCCTTGCAGGCTGTCACAAATGAAAAGTTAACCAATCCAGCACCTTCAAATACGGCTTTGATGTCTGCCTCCTCAAATCCACCCTTGTGCGCAACAAGATTCGACTTGAGTGATCCGGTGGGAAACAACGCCTGCACAGATTCTGCAGAAGATAACTTCATTAAATCTGTGACCAAAAGCGAACCCCCTGGTTTCAGGTATGATGCAAGAGCCTTCGTGACATCTTCGATAGAGGGGAAATGGTGATACGCCGATGCACACTAGAATTCGTCAAGGTGAGAGCGTGGGACATTGCAGGCGGAGACGTACCACAACCACATCAAACTTCATTCCATCCAGCTGATTTGGGGCTTCAGTAGTAAGGTCACAGCACACAGCCCTCATCTCCTCGGGTGGTATACCCTGATTAAAAGAGCTCTGATTGTACTGGTCGACCATGGTCTGGCTGATGTCCACGCCCACGATGCATTTGGCATGCGCAGCGAGTTGTCTGGAGATCAAACCTGGAGTACGACGGACAAATTCACAAGAGCGCTACAAAACCCTTCGTATACATGACTGACCTGTACCACAAGCATAGTCTAGAACCAACGTCGAGTCCTCCTCGAATGGATAGGCGTTGATCATGGCTGCTCCAAGGCGCCGAGCTAGCTCATGTCCGTCGGGATGATCATTGTACTGATGACCATGCTCATTGAAATAATTCTTGTTATGTTCCTTGAAATTGTGTTGCTCCTCATGGACTTGGGAAGAGCCATGGGGGTTGGGAGAGCCATGACCATGTTCAGCCATCGTGCGAGCGCTTATGTTCGATTCAGGTTTTCGATATTTGAGTTTCCACCCTCAGCACAGCCTATTGTATGGGCACTAGGAGCTGCGCCACTGCTGCGACCGACTAGTGTCGCAGCACCTTGTCGCGGGCGTCACGGGCACCATATCACCGCAGCACTATCAGAAAACTGGTGAGTCTCCCCAGGGTGCTTCACGTTGATTGCGGTGGTTTTCCGACGTTATATATGGCTTTATATTCCAATATAACGAAAACATTTTCTATATATGATCCAGACTCCTAGTTGTAACGGTTCAGTCTGACTATGCGTCAATTTGAGATTAATATTGTGAGAATTTATTGACGTAGTCAGACTGGTCGAACTCAGTGACAATGCGAGGAGTTTGAAATTTGGCAGATGCCGGTATGCCGCTTTGGGTAACATTACTTGTCAACAATGCAAACTCTTTCGTTCGTACTGTGAAAAGTACAGTATCCTCTCAAATACAACAGTACATCGCGCTGGAGCACTAATCATTGATTAGGACAATCAAAATTATTCCATTTCATGCATTATACCTACCTGTGATAATGTATCAGCAGCCTGAACCTTTGGCTTGCATCAGGAAAATGTTAGCTTACTTAATCTTACTTATTTCGACCTTTTTACTCCTTTTCCTACTTGTCTCAAATGGACCTACTTATTTCTTTTAAATCAACAACTGCTCCAAATTTGAGTATTCCAATATGTTTATTGTACTTAAGAGATATATTTCATAGCATAAAACTATAGCTATTTGCAAATATAATGACATTTCAAAAAAAAAAAAAGTTTTGCGCGATGTGAGGGCTATCACGTGTAGTACTATATGGTAGCGGCAGTAGCTTATATCCGAGTCATTCATACTGCTACTACATCAAAGCATAACGGTAACACTATGCCAGTGCTCAACGATGATCCAGCCTATGATTCAGACGAGCATGATGGCTGTAAGTTTGTTCTGTCTACACGACTAATGGTACTACTCAACTCCGCAGGGGGCATAAGTGGATTCAATGATGGCAAAGGCTTACGGTTCAACGTTGAATTTGTTCCCCTTCAAGACATGGCAGGCACATCAAAACGACGTAAAAATGCGAAACCAAAGGCGATCAACAAAGTTGTATACATTCACGAGGATTTCGACCTGAAAGACATGCTTGTGAAAGTTCTCCATATACTGAAATGACATGATCTCTTGGAACACTCACGGCTGTATAACTTAGGCCGAATACTTCACTCAGATACTACTGACTCGCTTACTGTTACCTACTCAATTCCGAAATCCCGCACAAAGGATATCACACTCGAAGGAGAAGAAGATTATGCAGAGATGGTTGGGCAAGTACAAGGGAAGAAGAGTGCCGAGGGTACATTAATTCTTGTCGAGAACAAGGTAAGATACTGCTCCTTGTACGTTGGTCATAATAGCTCACACTGTGCTGCAGGTGACCATTCAGGAGATACCAAACAGCAACTCACAAGATGCTGATGAATCAAATGACGAGGCAGAGCCACAGAGGCCACAGAAACGAGTGTGTAGTATCTTGAATAGCAACTGCAGTCCACTCAGGCTGATGATGATTAGCAATCTCTGAATGCACTGGATTCAGACGATGACACGCAGCCACAAAAAAAGGCAAAAAGGGTAGATATATGCTACGTATTTTGGTAATTATGACTGACACGAATCAATGATAGCAATCCCAAGTTCGTGAACCAACTGTTGAGGAGCAAGAACAAGATAAGATCATCAAGAATTTACAAGACCACTACCACTGTGAAGATAAAGCTTGCCCATACAATCAATGCTGGCCTGCTGGCATGTCCGTCAATGACCATGTTCATCTGACCTTTCAGCATTTACGCCATTGGGCATCAGCAATAGTTGTTGATTTCTTTTGCAGATTTTTGCTCGTACTAACATTGCCTTTTGAAGCAAGCAAAAATTGATGGAGTCAACATCGACCATCCTCCAAATAGCAAAATGTTTGACCCACCCGCACGCAGGGGATCTAGCTCCTCCAAAGACAATGACATTCTTGCATTGGCTAAACGACGAAGAAATCAAATTACACAAGACTCTAAACTGTCATCGAATATCACTGTCAACTTTTCTGGCCTTGCAGAGCTCCTCAGTACAGCCCACCAAACTCCAGCACCTCAGCCTGATGTTTCTTCTACTGTCCAGCAGCCTTCTCAACCAACTCAAGTCCCGCCTCGTCTTAGCCTTCAAGCCTTCTGTGATTTGTACGATCTCCCACTCTCAGTCTATGATAAACTCAATAGCCATCAAATTACGGGTCCGCATCTCCTTTGCTTGATATCAGATAATCAACTGCGCACAGAGTGTGTGTTGTCAATCGGAGAACTTGCAGCAGTACGGGATGCTGAGGAACGTTGGAAGGAGTCCCACTGATATTCAATTGCTCGCTCGTATGTATTACATTGTCTGATACACGTTCAAATGTAACCAGAATGATGAAAAAAACCCCAAGTCATCTCAGGAGTGATCACCTTGCATGCCTCATACAACTCATAGTACTGCTCCACCTTAGATCCATGAGACAATCCATTGCGACGAAGGTAGTTTTTGATTACTGACCATGCTTGCTCGATAGGGTTGAAGTCAAGAGAATAAGGTGGGAGATACTCGACATGACACCCTTCAAACGAGTCAGCCTGAGCCTAGTACCAAAGGAGTCACATAAAGATCGAAACCACATACCATAACCCTCGATTAGGTCAACCACTTCTTGGGAGTGGTGAATAGTAGCATTATCGAGGACAATGACACTGAGAGGTGCAGGATAAGGGTTCGTGCAGGGAAGCTTGAAGCACATTTAGCTTGCCATGACTTGGAGTAGGTCACAACTCACCAAATCATCATGCAAAAACTGTAAAAAAAGTTCACATGTGAAGCTCCCTTCAACAACTTGTGTTGCAATAAAACCCTCGTCCAATGCCATAGCCCCAAGCACTGAGAATTGTTCCTTCCGAACAAATGGGTGGTGCTTCTCCACACGCTCACCACGACAAGCCCGACCCCACATGTGTGCATATGTCCTATTGTCCTTTGAAACTTCATCGAGAGTGATCAAATAGTGTGCTGGATATTGACTGATACGACGGATGAATGCTGCACGCTTGAGGGGATTCCTTTCGGATGCGAGTTTCTGAACATGCTTGATATTCAGTCCTGCACGTGTCAGAGTGTGTTGAATGGTTGCAAGTGATGCGGGAAGGTGACGATATTCGGCAAGACGACGATTGTACTCGTCCAAGAAGAGGGTGGGTTTATGACGTGCTAGTTGGATGAGGTACTGGCAGTCCATATGGATAAGCTTGTGTGGACGGCCATGTCCAATTGCAGGTGCTTTTGCAACATCTCCGGTTAGGCGCTGGTGTTGTTGAGCACGACAAAGAGTAGAGAGTGAGATAGTAGTAATACGACAGATTTCATCATCAGAGTCATGTCCGCGATCTCTAAGGTGTATGGCAGCCCTCTTCAGATCATCACTGATACGTCTGTTGACCATGATGAGACATCAAACTTAGCTCGAGCGTTTGATAGAACAATGCGCACAGATTCATACAATAGTCTCACGCTACACGAAGCCTTCGGAATGTTTTTTTTTGCGTGCGTCATTATATATGCAAATTGCAATAATACTTGGTTTTTTAAAAAAAAATCAAGTTTCTGTCCTATCGAGAGTATACTCTATGCAGGACATTACATTCTAGTCTACAGGACACCAGTGTCCTTTACGTGCCTCCCAATTCATGAATGCCCTGATGTGAGGTGTGCCCCCATCAGTCCACCGTTCCTGCCAGCCATTTTAGACATGCAATTGGTTTGAAGATGAGACGACTTTGTTGTGGTTACTATGGTGTATGGGTCCGTGTGGATGTAAGCTAACACATACTCGGCCTGCTGATGCAGGCAGGTACAGGAATCAGGTGGTATGCAGTAAGAGATATATGTAGGGCTGGGTGGGGTCTATGGTCCAGGGTGACGGGACCTTCTCTTGCTGACTGATGACTGGGCTGTGGATTCCTTGTAAATGAGTGAATGAGGAGTTATGAGGGGGTAGCATATGGTGGCATAGGTGCACATATTTTCATGTTTATGGATCTGAGGCGTTGTTTCTATCAGTTTTGCGTTTATTAAGAGTAGGGATTTCTAGGGTATACCCCTGGGTGCCGGAGGTCATACCCATACCCGTACCCATAGATATACCCATACCCCAATAGTGGGTACAGTTTTTGTGACGGGTATGAGGGTATGAGGCCTGGGGTATGACCCATCAAGGGTATACCTGTGGGTACAAGTAGAATAATGCAGTGAACTATGACATGGTGTAGTAGTACCTATCCTACTCAATGATAATGCGGTCCCAGCCTTCATCGAGCTCCTCTTCATCATCTTTAACATCAGGCAAAGAAGTCACCTTCAAAACATCCTCGTTCTTGATTAAGTTGAGTTTGCTCCATAAACCAAGGCAAAGAAGAGCGCGCGTTGACTGAGCCATGAGCCGTGAGCAAACATGAGAAAGCAAAAGCTGACCTCAGCTGAATAGCCATTCAACATCCACTGAAGTTGCTATCTAATAATTAGGGCACTGAATAACCATAAGAGTGACAGAGCTTACCGGGGATAGTCAAATAATCCAGAGCCATGTGGGAGAGACGAGGAAAGGAGCCACGACGTTCATGCCACCATGTGATTGCATTGTCGGCACACTCCACGTCAGTACTAAGGTAACGATCTACTTCGTCATGGAGGTCAGCAGATTTGGGTGGTGCAAGAGCTGGTATATGATCAAAGATATTCTTGCTCTAGGAAAAACATGACATTAGCGAGTGAAAAAACAATGAAATAGAGTGTACCATGGAAGAATCAACATCCATTGAGCCAGCAGGCTCCTCATCCATCTCGGTGTCTGCGTCATTCTCGATGTCCAGGATTGAGTAAGAGCATTCAAATTCCTTGTGCACCAGGGTTTCGGCAGTGTTGATCCACTCTTCTGTCCATCCAGTGTTCTTGAAGTATGATAGTTTATGCCGTGGATGCAAAACTATTTTATGATTAGTGAAGGAAGCAAGAAAGTGAAAAGAAAACACGCACCCATTGCTATACGATATACTTTGGATTTATCGGTAAGCTCGTAGTAGCGGTTCAGAGTTTTCTTGGTGAGACGCACAGCTGCACGAATAGAGGCACAATATTTCTGGTTCAGGGAATAACTTGTGAGTGTCTCATGGATTAGGTCCATGGCAGGAATCACAGTGGCCAATAGTGATGTTCCTGCCCAGCTTGGGCTCAAAGCCCCAGCTTAGGCTCAGCCTGGGGGGGCTTAGGCTCACCAGATTTCAAGCCTGAGCCATGAGCCCAAGCCAGCCCAAAGCCGGGGCTTAGGCCCATGCAAGCTGCAGCCCACATGCTGAATCAATGTCTGGACTCCACCATGCCATTCCCAACACCATAAACACCATGCGCAAATGCCCAGCACACATCAGCAACTGCTGACATGGCTCAGACGAATACGGACGATGGACGAGATCAGGAGAAGGGAAGACAAGGAGAAGAATGAGAATGAGAGTTAGTTGTATGACATACCACGATGACCTTCAATGTGAGATTGAATGTGCTATACGCTTCCCAGACCGCCCCAGTGCATTTATCGTTGTAATAGACATTGCCGGCAGCGTTGTGTAGCTTGTTTGTGGTGTTCAGGAGGGCCTTGCGCTCTGCGGCACAGCTGGAAAAGAAGTTGTCAGTCAACACATATTGCAGAGACATTGCAACTTACATGGTGTTGTCAATGAGTTCCAGAGTCTGCTCATAATCTGACACGGCACACCCACACATGCAACTGGCTTGAACTTTGTGAGGTTGACGGCACCTCTGCCTGTGAGCATGTCTTTGCGCACATGGAATTACTTGATGTGCACGAGGATGAGCGTGCTGCTGTGCTCACCTGTGACCGGGTGGGTAATATCTATCGATTTGTAGAGCTATTGAGAGGCGAGAATGTCAGCGAACAAGCGAGCTTGGTGTGAAATGAATTTACCTCACATTCCATGCTAAAAGCACTTTTGATGATGTTCATGGCGAATCCTTGGCTGTTCTTCAGGTTCGCGGTCATGTCTTTGAGGGTGCCCGTAGCATTGTGGTTGATGGCGAATGAGATGGCGGGCGGGTAGTTCGTGACCTATGGGGTGAAGTTATTAGACCATTAAAGGGACACATTTTTTGTTGCATTGCTCACTGTGTTGAACCAACTGGTGGATGCAAGCCAGGTAGTAAGCATGTAGATTCTAGAATATGTTAGATTATGGAAATGTGCACCTGGCCCGCATGACCACTGACGTGACAAGGCATCATATCTCTATGTCTGTCATATCCCGCGTTCCGGACCCGGACCTATCACACTCATCATTTCCGGATTTCCGGATCCGGCCGACTTCTATGTATCGTCCGGATCCGACCCGCGTCTAACTTCCGTGCCTTATCCCTTTGGTATTTCCCTTATCAACTAGTGATAGTCGTCCCATATGTTTTCTTCATAGCTTTACATAGCTTCACACTGCACTTACTGTTCTCCGTTATGTCCTCAGTAGTATATAAACCCCTGTACAATCTCTGTAGTTTCCTTAGTTTGAATATCATCTTAGACTCTGCTCATTCCCTCCTCCGTCCGACTTGAGTTTCTCTCTCGTCGACCTCCGCTCGTCTGTCATATCCCGTATTCCGGACCTACATCCGACAATATTCCCACGCCTCATCCGGACCTTCGGACACCCTATTCATGTCTCCAGTCCTCTATCCATCCGGATCCCTGCACCCCTGCACATCCACATCCACATCCACATACATTTACCTCCATACCTCAATCCACGCATCTCATCCGGATGTCCGGTCCGGTCCGGTCCGATCCGATCCGATATACGATAAGCTTCCTAATTCAATTCCTGTGCATATAACGTTAACACAGCCTATTCCTCTATTCGGTATTCCTTGTCCTCGGTATCTCGGTTATACTTACTACCGGTATGCTTACTGATCCGTTAACCTATGCTTCATTTCCGACTCGCGCTTGATAACTTTGCTTATGCTTCATACATAGCCTCGGACACTTGCTTACTGATCTTTCCGTTATTTCCTTAGTATATAAACTCTTGTATATATCCTGTAGTTCCTCAGTCTGAATATCATATTAGTCCTCGCACTAGATCTCACTCTAAGTCCTCACATCAGTTCTAGTCTATCGACTTAGTCAATATCCATCTCGGGCCTAGGGAGAAATTCCCTAGGCCAGAGCTCCGCTTATCCGCTCATCCGATCCTCCGAAGTTTCCGGACGTTCGTCCGAAACTTTCCCGCGGTCCTCCGGACCTATTCTGCTTCGGACTTTGTCCTTGCAGCCTTTCCTCTGTTTGCTTCTACTTAGGACTTGTCATAAGTAGCCATTACACGTATCCGTATCAGGACGAAACCTCATCGTAATTTCCAGAAGTTCCTCCGGAACTTTCCCGCACTCGTCCGGAAGTTACTTGCACTCGTCCAGAAAGTCCTTCCGAACTTTCCCGCGCTTCGGACGTCCTTCGGACATCATTCTGAAATTAAGGGCACATACTCGGGTAAGGGGCGCAGCGCACGAGCTGAAGCCAAGCCCCTCAGAATCAGTCCTACCCTTTGTGCACGGTCTTAACATCGTCTTAGGATCGACTCCTATAGACTTGTCACCTCCGCCTCTACCTCTGGTAGTCCTCCGCTGTTTCCTTTCTAGTTCGGACTTCGTCCGGATTAGTCTTATCTCTTGTTCCCGAATGTCCGCCGGAATTCCCGCGCATCAGACATCGGACTCCGGACATCGCCCGACGCCCTCCGGACATCGTCCGGTAACCATCGGACATCGTTCGACAACCCTCGGAAGTTAGGGGCACGTACTCGGGTAAGGGGCGCAGTGCACGAGCTGAAGCCAAGCCCTTCGGATCCGACCCTTGAGCACGTTCTTAACAATGTCCCAAAGCCGCAGCTTGGGCCGCCGGCTTAGGCTTTTCTAAATCCAAGCCCAGGCCTAAGCCCTGCTCAGGCCTGGGCTGGGCCCGGCCTATTTGGGCCCAGCTTGGGCCGGCCCAGGGCTTCAAGCTGGGCCTTGCACATCACTAGTGGCCAAGTTAGGCGTGGAGCGAGAGAAGAATGTAGTTGCGTCTTTGAGAATCTATAATGTAAACCTAAACAAATACCTTTAGCACATCACAAAGCTGCTGCACTATCTCCCATTCGACATCGGTGAGTTCAAACTTGCGCAAACCTAAGCCTCAGCTTTGTGTTACAACATTGATTGCATCCCGATGGTCCAGCGCATATTTCAACATGTCGAAGGTCGAATTCCACCGGGTAGTGACGTCCCATGGCATATTACTAATGGACTGGCCAGATGCATGCAGTGCTTTGTGCCATGTGGGGAAAAGTACAGTAGTCGAGTGAATGAGTTTGTAAGCAAGCTTGTGCAGCTAGATTCTGGCATGTCAATTTCAAAGGTGCACATTGTCTTTTTTCACTCACCTTCACTAATACTAACTTTACGGGACGAATCTCTCGCTGCAGCTCATTCCTCTCCCACTCTGGCAGCAAACTTACTTTGTCCACCCATCCCTCATCATTATCGTCATCCCCAGCACCCCCATATTCTTCAGGAATCACATCTTCAGTTTCAGCACTCACCTCATTGAAATCATCCTCTGGCTCAGATATTTCCTCCTCAAGCGCCTGATTGGTGTCTTTCTTCGTCATGTTGAATTCCCTTATCAACGACTTAGCAATGAGGTTCACCGTATGCAAGAAACATCGAGTATGATTTGGGGCTCCAAGAAATGATGGGAGCATCTTGGCCAGCTTTTCAACCATCACCGTGTTATTCGAGGCATTATCGCATGTGATGCTGAGTATCTGAATGTGCATCCTGCTGGTGAGTGACAATCCTCAACCCAACAATTGACTAACTTTCTCCGATATCCCATACTCCAGAATGTCTGCAAATGTTTGTGCGAGTTCCTCTTCTGTGTGCGACTGTGATTCAATCAGCCAAACAATTTGTAAATACATTGTAAGTGACTATGCACCTTTGCGACCTCAATAATATCTAATGGCAATGTTAGTGGCTTGCCGTTGAGTTTGAGGTGGACCGAAACTGCAACAAATGCTCTGTGGTTGGGCGATGTCCAGCCATCAGTAGTAAAATTGACTTTTCCTGGGTATCCCTGGTATGTGCATGTTATTTTGTATGTTTTTGACTTCAGGGAAAACTTACCTTAATCATCCTAGCTATCTGCTCTCGTGTCCATGCAAAAACCATTTGAACATCCCTAGCGACAGTAGAAGGAGACGGTATGTAGTATTCTGGCCGTCCTGTCTTCATGAGTGACTGAAACCCTTTGTCTTCGACGATTTCGAATGGACACAGGCTTTCGGAGACCCAACAGACAAGTTCAGCCCTATCAATTGAGTCAGAAGGTACTCTTGATGCAATCAAGGGCCACGTACTTTGTCTCAGCTTGTGTGTGCTGACGATGAGAGTAAGTCACCTTTCCTTTGCCCTTGCGTTCAAACGAGGCCGTAATTGACCCATTGTGCAGGAAGCTGCTGACAATTTTTTTGCGAACTTCATTAGCATTTTTGGCCTGGTTGGCGGCTTGCAAAACATCCTCTCTCCAACATGCTCGAACATGTTTTCGCATGTTTCCAGTGGCACGGGCATCACCCTTATCCAGAAAACATTCAACTCCTGCCTTACATCCTTTTGCCTGACATTTGAATTCATGTGCCTGCCATCCTCCAATTTCAACAATGTTTGGTGTTGAATGAAAGAAGGCATAGACCGGTGAGACCCACTCTCGCATGAGATGTTCAAATGATGTTGCATTAGATTAATGTTGATTTACAGATTTATTAATGTACTCAATTCATCTTGTAGATCCTGTTCTTTCTCTCCACTTTGTGATTCCTTGTCACTCTCTTTTGGGTCAACATCACTTCTGTCTGCATACAAAGCTTCTTCCTCCTCCTCCATGTGAACGACTGCACAATGACTTTTGTCAGTCGGAGGGGGGGTTGGTGTAACAGATGTTACTGGTATTGGTGATGTTGATGGCAGCAACACTGTCATTCCGGGGGAGTGGTATCAGCAGGTCGGTTGGTTTTTGCCTTCTTTGGCAGAGGATTAATGGTTTCTCCACTCGCTTCAGATTTACATTTCTTTGATGAGGTCCGCATGGTCTTCTATTTCAAAGCAGCCTTTGCTTTGCCTGTCATCTTACTTATCCATCTCGCTGTCGCAGCAAAGAAGTTGGATTGTGACATGGTGAGGGATGGATGAAGTTGAGGGCGAAAATTTGGATGCAGGGTAGTTACTAGTGAGGTAGTATTATATGATATGTGAATTTCCTTACCTCAAGGCTTGTAAAATGTGTTGCAGCCTTATTACATGTCCTTACATATTTACTATATTTCCTATCCCTTCTTATTCCGAGTGGGATTCTAGACAGTATAAGTTGCCTATACTTTGGGCTACTTACTACACTTCCCTCGTGCTGTATACCTCACCCATTAGGCTGACAAGGACAACAGAGTTTGATTCAGTACATTTATAGCTACTATTATCCTACTAATGAATGCCCTTAACATGTACCTACACAAAACAAACCACTAGCAGTCATACCTGTATCTAGACTACATATACCTAATATAAGATAGAACATTATGCTAATAGTAATTGAGGAGGTAATAAGGGATGAGGTGATAATGCTGAGAATTGGCAAGATAGTTTTTGAACATAGCATGTATGTCTTAGAATCATTATTTGTGATAAGCCAACTTGCCAAATTATTACATGTCCTGCCACATGCAAAACCACACTTGTCAGTTAGCTCCATGCTTCCTATGACTGTGGAGGAATGCTACATGATAGAATGTCTATTAATCTCCAAACAGTGCCTATTTAAGAAGTCAGCTTGGTTGAGCTCTACAGGAAACTATCTATGGGGCCTAGATGCTGGGCTTTTATTTCACTAGAACCATGAGAATTGTAATGAAGGAAATTTCAATTATGATGAAGATAAATTTGAAGTATCATGCTTTCTGACTTTTGAAACAGTCATAGTTAATAATCAGCTTAGCATAGGTCAGATTTTAGTGATAGCAATAATGTTCATTCATATAGGAGTCTTCAGTAGTTAAGTTCAAGTACTCTGCTAACCCATGTAATTAACTGTAAAGTGCTTGACAGCATGAATCATAACTCTTCACTAGATATTGGCTAAGACTAGTAAAAGTAAGGTTGTTATGTTCATAAGCTGGGCAGATATGCATATTTAGAGAGTGGGGCAAGCTGAAAACTAGTACAGACACCTGATGAGACAAGAAGACACTAGGAAATTTTTCTTATTTCTATTATAATACCATAGTAGCCTCATTGAGATCTCATTGGCAAATCTTATGTACATTCCAGAACAAGTAACCTAGAAAAAGTTTAGAGTAGTTTCTATTACTTGGTCTATATGAGTAGTACTCACAATAAATTCTGTTTCTTTTGTTCCTCCTGCTGCTCCCACTCCTGTTTTTCCTGTTTTTTTTCTGCTCTTTCCACTGCTGCTGCTGCTGCTGCTTCTCCTTCTACACCTCTAAATGCTGACTTGGACACCACCATAGGCATTGTTCCTGATCTTGATGATAACAACTTATATTCTGCTACTTTCTGTGCCCCTCTTGGCAATGCATTAGACCACTTAGATGATGACTATATGGATACTGGTGCCCTACATCCTACTTATAACCTTAACAGCCCTCTAAAGTTTGCCAGGAAAAAATGACAACTCCCATTATCACTATCTCCTCATTCTAACCTTCCTATCTCTTTCACAATTACCCAGAAGTCACCTATTTTTTTCTATAATAGTTATGCAGCATTCAGCACTCAGATGCCCTCTAGCTACAATACAGACCATCATCACTAGGGATGACTCATAGCTTGTCAATGCCTTTATTAACGACTCACAATATTTTATTATCAGATTTTCCTACTTCTCTGACCTTCCAGACTTCAATATCAGCACAAACGAAGACTATAGGATTGAAGAAGAAAAAGCAAAATCAGACATTCAGGAGCAGGTCGAGAGGGTCAATGATGAGATTGGGAGTATTTAATCTAATGTCACATTATACCATAACCTCAAGCATGAACACTTCTTTATGAAGCTTGATGTGAAGAAGGACTACCATCACGAGACAAAGAAGTATGAGTATCTTTGTGAGGCATACACATATAAAACCATATAAGCCACCGCCAGCCATCAATAAGAGCAGGAGACCAAGAATGCTAAAATTTGCCTTCATAAGATGGATGTTCAAGTGCACAAGGCCTAGACCCTAGCACTTAATAAGGAGGCAGAGATGTAGTATCTAAAGATTCAATTTTATCAGATGATATAGAGTGATAGTGATACTTCTGCATCTGATGGCTGACATGTTTGCTGTTGTTGTTCCTCTTACTATCATGCTGTCTGCTAGCAGCTTATTTTTGTATTATTGTTGCTGTTTTCTGCTGTCACATTTTTTGCTGTTATTGCTATCTGACTTATGAATTTTTGCTGTTACTTGTAAGATTGATGTTACATGTGTTATACAAGATGTACTACTAGTAGTACATGTATCATTGGTGAATGTAAACATGATGCTTATTCATCCCTACATTATGCTTTTAATCTAGGGCTGTCAAAAAGCTCATTCGTGAGCCTTGCACAAGTATCCTGGCTAGGGGTTCCCTCATATGACCTGTCACCTATTGTTTCATTACCCTCTGGATCCTCAATCTCTTGAAAGACAAAAGCTTCACTCTCTGTACAAGCCCACTCCAGAGACTCATCATAGTTTTTATCCTGCTTGTGATAATGAGTTTCACAGCAGATAATCATATTGTATAGAATAAGACAACACTTAATCCAATACACAGCAACCTGCAAGTACTTCTTCATCTGAATATTAATGCAGAGCTCTTGGCTGCAAATATGTACTTAATACATACATGGATCTTTAAATTCATAAAAAAAAATACAGCAAAAAAAGAAAAATACCTTAGAAAGATGATAATTAAATGTCCTCTGGTTTTTTGTTAGTTGTCCATTGTGAGGCTTCTTAAAAGGGGGATACACCATGGCTCCAATGGATATGCACTGTCTGCCCAAACCCAGTAATCATCTGGGAGAAGGTTAACATGCTCTTCATAGAGGCAAGTGAATTGAAAAACATATGGGGCATAATAATTGTCTAGAATTAAATTAAATTGTTGTCTATGAAAAATCAATAAAAACACATTGCTTGACAGCTAAGGAAATACTTGGATTTCCTATCATAAAATGTCTTATCAAAATAAGCAGGTTTGATGAAAAGATCCATAGTTGAGCCATCAATGACTAGATAGCCACCCCTCCACTCCAGACAGGTTCGTGTCTCAGCAAACCACCAAGCCAGCTCAGCATCCTTAGAGTCATCTTCTGGGAAGAAGATAAACTGATCATGCTCCTCAAGTAATGTGATCATCACACAATTAGTGCAATTGACAACTGACCCAACACTCATACCTACCCATTGTGCAACATCCTCAAGTGAAATGGCATTGTCATAGTGGCCTGCATGATTTAGAAAAATAGCAAGCTGATTGGAGACAGAGAGCTGAGGATTATTGGACTGGTTATAGAAGATAGGATGATCAGAGATCTGGTCACACTGCAGGCATTTTCCCATTTTTCTCCACCAAACATCCAAAAAACATTAGTTGAGAGGATAGAAAATTTCCCTCATTTTTCCTGTCAAAACATTGAAAAAAGTAATTCATGTATCAATGATGTTCTGTGTGTGGGACATGATGCAAAAATTGGTCATGTTCCTTCAAGGATAATGCTGTATTTTCCATGTATTGTCTTTGAAATACCAGCTTAAAATAATGTTAATTTTCTTCTCTGTATTTTTCAAATATACACAGAACATTTTAAAAACATAGTATATTTGAAAAACACAGAGAAGAAAATAAACATTATTTTAAGCTGTTATTTCAAAGACAATACATGGAAAATACAGCATTATCCTTGAAGGAACATGACCAATTTTTGCATCATGTCCCACACACAGAACATCATTGATACATGAATTACTTTTTTCAATGTTTTGACAGGAAAAATGGGGGAAATTTTCTATCCTCTCAATCAATGTTTTTTGAATGTTTGGTGGAGGAAAATGGGAAAATGTCTGCAGTGTGAAGGATATTGTCAAATGTTTCTGGATTGACATGCAGTTTCTAGTGAAACAAATCAGGCTGGTGTAGCACTCAGGTTGGCACTGGGCACGTATCCTGCTAATTCCTTCTGATAACTCACATTGCATTCCTCGACACTCTTTTGACCTTCCAAAAGCTCTGTGTGTTCTTCCAAGTCGTCTGAAGGTCGTCTGTCCATTTCTGAGGCTTGTTCTCACTTGCAATCCACCATACTATCATATCCCATATTCCAGACCTACATCTGACAATGTTCCCACACCTCATCCGGACCTTCAGACACCCTATCCATATCTTCAGTCCTCTATCTGTCTGGATCCCTGCACCTCTGCACATCCACATTCGCACATCCACATCCAGATCCCTTTACCTCCATACATCAGACCTCTATACCTCTGCAGCTAGCCTGCATCATTCATCCTTTGTCCCATCACCCTAATGTCATATCTCATATATCCACACTTCTCATCCAGACCTCCAATCTGATCTGATCTGATCCAATGTATGAATCCGCTTCCGGTCCGATATACGATAAGCTTCTTAATTCATTTCCTGTGCATATAATGTTAACACAGCCTATTCCTTTATTTGGTATTCCTTGTTCTCAGCATCTCATTTATACTTACTACTGGTATGCTTACTGATCCGTTAACCTATGCTTCATTTCTGACTTGCGCTTGATAAACTTTGCTTATGCTTCATACATAGCCTTGGACTCTTGCTTACTGATCTTTCCATTATTTCCTATATAAACTCTTGTATATGTCCTGTAGTTCCTCAGTCTGAATATCATATTAGTTCTTGCACCAGTCTTCACACTAAGTCCTCATAACTAGTTCCTTCCTTGTTAGCATCCACCTTAGGCCTAGGGAGGAATTCCCTAGGCTGAAGCTCCACTCCTCTGCTCCTAAACTCCTCTAAGTTTCCGGAAGTTACTTGCACTCATCCAGAAAGTCCTTCTGAACTTTCCCGCGCTTTGGATGTCTTTGGACTTTCTATAGACATCATTCTGAAATTAAGGGCACATACTCAGGTAAGGGGCGCAGCGCACGAGCTGAAGCCAAGCCCCTCGGATCTAGTCCTACCCTTTGTGCACGGTCTTAACACATACCATGTCCTGTCTGTGTCTGTTTGACTTCGCTGGTGTGTTTTCACTTTGTTTCTCTAAGTATTGAATATGTCATAGGTTGTCAGCCTGTCAGGTACTCGACTAATATGTATAGCAGCACACCTCATGCATTATTACATGCATATCTATGTAGCAGCTCACCTCAAGTCTTATTATATTTTGGATAACTTAACTTGCTACTACTTTCACCTATGCAGTTTCTAGACTTTCACACTGTAGGATATAATCTGGCTCACTAACTACCTTGCACTTCACTTCACTTCCCTTGCTAGGAGTCATAGTTAGTAGAGTCACTTTCAGATATTCTCACTTCGTGCAATCAATCTTTTGTTTATTCAGAATGATTGTTTGGCCTAACTGCTGCCATTTTCACATCTTGATATCTTTGAGTCCTTTTCGATAGGCTTTGCTTCAGTACTCTCACAAGTCTTATACTTTGACATACCTGCTGTATTCTCTCCTGGAAACCTCACTGTTTCGTTGGAAGCTTTTCGGACGCTTTGCACAACCTCAGACCTTTGTTTATCAACTTTGGACCACCTTTGCTCACATTGGACAAGTACTCCGGTACTTTGGATATATCTTTGGAACTTCAAATATACCTTGTGTGACTTTTCCTTCTCTCATCCTTGATATTGATAGACCTTCCTTGCACTTATAGTTTAAGAGGTAGTTCTATAGGCAGTCTCTTTGGGATAACTTACAATCGCACTCTGAGTTTTGAGGTGATCACTTTCTAAAGTGCCTACACAGGATCTACTCTTTACACTGGTGTTCCTCATGGTAAACCAGCATATGTAGCTGAGGTGCTCGAGGAGGAAGCTCATTAGACTTGTGGAATACATACACCCTCTCAACCTCATCACTAAGAGCAACAATTGTATGCTGGAGCTGGTCGTAATGCATAGCAACATCATCTGAGTCATCAGATTGGTCACTATGGCTGGAAATATCTAAACTGAGGTCCAAAAGATAGGACATGGGGGACATGGGGGATATAGGGGATAGGGAGGAAAAAGCCATATCTTCATCATCTGAAATATAAAGCAAGTCCAAGTCTAAATTGGTATTAGAGTCTGAGTCTGAGCCCTGGCCATCTAAGAGTATATTCAAATATTGTGAGTTGGCTAATGCCAGTGAAGCCTAATCAATAGTACAAAGGAGGTCTTCACATGTGGACTGAGGAGGCATGGTTGTGACTTGTAGTATGTTCTCTTATCAGTACACTTGATAAGTGGAGTTTAAATCTCCACCACAGTTAGTGCCAGATGTCGTTATTGGTATCTACATCCTCCATGCATTCTACAGCTTAAATCTTACCCTCCCCTTGCACCTTCTAGCACAATCTTACAGGTGGATAGTGGGGAGGGATGGCATGGTGCTGGATGGGAGGTTAAGGACACAAATGTGAGTCATTTTTTTTGCATCTGTGCTCCTGCCCTCTTATGCTACTGCCATTTTTTTCAATGTTTTGATAGGAAAAATGTAGAAAAATTTCTATCTTTTCAATCAATGTTTTTTAGATGTTTGGTGGAGGAAAATGGAGAAATGCCTGCAGTGAGTACCATGGGCGCATGACCCACTGGACACCACATCACCATTCACACCTCCAACACCACCAATGCCAATAACCATCACATTGTGTTCAATGCCACTAACACCATGCGCAATGCCCAATGCACGCCAGCAAGTGCTGATATGGTACAAATGCTCATAGATGACACCAGGATGTCAAAGATGAGAAGAGGATGAGAGGAGGAGGGAAAGAGGAGAGGAGAGAGAAAAGGAGAAGAGTTAGAGTCAAGCAGAGAGAATTGATGAGAAAGGACGGACCTGGAGGACAAATGGAAGACAAATGACGATGTGACCACCTCCAGCAATGATACTACCATGCTAATGTTGGTTAAGGACCCACCTGTCAACATTCGAGTGTGTTCAGCCTCATTTCCACCCTCGACATGCAAATACCACTCCCAAGGTGTGCAAACAGACACCAGTATTTCCAACTTGTGCATAACCAATTCCACTCACACAATGACTATCTCCTTCACTATCACACATTTCTTTTTTGTTGCATCTTGCTCATTAAATACCTAGCTACATCTATATATTTTTGTGTAGCATATATACCTCAAAATTTTAACCAAGTGTTGTTTCCAAGTTTACTCTGATGCTGTATGTGCTGTGTGTTTTAGTGGCTTTTGACCGAGTTTGTTGAAGATTTTAGCAAGTTTGTTTAAGACTTTAGTGAGTTTTTTGAAGTGTTCAAAATTTATCGTGAGTACTACTATGGTTCTTGAGAGGTTCTACTACTATGTTGCTGGTTACAGATAATAGGTCCTGGTTGAGAATATGGACTATCTCCCTATAGATGCTATAATACATCTTTGTCAGTGAAGTGGCAGAAATGATTTTGCCATTGAAAGTGAATTTAGGGTACCCTCAACATATGGTGTAGTAGAGGCAAGAATATTGTCGGATGCCACAGAACGGAGTTCACTTGCCTGGCTTGATCTAATGTAGCATAAAGTCTATAAACACTCTATCAATGTATCATAATTAGTTATAGTAATGGTGTCAGATATTTGCAACCTTATTGATATGGGTCTGGTGCCTTTAGAAACTCTGTTAATGTGGAAAACAAGGTGGTATACATTATCCTAGCAAGCTGTGGAGAAATGAGATAAGAAGGGAAGAAGCATTCTTAATTATCAGTGCTGGTAGAGATGACAAAACCATTTATTAGAGAGTGGAGGGAGCCTAGAGAATGAGTGTCAGAATGGATGGTAAAATTTGATAAGACAAAAGTGTGATAGGTTGTCAGAAGTTTTTTCAGTACCTATGCACACTGTAGCACTCAGGTTGGCGTTGGTCATGTATCCTGCCAAACTCATAGGTGTCTCACATTATACTCCTCGGCACTCCTCTTGCCTTCTGAGAGTTTCATGCGCTCATCCAGGTCATCTGAAGGGTGTCCGTCCCCTTCCAAGGCCTGTATACACTTCTGATCCTCCATACCATGTCCCGTCCGTGTCTGTTTGACTTTGCTGGTGCAATTTCACTTGGTTTATCTGTTATTGATTATGTCTTAGGGGTACATACATTGTTGGCCCGCCGAAAGCTAGTTCAATATGTATAGCTGTGTGCCTCATGCACTATTACATGCATATCTCTGTAGTGGCTCGCCTTGAGTCTTATTACATTTCAGATAGCTTATCTTACTACTGTTCTCGCCTATGCAGTTTCCGGACCTTCACGCTGTAGGATATAATCTGACTCACTAACTACTCGCACTTCACTTTCCTTGCTATGAGTCATAGTCTGTAGAGTCACTTTCGGATAGTCATACTTCACATAATCAATCTTTGTTCATTCACATAGTCGTACTTCGGTACCCTCGCAAGTCTTACACTTCAACATACTTCAACATACCCGCTGTATTCCACTCTCGGAACCTTCACTGTTCACCGGAAGCTCTTGGGACACTTCACACAACCTTGGACCTTTGTTTCTTGACTTCAGACCACCTTCGCTCGCATCGGACAAGTACTTAGGTACTTCGGATGTATCTTCAGAACCCAGAACACACTTTGGGTAACCTTTCTTTTTCTCATCTTTGATCTTAACAAGATATCCCTTGCATTTTATATCAAGAGATAGTTCTATAGGCAGTCTCTTTGGGATGAGCAATACACTCACACATTGAGTTCTAAGGCAAACACTATTTGTAGCGCTATCAACTCTTTACAACACCATCTCTGATCCTGGTTTAATACTATCAAAAAAGGAGCTAGATCATTAGAAGTAAGTTGTCACAACCCAATAAAGAATTAATGCTGGGCGTCCCTAACGGGCGAAGACTAGGACTCAAATGCAAAGATAATCAAACAAACAAGTAGAATTGAGCAGGTACATCCGGGCTGGTACACAATGTACAGACAAGAGGTTTGAACTAAAGAACTACCAACTACAACTAGCTACCTATATACATATATTAAGTCGGAGACTGAAACTGAGTTCAAACTAACTACCAATCAAATAATAGGAAACAGTATCATATGATTCTATATATAATCCTATGATGTCATAACACGCGCCACAGCAACCAACAGGTTCTGGAACATCATATCAAATTCACGTGGTATAAAGTTTAGTCCGGCATATTCCGATAAGTCACATGACTCTACCACATGCTCGTTGGGTAACTCTACAATAGACACAACCACAGGTGCATCTTCTACCGTAAATACATTATTGGGAACAGGCGCCTTCTCAGAGCGCTTAAATGACTTAGAGTTCAGAAAAGAATAATGATTCGTGTGAGGTACTCGTGACATAAGTTCGGAGTTGACAAAATTCTAATATGTGATTTATAATATATCAGTTATATAGAGAGAGTGATAACTGTCTAGCTCTCCATCACTAAGTTTCCTCTCTATTTTTCCCTTAATTCATTGTCTTGTATTTGTATCAAGCATGTAACCTTTGTTTATTTCTGATTGTTTATATTTATTTGGCTTCTTTCAGTCATTAGATTTTATTTGTTAGCACACCATGTGACTGGGAAATATTCTGGTTTGTAATATTATTTAAGCTGACTCAACATGTTTAGTCATGGTTGGTCATGCTTTGTAAGGATTATATCATATTTATAATGTATATTAGTGTTAAGACCATGCACAAAGGGTAGGACTGATTCTGAGGGGCTTGGCTTCAGCTCGTGCACTGCGCCCCTTACCCGAGTATGTGCCCTTAATTTCAGAATGATGTCTGAAGGACGTCCGAAGCGCGGGAAAGTTCGGAAGGACTTTCCGGATGAGTGCAAGTAGCTTCTGGACAAGTGTGGGAAAGTTCCGGAGGAACTTCTGGAAATTACAATGAGGTTTCGTCCTGATACAGATACGTGTAATGGCTATTTAGGATAAGTCTTAAGTAGAAGTAAATAGAGGAAATGCTGTAAGGATAAAGTCCGAAGCAGAATAGGTCTGGAGGACCGCGGGAAAGTTTCGGATGAACATCCGGAAACTTCGGAGGATCGGATGAGCGGATAAGCAGATGAGCGGATAAGTGGAACTCTGGCCTAGGGAATTTCTCCCTAGGCCCAAGATGGATATTGACTAAGTCGATAGACTAGAACTGATATGAGGACTTAGAGTGAGATCTAGTGTGAGGACTAATATGATATTCAGACTGAGGAACTACAGGACATATACAAGAGTTTATATACTAAGGAAATAACGGAAAGATCAGTAAGCAAGTGTCCGAGGCTATGTATGAAGCATAAGCAAAGTTATCAAGCGCGAGTCGGAAATGAAGCATAGGTTAACGGATCAGTAAGCATACCGGTAGTAAGTATAACCGAGATACCTAGGACAAGGAATACCGAATAGAGGAATAGGCTGTGTCAACATTATATGCACAGGAAATGAATTAGGAAGCTTATCATATATCGGATTGGACTGGGCCAGACCGGACCGGATGTCCGGACAAGAAGCGTGGATATACGGGATATGATATTAGGGCAATAGGACAAAGGATGAATGATGCAGGCTAGCTGCGGAGGTATGGAGGTGTGATGTATGGAGGTAAAGGGATCTGGACATGGATGCGCGGATGTGGATGTGCAGAGGTGCAGGGATCCGGATGGGTAGAGGACTGGAGACATGGATAGGGCATCCGAAGGTCCGGATGAGGCGTGGGAATATTGTCGGATGTAGGTCCGGAATACAGGATATGACAATTAGTAAAAACTGATTTATCTCACCAAATTACCTGATTCTTAAGCCACATTATTATTCTATTCTAAAGCTATATACTACCTTGTAAGGGTTGACTATATAACTTTCATTATTATTATTATTCTACTCTAGGTCACATACTACATTATAGGGGTTGATTATATAACCATCAAACAACTTTCATACTAAGCTTTATGTATACACATAAGATTCTCCCTTTTAACAGAAAGTGAGCCACTAAGAATGACAAAGTTGAAACATAACCTACTAGGCTGAAACAAACCTAACAAATTATCCAGAATAAGAACATTCTACAACATTTTATATAAGACTACACAAGAAGAGAACAATAAACTAAATCCTCCTAAGAACTCACTATATTACCTACTACAAAAATTGAAAAGTCAGAGACTATAGACTTAAGAAGTCTTTATCATATATAATAGTATTGTCATTATATATGGCTTTCATATAAGACTCTTAAGGAACAAAACACTGTTTTTGGGCCATAGATTATCTCTTTTATCTTCCTCCAAGTCTTCATCAGCAAAGTTCATATCCTGCCAATCTCATATAGGATTAAAATCTTTAAATGACCTAATAGTATCATCCTGATCTTCTCCCTCTTCCTGACTATTAGCATCTCCTAAGTCAAGAATTCATAAGGCCATTACAACTAGCCTATTACAATAAATGTCATAGCTTTTCACTAAGCTGTCCTTCAGCAATACTTGAAATAGATATATTAATAAACTGTTAGTCAATGTAATAAGGCAGGACTAATAAGAAAACTTATATTTAAATACACCAACTAGTTAGAAGTTCTAGAAGATTTAGATTAATATTATCTGCAGACCAAATAGTAATAAAATACTTTCTCTCAAGACCTTTGATTGAGTCCAACTATTCAGCTTTATGCCCACTCTGAGCCTTAATGGCTGATATTACATGTATCCCAGCAATTAAATAACTGTTAGTTGTATGTACCTATTCAGAGTTAGTTAAAAACAGAGACAAATAGCTAAAGTTTATAATATTGACAGTTTATTCATCTATAAAGGCACTATTTATGTATTAAGCTGGGGGTATGGAGTAGAATTTTGAAAAGAGATCTCTTATGCTAATGTTCTGCAGCATAGAGTATACCTTAAAGTACTGGAGTTTGATGAACAGCACCTATACTAAGACAGCCTAGTTATATTTACTAATATATATTTAACTGTACTTATGTAATTTAAAACCATAGTTCAAAATAATTATAATAGTTCCAGCCATACATAGGTACATAAATAACATTTTTAGCTAATGCTAGGCTCTCATAGCCAAGGCAGTGGAGGGAGTGGACACTAAGAAGAGAGTCACTGTGATAGATGAGGGCTATATGGGCTTTAGCTTTTCTCTTACTTTCTCTACTTTAAAAAAAGAGTAGACTTCTTGAGAGTAGACAATAGGTAAGGTCTATAGTTATTAAATACATAACCTACTAAACAGTTCTTCCAAACTACATACTGACATTATTTATAAATAAAAACCTTAAATGTAGATTAAAATTATATTATTACAGACAAACTCTTAAATTCATTAATATAAGTAACTTGATAGAGGGTATCTGTATGGCTCACTTGGGAGGCTGAAGCATCTGCAGAACTAGATAAAATATTAATTAAAGAGCTAGCTTCTGCAATCTATTGCAGCAAGAGACACTCAAACTGCTAATTAGATAGCAGGGGAGTAATGAGTGAAGGAGAGCTAGATGTGTGATAGATGGCATATCTTATGTCTTCATTATTGTCAAATAAATAAGGCAATGCTAGAATTGATAATATTAGGGCCAAGATGTTAATGTCTATGTGATCATATATATTGAATAATATAGTAGTTGCAGGAGCATCATTTAGCAACTGAGTTTGGCCTACTAGACCTCTCATTTTATTTTGTTTAAAATTAAGGTTGTAGTTTCTAGCATATAGAGCTGGAGGACTTACTGTATTTGAAGTAGGTTAAACCATAGGTGCTTTAGATTTAGTAAGACTAGAAAGGTTTGTAGAAGCAAATGTTGATTTTATATATTGTTATAGCTCAGCCTAAGAGAGTAACAGGGTCTTCTAGTAGACTTTTAGCAGTCTAGTTCAGGCCTAAACTACGACATTTGCCCTTTGGGCCATAGTGTGCAAATATATAAACAAACAATTGTTTTTTGTAAAAACAAGCACTCTCTATATCAAAATGGACAGTAATACTGGTCCTTGTAATATAAGATAGGTCATTCTACAATAGTCTTTAAAGTTTTGAAGAAGGCTTTATGATAATTAATTTGCCTGTTTCTTCTTTTCTAAAGTCTAACCTTAGTGTGCTGGATAACTTCTTGGCAGTTTTTGCACATCTATTCAATGATAGATGTCATGAAGACTATGACAAAATGTTTAAAAGAGCTTTACACAGTAGAAGACTTGGTTCAAAGTAAAAAAAAAACTATTAGAGTAATGTACTAGTCAGCCAATTAGAATCATCAATTTTAGAAGTTTAAATGCAATCAATCATTAATGTGCAAAAGCTAGTAGGATACTAGTATGATATATCAGTATATTAGCCCTTATATTCAGGCTGCAAGGTTAAAATTAAGCATAATGCTCACTGGTGAGCAATACAAAAGTTTTGTAAGTTCATCTTTTGGAGCTTTTATGTCAGTAGTGATGCTTAATATATTTACATGGTACTTAATACTGCATATGGCTTGTTTGGATAATATTTTCCCAATTCAGGACAAAATATGTAGGGACTGGCAATTGCACTACTACTATTATACATTAACATATATACACATTAGATATTAAATGAGGTACAAGATATGATCAATAAGGGACCAGAACACAATAAATTACACAACCATGATATAAAGTAGAAGGTACTGAAAATGACATGAGTAATGTGTCAAAAGCAATGTGTCAATAAATGATCCAACCCATAGAGTAAGTGTGGACTCACTTTTGAATAATCCTGGTGACTATTATAAGTATGAATACTAGCTGATGCAATTCAGCAAATCAACATATCAGTGGCATAAGAATCTCTACGATGAACCAGACACAGTTTCTGCACGTCTGAAAGATTGTCTTACTAGGATATGGAAGATAATAAAATCATTAGGCTATGTACAGATAGTGTATATAATATTTGATATTCAATATTCACTGTCATGTGACAATAGCTTGTTCATCTGGATGATCCTGGATCTTTGATGAGCCATTGTCTACACCACCATCAATGCTCACAAACTGTGGCTACAGATGGACAATCTCCATTGCTGTCATCATCTTTTGCTTATCACTTGCATCATTACTCATATATCAACTCTATACTACCAACCTCTTCCTAACTCCATACACCAGTGTCCTATACCATATGTCTGCCTTAACAGGTCATGCCATGGGTTCTTGAGCTCCTTACAGGCCACCCAGACAGAATCAGACACAATCTAGGGGTCAACTTAAAAGTGTATGAAGAACTACTCCAAGCTCTACAGACTAAGAGTCAGTTCAGCAACTTGATGTTGGGGCGTATTTGCCAACATCTGCATCTGGAGCAAAGTGAATTGTGTTGGCATGTTCTCTCAGCCAGGCGGAGCTCAAATATAATTGTACCACTTGTAGACTTCATCCTCGAGGCTCAAGCTCATGAATCTCACTATAGAGTTCCTACCTGAAGTCTTTCCAGAGCTTTGTTCTCAACACAGCATGCCACAGTTTTATCATAAAATCATACAGTATACGGTACTTCTACTCAGCATCCTCATCTATGCCTCTGGCAGTCTTGTAGTGTCTATGTACTCAAGGGACCCAGAACCCTACCATACATTGATGCTATCTGGTGAAGCTTGGGTGGTCAAACTACTCACTGGTCATTCAGAACGCATTCGTTGCAAACTCGGAGTGCATGCCCATGTTTTTGCAAGGCTCATATCAGAACTACGTACCCTCGGATATTCAAATTCTAAGTTTGTCTCCCTTGAGGAGCAACTTGCCATATTCCTATATGCTGCAATTACTGGTCTGTATCAGGCACATTGGAGAAAGGTTTCAGCATTCTAACAAGACAATCTCTTGGTGAGTGTTGTATTTTTGTGGACTGGACTTGTTCATCTCACTACATATCTAGATACTTTTGTAGAATGCTCCTAATTTTCTTGACCCCGCCATTCTATTCAAAGTATGTGCACCTGCCATCAGATGAAGTCATTTCCCAGAGAATTTGCCAGAATCCCAAATTCTGGCCCTTTTTTAAGGACACCATCAGTGCGCTTGATGGGAGTCATATCTAAGCTGCACCCCCTGCACTTGAACATGCTGCCTACTGTGATCGCAAGGGTCTCATCTCTCAAAATTGTTCATTTGCATGTGACTTTGACATAAATTTTACATATGCTCTCACTGGTTGGGAGGGATCCGCCACAGACACTCGTGTTTTTGAGAATGCATATACCAAAGACCTTCATATCTCTGAAGGTAAATATTTTCTCGCTGATGTGGGTTATCTGTTACACTGTGGACTTCTGATCCCCTACCATGGTGTCCGGTATCACCTTGCTGAGTGGGGGCGAGCGAGTGTTAGGTGAGCTTGTATTCTTCTGAACACCATCTCTGAGGTACTAACATCGATGGCAGACCATGCAATAAAGAAGAACTATCCAATCTTCGTCACACCATGGAAAGGAACGTCATCGAACATGTTTTTGGTATCTTAAAACATTGCTTTCACATCCTCATACTCACACCAAGGTATAACTTAGACATTCAAGCACAAATTCCAGCCGCTCTATGTGCGATCCATAATTGTATATGCCTGCATGACCCACAAGAGGGTCCTCTCCTAGATACCAACTCAAATGAGGATCTGGCTGAGGATGAGGCTGAGCCACCTAATACAGTGGTATGTGAGGAAGAAACACCGGACAATGAGATGGGCTATTTGCGCAATTGTATTGCTGAAGGTATGTGGGCTCAATATATGCAGACATTACATGAACGAGGGCTAGCCTATGATGGTGTAGACGAAGAGGACTTGGGATCTGAATTTGATGATGACGAGAGTGTGGACGCAGACAAAGGCACAGACTATGACAATTATATTCACGCATAGATCACACATGTATTACAATCCAATATTACATGATTTTTGACTGACAAAGATGGTGGGACAACAGACAACAATGAAGAAGAAAAAAATGCAAACAATGATGAGAAAGTAGTGAGACAATGACGAGAAAACAGCACAATATAGCCTAGCATACATTGTACAGCTTGGGACAAGATATCAGCATTACATCTACTTTGCCATGTGAGATTGAAGAAGCGCCTTAACATAAGAGCAACGTGCTGCAAGTGGGCTCTGCATGTAAATCTCCATCGGCCGCTCATTGGTTGTGAATATAAGTAGCAACTGGCCCAGCTCCTCTTTGGGTACTCCAGTGTCCTCGGTCTGCATAATAGCCATGGCACAATCAAAGGTTGTCATGGGGGGAGGGGGAGGTGCAGGTGCAGGTTGGGTGTTAAGACCGTGCACAAAGGGTAGGACTGATTCTGAGGGGCTTGGCTTCAGCTCATGCACTGCGCCCCTTACCCGAGTATGTGCCCTTAATTTCAGAATGATGTCCAAAGAAAGTCCAAGGATGTCCAAAGCACATCCAAAGCACGGGAAAGTCCAGAAGGACTTTCCAGATAAGTGCAAGTAACTTCCGGACAAGTGTGGGAAAGTTCCAGAGGAACTCCTGGAAATTACAATGAGGTTTCGTCCTAATATAGATATGTGTATTGGCTACTTAGGACAAGTCCTAAGTAGAAGCAAACAGAGGAAAGGCTGCAAGGACAAAGTCCGAAGCAGAATAGGTCTGGAGGACCGCAGGAAAGTTTTGGATGAACTTCCAGAAACTTCGGAGGATTGGATGAGCGGAGCTCTGGCCTAGGGAATTCTCTCCCTAGGCCTGAGATGGATATTGACTAAGTCGGTAGACTAGAACTGATATGAGGATTTAAAGTGAGATCTAGTGCGAGGACTAATATGATATTCAGACTGAGGAACTACAGGACATATACAAGAGTTTATATACTAAGGAAATAATGGAAAGATCAGTAAGCAAGAGTCTGAGGTGGTAGTAGGTATAACCGAGATACTGAGGACAAGGAATACCAAATAGAGGAATAGGCTGTGTTAACATTATATGCACAGAAATGAATTAGGAAGCTTATCGTATATCAGATCAGATCAGAGGTCCGGACGAGAAGCATGCATATATGGGATATGACATTAGGGCAATAGGACAAAGGATGAATGATGCAGGCTAGCTGCGGAGGTATGGTGGTCTGATGTACGGAGGTAAAGGGATCTGGATGTGGATGTGCAGATGTGGATGTGCAGAGGTGCAGGGATCCAGATGGGTAGAGGACTGGAGACATGGATAGGGCATCCGAAGGTCCGGATGAGGTGTGGGAATATTGTCAGATGTAGGTCTGGAATATGGGATATGACATTGGGCTGCAGTAACAGCATTTTTGAGAATGTCACTGATGCGGTTGATGGAACCTTGCATTCCAACAACTGCAGTGGCAGGTGTGAGTTTCGACGCTTGTGCTGCACTGGTCATCATTGAGACCGAAGTGTCAATGCGGTGTCCAGATTGCGACTTCTTTGCAGCAGGGGGTGCCGATACCAATGTGGTAGATGCCAAGGGACCAGAAAGTGATGGATGAGTAGATACAAATGATTCAACATCAAATGAGTCCTCGTGCATGCATTTCCCAGTGCCAATACTAGACCCAATAGTGAAAGGAGGCACGGTTAGAAAATGGGGGGAGTGAAGTTGGTATTGCAGGGAGTTTCTATAGTGGCAGCAAGAAGATTTGTACTGGCAGCGACGGTTGCGACAGCAGCAGTAATGATATTCTGAGCTCCAGGTCTAGGTCCAGGATCGTCATCGACCAGTACTGGAGCTGCAGCTGCAGCTGGATGAAATGCATGGCTGCCCTGGGCACCAGTGCCATGCGGCAGAATTTCAGCTACCTTGTCATAGAATATCCACCCATTGTTGGCAAATTGCCGCAATGAACTGTGGGTTGTCTGCAAAGCATTAGAATACAATAGGTGACTTTGGACAGGGGGACGTACACTTGATCCAATGTAGCTGTTGAATACCTCCAATGCAGCCTCTCTTTCTATTCCAGCACCTTTGACATTGTCCCAATGAGCTCCTGAGATGTTCCGATAGTTTTGAATTTCCCGATATGTCCCTTTGAGCTAGTATAGGGGTTAGTAGAACAGGACTTAGAGGATTTTGATGCACTCACCAAGTTCCATTTATTTCTACAGCATTTATTTGTCTTTGGAGGGCTTGCAGTTAGTAGATTGGCTGTCACAAGGGCAGTTGCTGCCAAAGTAAAGATAGAACTCTTGAAATTCCTGCTATCCCCAGCCTTGGAGATGTTCTTGAGCAGATGGGCGAGAAGGGCATTGGTCTCTGCTACATTCCACTGTGCCTTTGGTTTACCTGGGGTAGCGGTAGATGTTTTAGTAGCCATAAGGACAGTAGTGAATTGGCCACAGATGGATACGACAGCAACAACTGCTGAATAGAGCACCTTGCGGAGGTGAGGATCAATCCAGTCCATCTTGTGGTGCTGGTCAGTAGGCGAGGAAGGTTTGAGCTCCGCTTGGTTGCCACCTGGCCAAGGGAACGTGCCAATGCAATTCACTTTACTCCAGATGCAGATGTTGGCAAATACGCCCCAACATCGAGTTGTTGAACTGACTCTAATAGATACATTCAATCTTGCAATGGCATTACAGTCGAGGAACAACTGGCCATTTATATATATATGTGTGTGACTGGTCTCTCAATCCACCATATTGGTCAGTGTTTCCAATGGTCCTCTAACATGATCTCAAGGTAAAATATTCCTCTCCAAAACTCTGATCCCATTAGTGTATACTAATTTTTATTATATATGTAGATACTTCAAGTGCATGCTGATGTTCTTCTCAAATACCCTTTCTACTCCTCCCAAGTTAAATTTCCAATGGTTAATTCCCCCATCCCTTTGTTGATACAAAATGACCCTCACTTTTGCTTTTTTGACAAATGTATTGATGCAGTTGATGGTACACACATTCGTGTATTTACAACACTTACTGATCAGGCTTTCATGTGTAACCAGCAGGGTTATATTTCTCAGAATTCCCTTTTTATATGTGATTTTGATTCTTTGTTCATTTATTCACTTTGTGGCTGAGATGGCTCGTCTGCTGATGCATGCTGTAGCACTCAGCCTCACGCTGAGCTCATATTCAGCTAATTCCCAATGCATGTCAAACACCCATTGCACATGAATCACTTCCCAATGTTATCTGACACTTACCTGCTCAATCCAATGTTTATCCACTAACCTGACACTAACCTAATGTAATCTGACGCTAATCTGATGAACCCAATGTTTAGGCTGCATGTTAAGATCGTACTCTCATAGGATCAGATCCAAAGGACTTTGGCCTCAGCTCGTACGCTGTGCCCCTTTCCCAAGTACTGTCCCTTATTTCAGAGACTAATGATAACACGTCTGAAGGTCTGGACGAGTCTCGTAGTTATATCCAGATGACTTCCAGATATCGGAAACATGTATAAGACTAATCCGGACGGATCCGGACTAGAAACAAACAGAGTATAGACTATCCGAAGATAGAGGCGGAGACGTAGACTATCGGAATCGATCTGAAGTCTCAGAGATTGACAAGAGTTGATTAGACTCAAGTCCAGAGGACAGAAAGAGGACAATCTAAGATGATATTCAAACTGAGGTACTACAGGACATATACATGGGTTTATATACTAAGAGGATAACGGAAGGATCAATAAGCAAAGGTCCAAGGCTATGTATGAAGCATATGCAAAGTTTATCAAACGCGAGTCGGAAATGAAGCATAGGTTAACAGATCAGTAATCATACCGGTAATAAGTATAACCGAGACACTGGGAAGAGGAAATACTGAATAGGCTGTGTTTAATGTTATATGAACAGGAAATGAAATAGGAAGCTTATCGGATATCGGATCGGAAGTGGATCTATGCATCAGACCGGACCAGATCTAAGGGTCTGAAGTCCAGAAGAGAAGCATGAATATATGGGATATGACACTGCATCAGACCCAATATTTTCCTGCACACTTGTCCTCCCTATGTCCTGTCCTATCATATCTATCCCCACTAGGTGCGCAGTTATCTGTTTTCACATCACTAACATTGTAGACCATGTTATTACATGTCCACAGTACCACATGTCTTATTACATAGGACATCAGACCCGAAAATTACTGCTACTACTTTTGCCTATAGCACTCTGAAATTCTACATAGATACTATATATTTTGCATACCTCCTACCTACCATTATCTACCTTTCTACCTCTGAGTAGGAGGAGGTTATCCGATATTAGTAGTTCTTTACTGAATTCCGCAATATCATTCCTTTCATTATCCAAAACACTCCAAAAAATCCGACAGCAACCTGACATTTGCTATCCCTGATGTAGGAATACAACACAGAGTGGGGCTATACAAAGATGGCTCCAAACTGATATCTTTATGTTGTGGTCTTGCGCTGCCTAGTCTACTATACTTGGTGAGACAAGTATGTTCAACCCAGGGGTCTACAGTCTGGGAATAGTTTTGGAGGTCAGTGAGTAATGTGGGGTCAATAGTCTGAGTGTGGGAAACAATGTCTGAAGGTATAATTATGATGTCCGATGCAAAAGTATCGGGTCCGATGTTTTCGGGTTATTGGGTTTGGGTTTGGGTTATCGGAAACTAATAGTAATGCGATAGCGAGCATTGGGAAAGCAAGTGGTATGCACAATAATAACAATGATGGATATGGGTGGTGAAGGAATGATGCTCGCAATGTCAACTAAGAACTACGGAATATCAGGTTTGACCCTTAAGCATTGGAGAACGGCTCTCCTCTACTTGGATGATGATGATGCTATGGGGAGTCCAATATTTATGTAGATACATAGAAATCCAGAATCCTATAGGTGAAAGTAGTAGCGCAATATTTTTGGACCTGATGTCCTATGTAATAAGACATGAGGTGCTGTGGACATGTAATAATGTGGTCTACAATGTTAACAATGTGAAAACAAGTAACTATGCACCTAGTGGGGCTAGTGCAATGAGACAGGACATAGGTAGGACGAGTGCGCACACTATCCGATAGGCTGATGCGAAACCTGATGTGAAGTCCAATGTCCGATGTCTGATGTTTTTTGGGTATTGAGTCGGATATGATATGGAGTGATTTGGGTAATGATTAGCATTGATACATGCATCAGAAAATAGACCTCTATGAGGCCACAAGGACTTCAAGTCCTACACCGATATTCACTAACTTTCTGACGCATTCCTGATGCAACCCGATACAACCCAACATAACCCAACCCAAAAAACATCAGACCCAATGTTTTTACCTTCAGACATTGTTTCCTGTGCTCAGACTATCTTCCTTTTTGTATAACTAATTATTCTAATACCAGATAGCAAAACCCTCTGGTTGAACACACTTGTCTTGCAAGTATAGCAGACTAGGTTGTGCTAGACCACAACAATTTTATTTGGCTGAGTGCTTACTGTGTGTTGTGTTCAGCCATTATTGTTTCATTACAACACCAACACGACCTGCAGATACCAGGAGGAAGATACCTGCTTGCAGATGCAGGGTTTGGCACCTGTAACTTGTTATTGGTTCCATATCGGGGTGTGCACTATCACCTCAAAGAATGATATCAGGCATCTCTCACATCAGTTTTTTCTTTCATTTGTTATCTTGCATTTGACATGTATTCAAGCCCACAGAACACTAAAGAACTTTTCAACCTCAGCCATGCTTCACTGTGCAATGATCAAACATATATTTGGGGTGGTAAAACACCAATGGTGCATCTTACAACTCCCTCCAGAGTACACCATGGATATCCAGGTGTGCTTATCATTGGCCCTTTGTGCTTTGTACAATTTCATCTGTCATCACAATCCCAATTTTGGTCAAGATTTTGACTTAGATGGTGAGATATTAGATGTCACTGGTGATGATGACATGGATGATGGTGTACACTGGTTGCCTGAGGAATTGCAGGGGAATCTGGCTGATGGGTCAGCAGATGGTAGAGAGAGGAGAAGAGTGGATCAGTGTTATGATGAAATAGTGGCTGCCATGTGGGTAGATGACTTAGAAGAGTGGGCTCAGCATGGACTTGCAGTACTGGTGACCTGCACCAAACTGGTTCAGTGCATGGACAACTAATACTCTCCCACGAGTCTTATACCCCAGAATATCACTATGAAACTCTTTTCCTTTTTATCTGAAGTCAGACTGAGGCCAAGGGAATATTTTTCACCTTTTTTGTTTTTCAAGTTGTATGCAAGTGGACTGAATATTTTAGTACATTTAATTTTGTGATGAGTTTTGCTTAGTCAGCCATGGTGATGACCCAGACAAAATCCCATGCATGTCAGGTGACTGTGAAAAATATTTCTCGCATATGTTGTCCTGGGAAAACATTATTAAAACCCTAAATACTAGGCTCGCGTCAGTTTCACCCATCAGACTACAGAAAAACAAAGAAAAGACAGACACACAAAGGATTCACATCATGTGATATTTCTCACTCCCTTTTCTGGATTTGTCATCAGGAGCTGGATAGGTCACATGACTAGCAACAAGCCAGGATGACTCAGCCATATACCCAATGACTCATTATGACTAGAAATGACTCTTGAATATACTAGTAGCACAGCCACATTTATTGTGTATATAATGACCCCAGTTTTTGAAATAATGTGAAAGGCCGCTCGTGGCAGAGCCCACTACGGTCGATTTTACTCTTGTCTGTTATGCTGAATCAGAGTGGTCTCTTTTCAACGACCTATTGTTTATTGTATGCCTCAGTTCTATATTCTATTGCAATGTCTTAGTTTTGTATTGTCTTGCAGCTGCTTGGCTTCTGTGACTGATGGTAGCAGTGGACAGCGTCAGTCTTCGACTTTAAGTGTCAGCCCGATAAACATGGTGGTGCGACTCTCACGCTTCATTTTGCTTACCTCACCTCGTCTTTTTCCTTGTTTTTCATTTTTCTTCTTGATGTCTTATGCTACTTGAGCGTCCCACCTGCAGATGATGGCCTTGGCGACTTGTGGTTCTTTAGACGTTGAGCTTATATTCTTATGCCTCTGTTTTGGTTTACTTTGGGCACCTTTTCTCCCTGGCCTGACATGCCTCCAGGAGGCCAATCCTTGCATCACAGCTCAACAGCTGTCTCCTGTAGATGGTTTGTCTTATTTTGACATTCTGCTCAATACTTGCATCCAATAGGAGTATCTTGGCTGTCTACATTCATGGTTAAGGGAGATTGAGGTACGTAAAGATAGATTCATCAGGTGTTAAACATATATCATAGACACAGACCCAGACAAGTCCCGAGAAGGATGTGAGCGCTAACCACTTCTGCCTCAGGCGGAGGCAGCTCTGGTTGTACAAGCACCTGCCTCAGGCGGGTGCTTGTATGTCCATGTTTGTATAGGTGGAGCTCATACTGGGTGCTCCATGCTGTGCATGTTTGCTTGGCTTTCTCCGCCCAACTCTTGTTTTTTTGACACACATGAGTCTTGCCCTGTGATGCAGCCATATTTTCTGTGGCTATGTCAGGAGCTGTCTGTGATGAACACTGATGCAATGTTCCTGCATTGTCAGCTGCACCTTGTGAGCCCATTGCCAATATTTCGAATGACCATAATTTCTGTTTATTTTGAAAAGGTCTTTGGTGCTCCTGTTGCTGCAACCTTGCAGTGACCTTTGTGCCCGTACTTAACAGTCATACTCGTAACCTGTACCTGCAATCTATTGATTTTGAACACTGTGACTTTGCCTTCCTGCAACAGACCTGGTATGCAGTGTCTAAGATGGAAATCATCAGGTGCCTCACAGCTATTACTTTGTCTCTACGTCTGAATTATAATTCCAGGTATTGATGTCAGTGTTGCTCTTCATTGGTGCAACACATGTAATTGTGCATGAACTACTTTTACTCCCTGACTGACGAGTCACAATGCGAATTGATTGCAAGACTACTCAGACATCAAGTGCTACAAATATAAGTACAAGTCAACGAGCCACAAACCAGACCAGTGAGAAGAAGGCAAGTGTTACAATGAGATGGAGGCCAACTGTAGCAGGCCCAATTTTCGCTGAGAAAGTCAAAATGCATAACAAGCTAGAAGACTATGTTCTTAATACAAAGATTTGTACAGATTGACTCAGACAAGCTGTGAGATGAAGCCTAAGCAAGTACTATGAAAATAAAGTGAATGGTGGCACTGAAACTTTTGAACCAGGAAAACATGAATCAGATCAGGCGCGTTGTGAAACAGAGGAAGCTCTCAGTCTGTCTTTTCTTTACCTTTTCCACTTTTGTGCCTCTGTGCGTTTGCGTGTTTGGATTTCTTGGTGGGACCGATGTAGAAACAACAATACTGAGAGGAACAAACAATGCTCCAAACTGTATCTATAATGTTGTGAGGTCGTGCATTGCCTAGTCTGCTATACTTGAGAAGACAAGTGTGTTCAACCCTAAAGGGGAAGCGAGTGCAGCAAAGATCTAGAAGTAGACGCTGAAGGCGCTACTGGTCGCCCAATGCAAAGCACGGGAAAGCGCAGGTGTGCGTAAGGCACAGGAAAGCGAAGGTGCGTGCAAGGCGCGGGAAGCACGCACGCGCGTGAGCAGTAATGAGAGAGAGTAAGAGTGAGTTTGCTTAAGTGATGATATGATAGTAGACAAGAGATGTGAGCACGAGGTGCCAAGGAATAGATTGCAACTATATTCTGCTAGGTAGTAAGTGGGTAAGTGGGAGGTAAAGTCCCGTTGGTAGGTAATGCTGGCGCGTATATGGCGCCTAAGCGCTGTCATGCGGAGCCGAATTGCTACCGAGTAAGGTATGTAAAGATATATGTATGTATGTAAGGGTCCATGATATAAATAAAGGTGGAATGATATGCAAATAAGGGAAATGGAAATACACGCACTAGAGAGCTTGGTGGACAGTGGATGGATGCTTCCGGAAGGCTGGCGCTATAGGGCGATCAAGCACAGGAAAGCGCGCGTGCATATACATCGTAAAGCGCGGGAAGTCGTGCGCGCATGCTGCGCATTGCGCGGGAAAGCTGCGCCTCGTATAGGAATAGCTGTGGATAGCACACAGAGTGATGCTACAAGTTCGTGCTATGTACTCCCTAGTGAATACTGCCATATCATGCAATGAGAGGCATGAGTCTCTACACCGAGATCGAAAGTCGAGAAACCTGCAATGGCCAAATCATCTTTCGACAACTCAATGGAGGTCATGGAGAGGATGGGGATAAATTTTTCTTCAACAGGTTCATCAGAAGGATGTAGGACTTTGATTGCTTGTACGCCAAGCTGGAACGTCTGCGAAAAGAGACTGTCAGAGTGCATATTGGATGGTGTCGTTTTATACATATGCTAGTTGGTTGGCTGTTCTGCACCATATTGTACATGTGAGCGTCGCAGACGGCGAGAACGAGTGTTCCAGGTCTCAGCTTTGAATATGTCTCATGCATTGGGATGAGTTTGAACCTGTTCTCGGCCGTGTTGTAGATATTTAACTGCTTGAACTTGTTCTGTTGTAGTTGAAAGTACGTCCCACGGTAGTCAGGGAGTATTCTCAGGTTGTACAGAGCTCCTGATCTGACTTTTCTAGGCTGAGTGCATTTTAGACGGAGTATGAGGATGATGGTTATCTTCATCTGCAGTAGGCATCAGCACATTCATGTTGGCGCTCGGGCTTGTTATAGAACTGATGGATGCAGCCGCAGTCTCTTGTCCTAACATGCTGTCCTCATTCACGATCTTTCATTTCGTTCGTTGCAGAGTTGCTTCTTGGTTGGTGTTTTTACCTTTGGGTTTCTGTCAGAGTTGGTAAGAGGCGGCAACAGTGCAATGTTTTTTCTCTTTGCTTACCTCGTAGATGTGTTGTGATGTCAGCATGATGAGGTCCACATACTGGAGGTCGTTTGAGCTCTTAGTGATGCATGGGTTTATCTTCGAACCCTGTGTACCAGTCTGTTAGAATCTGTGTATAATGTTCTTAATGTTTGAAACTGATTGTCGCCACTCTCTTTTCTTCTTCTGTAATCCAGTCCTCAATGGATGTCAGTTGATTTTCCCAGATGTCTGCTAGATTTGGTGAGCATAGGGTGGGTTTGGAGAGTGCCCATTTCCATTTGACAGTGTCAGAATCGCTTAGTGACACATTCTGGCTTTGCATGTTAGATTGTGTCTGTACATTAGTAGGAGACAAAGTGCATACCTTTTTCGTGAAGTGCGTGCCTTTAGCAGAATGTTTGGTGTCACATGCTGAAGTAGCAATTTGACCAATGATGTTGGTCTTGAAGGTGCGACCGTCTTTTGTGTTTACATATGACCAATTAGTCCCACTGTAGTTATCTTGGACAGTGGTAGTCCAATCGACGCCAAAATTGGCCTCGCCTAACCCGTCTTTTCCAAGGTTCGTTATAGCATCTGCAACATGATCATATATGCCATTGGCGACGCACTGTGACAAACACTGCACTTCAATGTCAGGTGAGGACATGGTGATGGTTTGAGTGATAGAGTTAGGAGTCTGACGGGCATTGAACTTGTCTTTAAATCAAAAGAAGTCAAGGATTACAAGGTATGACGCACAATAGGATGGCTCATTGACAAATCTTTATATTGTTGCTGACACATATTGTTTTTGTCAGCAGTCTGGTGGAGGGACAGAAGGGAGATCCACAGGAAGAGAGCCAGATGATTTAGGCTACTCTCCGGTGTTTAGTATGCCGTGGAGGTACTTGCGGGTCATGATCTATTGAACGAGCTATGGCGTCCTCCTTATCTTTGCTAACCAAATTGCTGATTTTTCTCTTTTTTCAAGGAGGTAGTGGCTGTTGTGTTAACCCGGATTGGGTGCCATCCATTGCAAGATTCTCGAGGTCGAAGATGGTTTGTTGAACATTGTTTAGTTCACGCACTCGGTCTTCTTTTGTGCATGCTACCATTGTATTGGATGTGATCAGGTTGTTTAGGACTGATGGTAATCACTGTGCTGCTTCTTCTCGTCCTTCATTGTTTGTATATGGTGAGTGGACAATTGTCTTGAGGTTCAATATGTCTAATTGAAGCATTTCTCAATGAATGTCTTGGGATGGGTGGGAGCAAATTCTATTGTAATTAAATGGCCATAGGATGAACAGGCTGTGCAGAGAAGTTGCGTGCGATACCATCACATATGGTTTCTCAGTACCTCAGCACCATTTTGAACCAAGATCGACAATGACTTTTTTTAGTGTTTGGCCTTGTGATTTGTGTGCGGTGATCACGAAACCCGGAAGAATGGGCACTTGGGCACGAGTAATGCAGCATGTTTTTTTCGAGTTTGGATGTGTGAATCTAAGTTCCACAGAGTCCTTGATGATGGGTATATGGTGCAGACATAAGTTTGGGAGGGCCTCGTCTGACGATTGACTGATTTCCACAATGCAGGACCTCAGCACACGTTGTTTTTCCTCATTCAGTGAGTATCTTACTTTCCTCAGTATACAGTGCTACCATTAACGATTCCACCTTCAACATCAAAATTCTGAGACACGAGGACTGGCATGCCAATGACTAATGGAATTTTGCCCAGCCGCATGTTTGTTTTTCCTGAATTCAAGTGCTGTAGTTTATTGATCAGATCATCATTGCATAGTTGCTTTCCTCTATGCCTATCTGTGCAATGATACCAGTGAAGAGTGCATCCCATCCTTCATGCAAATGATGTCGTCATTCTAATGTTCAGTTTGTCTTTGCTCTCATTATCACAGACAATGATCGGTGCATCTTTCCATTCGCAGTCTTTTGTATCTCCTGTGTTGGTGGTAATCACTCTCATTTTCAGAAGCTGATAATCATCTAATGTACACTTTCCTTAACGAAGATGCGTGAGGCTGTCAACAAATCGTTCATTCTCTTGACCTGACTGACACATTATCTTTGTCAATAATACCACGGTGTTGGTTGATAGCCACAGGAGTCTGCCAAAGATACTTTTTTATCCTTGTGTCATTGCACAGTGTCTGAGGTTGAGGTGAGCATATAACTGTTTGCCACTTACAGGTGATAACTGAGTGAAATATCCAGCAAAAATAATGTTCATTCCTCTGAATGATGTTGTGTTTTCTTTGGCATCAACTAGTGTGTCATGAATTTTGGTCAGAAAATCGCAGCTTATCATGGACACTTCATCTGTGAACAAGTAGTCAATTCCTTCCCACATCGCTGTAAGATCTTGTTTTGTTTTTGTATTTGCTCTGGATGTATGTCATTGATTCAATAAAAGTGATGCATGTAGAGTCATGCCTGAGATGTTATGTGCAGCTACACCCATGTATGAGGCAAGTCTGAATCGTCATGCTTGGTTTCATCTTATAAAGAAGTCCTTCAGCGCATTGATGACTCTCGACTTCCCAGTTCCAGCATGTCCTCCTATAAACATTCTCAGAGGTTCAGGATTATTCATTCAACTATGTTCTGCTATAATTTTAAATGCTCTGGATTGTTTGTGATTTAATGACCATTCTCGGATGACACAGTCACTATTGACATCACAGGATTCATCAATCGTGTGGGTGTGACTCTGGATCCGTGAAATAAGTGTTTCATGTGTTTCTGATGGTCTCATCTGCAGTATTTCAATTGTCGTTGATGGTTCATCTCTTTTCATAACAGTCTCACCATTCGATCTCTTGTTCAATATTTTGAATCATTTGTTCAAAAAGCTGATTATCTATTTCACAGTGGTCTGTAGGACCTGGAGTATTCACGACACATGAGAGACTGTCAAAGAATTGACAAGACTCCATATGCTGAAGGCAGCAGATCATATCATCATTGATTGTGGACTGGCACATAGAACAACAGGAGTCCATTGATTCTAAATGAGTGAGTATATCTTTGTCGGTATCATCCGTGAATATGTCATCTTCGTTAATACCATGACCATAGCTAGATATTTCGGTTGATATTCCTGCGAGTTTATGTCAAAGCCGGTGGTTCACAAAATGATCATCACAGCTGTCTTTACACTCGTACAATAACTGCATGTTGTTCAAGATGAAAACAATATTTTCATTACATGTGCGTCTGAATGTCTCAAAGCTCTCAGTCCATGATTGTGTTGCTTGTTTGAGATCAGATACGGATCTCCAGGGTTTGAAGAGGATGAGCATCAAACAGCAGTATCTGGGATAGACGGACTCCTGGTCTCTGTGAGATATCTTTGGACCCATTGGAACATGCACAAGTCAATTCTTTAGACATCACACTCTCAGAAAATGTGTTCGCGATTCATAGTGCCCTGCTTGGAGTTCTCCAGAAGCCCTTGTTCTGGCAGAAGAAAGAAGAATATCTTCTGCTGAAAGACTTGAGCGTGGTTTTGCTGCTGCTGATGTTTTGTCTACTTCCATCTCTTTCAAGTCTTTTGAATTTTCAGTGTCATTTTCCAGCGAGATATCATTGGCGAGCTCATCTTCATCATCAGTTTCATCATCATCGTCTGTATTCTTGGAATTTGTTTTCTTGTTTTCCTTGCTCTTTCTAACTTTGTCTACCTGGGCTACGAAATCCCATATACATATGTTGTTGAACTTGTCATCTCAATGTAAGTAGTCCATTACTTGTGCAGCCTTGGGCACGAGATTTCCAAAGCTATCACTTCCAATTCTGATTTCGTCATTTTCAAGCTGTTCAACATAGACCCCGTCATCGTCAAGGGTTCTTTCAACATATCCTTGGTTCAACTCATCATCTGATCCATCCAGCATTTTTTCAGTTTCATGATCAGTATGGTCTATGTTATTTGGTGCAGCATCATCAGCCATTGACGATCAATTATACTCAGGACTTGGACTACATTTTTCAACAAAGGATTCAAAGTTTGTCCAATACAAACCTTGATACTCATGACTAGTGAAGTGGTCCTCGAAATCCATTAGGTACGAACATGCTTGCTGAGCAGATAGTTCTTGATGAGAAATCATTGAGTGAGCACATTTTTGCAGCATCTTCTTAGCTCACAATGTGCAATCATTGTCATTAGGATCATATGTTTCTAATTTATGTACTGCTGTTTCCATTGCAGCTAATGCAACATGAGTTTTTAATTGAGATTTTGTGATGTAGTTGGTAATATAATACAGTATGGCTTTTGCAGCTGGCCCCGATCCAATAAACTTTATATCCGTGTTGCACCTCATGGCTTCCAGTATGCTCTCATTAAAATGGTTCACTAGACCATCCAAACACTTTAGAGTAATTTCACCTGTCTCTGGATCTGTCAGGCTTATCGGATGTATATTTTTCTCATCTGGATCAAATCAACATTGTTTTGGTTCTGGTGGACCTCTCCAGTACTTCTAGCATATTTTGGCAAGGAGATGTAGGTCTTTCTTTTGCATCATCTCTAACAAGTTGTCCTCAGTGGTGTTCTGAAAGTCCACTCCTTGAGTTGAACATGGATGAGAAGTTTGATTAGGTATCGATACATCTTCCTTTGGGAGTTCAGGGATGCAAGTCAAGATGGTATCTTCCAAATATTGTAGGAGACGATCTTTAAAGCTCTGTTCTTTACTTTGTAATATTCGGTCCTTGATCTCATTGGGATTAAGGCCACCTTCTAACCAGATCATCATATAGCAATGCAGAGTTCCTTGCCCTTGAGCTTCAACACATTCATAATATGCACTGACGGTGCCAAGTATACCCTCATGAAGGTCTGTACCCTTACCTTCAAATCACAGAAGACATTTGATGAAAGCTTTCATGTAGACATTGAAAAATTTAGCTGTGACAGCCAGATTTCAAGCTACAAGAATAGATTGATCATAGAATTTTGGCACTTCCTCTGACAGTAGATTGTCAATATCTATTTCAGCACCTGTAAGAAATTTGACAAGTGGATTGTATACATCAGCAGGATTAATGGTGACATAAAAGCTCAGCAATCCTCATTCACACATCAGTCCACGGATTTCGTTTCGCATATTTGCTCTTGCATGAGCAGATCCTGGCACTTGTGAAGTTATTACTTGCACTTCTTTCATCAATCATAGCACACATCACTCATCTTCATTGTTTGCAAAAATAGCATCTCCTTGGGCCACACATTCTGTTACACAATGAACAGCCCACGGTGAAACAGCAGCAAGATTTGTCGCTACAGTTGGAAAAGTGTGCTGTTTCACCTTCAAAGATGTATGTAACAGAATCTTCCGCCGCTGTAAAATGTTGAATGCTGTAAACAGAAATGAGTAATGTTCCTGAAAACAACAATCTGCGAGATTGAAAAGGTGTTTGATGTGCCTCTTAATTGACAAGGGTTCAGAACAAAGATGGTCCTCAAATCCACCCATTCCATATGGAAACAATGTAGGGTAAATCATAGGAAAGAGGTCTGGATCGAAGAATTCATTGATGAGCTCAGGGTCTTGAGGTACCTGAACATATCCACCACCCTTGTTCTTGATGTGATGGACTGCAGCAGCACACAACTCATTCACAGATGCATTTCCATCAACATCTGTGACTACAACATTTTCAAAGTTAGCTTGCAGCTCAGCAGCACACAATTGATCATCAAATGGATCCTCCAATTGCACTGCCTTGGTTGCATCATACTTTGATGTCAAAGAATTACATGCATCATTAGGAAGAACATGGTCGACATGAAAGGGCATCAACATTTTATCCTCCATAGAATTCAGGGCATCAAAATCAATAGTGATATCTTTGTACAGATGATTGTATTTTTTTAACCAAACTAATGCAGAACGAACCTTCTCTCTATGTGCTAATCAAAGGTTTGGCCTTTTCCTCAAGCCATGCACGAGTCGGAGGACATGAGCCTATGAATATAACACAAATCGGGGTTATAATGTCAGCGACTGATGGAGGTAAGACACTTGCAATCCCTTGTGGATGCTGAGGGTAGACAATTATGTGACCTTTGACTCCACGTTGATTAGTAGAAAGTTGTAGGTCTTGATTTTCCTCCTTCAATTGAACAATCCAACACTTTGCACGACAACGAGCTATCATTGCTTCTTCGACAACCATCAGATCTTTCAATTCCTCTGGCACTTCTCCCAAAAAAGTTCGATTTGTAAGACTAAGAGCAGGACATTTTCCTTTCTTAAGCTTCTTATCACAAACATTGCACAAAGATAGCTCAAAATCATTTTCACCACATTGTCTCACTCCAGATGGGTCGAGCATCAAATCACGAAGTGGACCATCAGAACATGCAAAAGGTAATGGAGGGAGAGGACAGTCTTCATCGAAATAATCATGCAACATGTGCTGATTTTTTTGTCGGTCAGGTCTACACAAAAGTGAGGGATTGGTGAGCTTCGCTACAGATATTGTTGTCCATTGAGAACATGGAACACTTTCAGCACAGGACACTCAGGTAAAGGTGACCAATCTTTCTGAAGAGGTCTCGTCTTTAAACATCTGCACCAAATGACGCTTCAATTGCAAAGATGGAAGCTGAGACCATTCATGACAAAGCTGACGATGACGATTATTACAAACCTGTTGTCGCACTCGAGCATGAGTTTGATTAGAAGGTTTCAACAATTTTGACTTTCCTTTTCATAGTGATTTGATATGCTTTTTTAATATGCGGCGAAGCTGTCCCATTTTTGATCCAACTTCGAATCTGACCTCGTTTGCTCTTAACAGCCATTCTAATGGTCGTCGTTTAGTAGTCATCAATATACTTGTCAAGAACGCTATCCTCATAGAAAGCACCATGTCATTGTCACCACAAGACACATCAAGACTTCGACATGCAGATTCACAACCCTCATAAGTGCATGATGAATGAGTTGCACATGATCCCATACCTACATGTTGAGATATAGCCTGTAAAAAAATTGGCCAAAGCATGTTCATTTCCCGGAGGTACAGACAAATGTGACGAAGAAATACCCGCTTGGGTAGCTAAAATTTTATTACCATCTGTAACAACAGACGGCAGAGAGGAATGATTCTCTAAAAAAATCATTCAGACATATGAAAACAATTCAAAGCAATACACATACCACCAGGATTAAGATCCCAACTATGGCCACCTGAAAGTCAAGCGATGTCTGTTTCCAAAGGCCTTTGGAACTGAGAACCATCGAACTTTGCATTCACAGACACTAACTAATCACAGCCAAGCTTGACGTCACATCCACCCAGACAGACAGGTCGAAAGGTCTGCCAAGAATTGTACCAACCATCGATGGTAGGCATGCAAACTGGCCCAAGAGTGGACTCTATAGCTGTCCCATAATGTTTGGTGACAGTTTGAGGAACATTGCAATCATGCAAAAATGACAGTGACATGGTCGAATCAGTACTCGCATCGTCAACACGGATAATGGCAGGAATATCACAGAATGAACCAAGGATTTTGTAAGAAGACATAGATAATGGAAGACTAACAGTTTATCAATAATACACACTGTGTGCTGTGCAATACTCAAGATTGTGTGAACCAGACACCACAAACAGAGATGACAAATATGTTTAGGTCCGGAGTTAGACCTTTTCTCTGCCAAAAGTTTGGTCGAATCAGTTTTTTTGACAATAACAGATTACAAAACCCACTACTGCTGTAGCGGGAATAAGAATAAGAGAGAGCAAGAGAGGACCAGTTTTTCAGCCCATCTAACATTAAGTTGTGAGTGAGGTGTGATAAGTGTCAGCATCAGTGTCAAGAACTGTTCAAGACTGAGAGGAACATTCTCAAGAGACAGTAATACTGCAAGCTCATCATACCAAACGACCAGCTGTGAGCTCACTGTGTGCAGCAACCAGCAAGCAAGGTACAGCCAAAGTTATATTCAATTTTCAATTTTCTTTTCTCTTTTGTTTTACTTTCACCAACCTTTAGTGTTCTTTTGCCAAAAACATATTCCAAAATATTTGTGTTGTCTCTATGTCCACCTAAGACTCAGAGTAGCTTAGTGGGGAGACTTTAGGGATTGATAGTGAAGCTTGACCTTACTCATCTGAGTAGCAATACTGAGCCAAGGTTTTCTGTGCCTGCTAGGCTTTAGCTGTTGAAGAGGAGACTTGGTAGTAAATCCAAAGATGTCTGTTTCTGAGTCTGTTTGAATACTCAAAAGTGAGTTCCTTGACAGCAGGTTCAATATTGAGCTAAGAGTTCTACAATAAAGCATTTGACTAGTCTTGACCTTTGATTCTACCTGTTTGTGCTAAGGGGGTTGATCATTGTAATTCCACATTATTCTTTTTAGAGTACAGTTTGGTATGAGGCACTGTTGTTGAAAGGAAGCTTGAGGGAGAACCTTCTATTTCTTTGGTCATCACCATACTGTCAGGCTGACCATTATTTGTTTGTTTGTTTGTTGATGGATGAACTGTGTCCCAATCAATGGTGTATCCCAGACTGCAGTGACCACCCACAATTCCCGAATCAGCTGAAAGGGATCAAGGCTGTGCTCATTGAGCGTGGCCTGTACAAGTCTGGCTGTTGTGGGAGGTGCGAGAAGTGCAACCCTGATGTGGACGTTGCTTTTTGCAACAAATGTGTACTTGAGCAACAGCCCAACTTTCAGCAGCAGAAGTTCCTTGTCTAGGAAACCATCAAACAGTTGGGGCACATGTGCATCTTCCTCCAAAAATTCCATTGCAAGCTGAACCCAATCGAGTTTTTCTGGGGTCGGGTTAAGAAGTATCTTCATGATAATTGTGATTACATGTTTGACACATTGAAGAAGAACATGTCACTTGCGCTCACATCTGTATCTGTCAACACCATCCGATTATGGCAGCATTGAATGTTTCAGTGGATGGAGGCTTACAGGTCAAACAATTCAGCTCTACACGCTATAAATCACACAGATGAGTTCCTGAAACAATAGCAAGGGTCTTTGATCATGTATAGCCACATTTTGTAGGGATGCACCAAATTGACCTTGGAAGAAAACAAAACTCCCTCAAATTTGAGTATTATCAAAATCTGTCTGGAGGTTTTGTTCCTTAGGCAAAAACAAGCATTTTTGCCAGAGGGATAAAAAATTGGGTGAAATTTTGAGGTGCTAAAAATGCACCTATACTTCCCACATATCCTAGTTAGTAAGGTGGCCTTACCGTAATGTTCTGGCCACTTAATAAAGCCTTTGTGCCTTCCTACGGAGCACTGGCAGTGCACACCAGCAGTTTCCTTGTACTTAGAATATTTTACTCTACAGTCTTTTTTCCCACCATTGGTGTCATCACCCTTTTGGGTAATATGGTAGCGCACAACTTTGCATGATGCCACCACACTCGCACTCGTCATCGTTGACAACGAGCTCGTATACGGTGAGTTTTGTTTTATTTTATTTTACATATATATCTCTCACTACAGGACATCACAAAACTACATATAGGCGTTACTTTACGAGGCTCCTAGGTTCATTCTCTGTGCATACAGGTATGTTAACCGAAAATCAACAGAGTGCGTGGGAATCATCCTGCCTTCTGTGTTCCACCACGCACCCTCACCTCCAAGCTGCCTATCCTCCCTCTTGTGTGTCCCCCATGACACTCAATGCTGTGGGCGGTGTATCATGGAAATGCTCTGTCCATGTGGGTGGCAAAAAGACCAGGACTTTGCATACAGGAGTACTTCGCCAACACCAAGATGATGCCCATGAACTTTGCGCTTCCCTCCTCAAGAGTAAGTTCATCTCTCTAATTTTTACTGTCTAATTTACTTCCATTGATAGTACTGTAGAACTCCCTTTGACAGAGCGCGAGCGATTATTGACCTCTGAAACCCAGCAATGCGGCCCCAATTCATCACCACCCACACTATCAGACGACTTCTCTCCTTACTTCATGGACATCAACTCCATGATTCCTCCTCCCGGCAAGGAAGGATTTTCCTTCAGTCATGCAGGAGATGAAGTAGCAATCTACCGGGAACTAGAAGAACTCACAACAACAATAGCGAGGTAAGTTCAGTGTTTCTGTCACACTCACAAGCACTTAAAACAACCCTTTCTTAGTAGACGAAGGTTGGATACCCGTGACCATAGTGGCTGTATCGCACTACTAGCATCAGATTGGGCCTCACAGTATGAGGCGCTCACGGACACCCTTCTCAACTATATGCATGATCCTCTGGAGCCTTTGGAGCCTCCTTCCTCAGTCAATGAGACCGATCAGTTTAGCATCGAGGTTGTTGATATCTTTAGTAAGGCCTTCTTGTTCAATCGAGCTTTTGCATCTCTAATGGAACCTCAGACCGACGTTTGCACACATTCAAACATGTTTCCCCATTCATCAATGTCTCATTACTCCGCTATGGCTGTATAGGCAGCTCACCCATTCAACCGACCATTGCCATCACCATTTGCACGCTGGACGTGTACAGGCAAAGCCACCGAGTAATCCCACACTTCAGTATTCATGCAGAAGTGAAGATGCTATGTTTTCTCCATGGTGTAAGTTTCATGGCATCATCCTCGCACTGCCCTGATGTTACATAAAATTAGGTATACTATTGCAGACACCTTGCCAAGCAGCTTCGCATCAGTTATGATATATATCTTGAACTCCATCGGCGCATAGACCACTGTCTGGACAAGGTTCTAGGCCACAATTCGGATAACTGGCGGATGCTAAACTCATGTCCTGCATGCCAGTACAAGCTGATGGATGAACCCCCTCTAGAATTTTCTATCCTGTGTGCTTGCGACAGCAATAAGTCAGCCAAATTGGTCAATCCTGAGAGCCGCATACTGTGTGTGTGGACTGTTGGCGCAATGCCGCACCCGAATCTCAGAAGAAAATGTTCACAATATTCAAAAAATCAGGCATTTTCATTACCGTGTGCCGACATGGCTTCCTACTCACCATCTGTGACATGGTGTAAAGCAGTGAGCTGTATCTTAGTTCCTTCACTTCCCATTTGATGTGCTGACTGTTAATATTCTGCAGAATGAAATACCCCATCGCTTCGGTTAAGAAGCTGATGGACGTTTTCGGGAGCAATATCTTGTATGGGTATGACATAAAATGTGCCTTTGAGAAGATCCTGCTGTGCAGCACACTTGGAGACAGTGCCAAGAGGCTCAATGTGCAAGGTGTTGTCCCCGCTTTTCATGGACATACCCATAATCATCTCTGTCAGCTTCAGCACCACTCCAAGCACAAACTTGGTGCTGGAATGGAAGATTTTGAAATGTGCGAACAAGTCTTCTCCAAGTCCAACACATTGGCTTCCGAAATACGTAACGCCACTGAGTTCCACCAACACCAAGCACTCGACGAACACTTCCGTTTTGCTGATATGGACAGGTACACTGCATTATGTAAGTCCACCCTTTGTCCTCATCGAATATTGAATGATCTAATCACAAATTTAGCTGACTTCATATTCAATAATTATGTCCAAGCCTTAACATCGATATCTACGACTACCACTTTTCTTGGCAATTTTCACGCTTCAAATGCAACTCTCAATCCTGACTTCGACGGCAACCTCGAAGACGAATGTCTTTTTTTACAGTGTCTTGCAAGGAAGAAGGATGAATCCAGTGTTAAAATAGACTACATAAAAGCATTAAACGAGTATGAAGAGGCGCAGTAAGCTCTCTTCGCTTCAGTTATTCATAAGCTGACAAAAATTGTAAGGCTCGCATACAGTTCAGTCAACTCAATTTATGTCCAAATTACTCTCCCAAGGATGCTGGCAATGTATGGCAGCATCATACTCATGCTGCGACCAAACGTGATCAGAAGGTTGACATTGTCGTTGATTACGAGTGGTAGATGGCCCTGGATGCACGATGGGGTCCGGATCATCCTGAGCGTGTGAAAACCCAGTCACGCATCACCAACCATCTTTATCACAAGGCTGTCAACGATGTCGAACAGCTTGTTGTCATGCGACTTCTCGAATTGACCAAGCTCCAGATTAGTGGTCTAGGTACAGGATCTAATACTGTTTTATCTATTTATTTATTTCTAACTGCTGTCCATCAGGATACAAACTTCGTACTCAGATATCAATTGCTCTCAAGAGTCAAGCCACTGTGATCTGAAATGCGCTAACTCGGTATAACAAGTACGCAAGCCAGCTGGATCCTCCTCGCCCCCCATTACAGTGGGAACAAATAGTCGACTACTCATTCTTAGCTGAATTTGACCTGCTCCACGAAACAGGTACTGAGATCCAAACAAAATGCTGGGCCAATCCCTCTTACTGACATGCTTCCACACAACACCTTGCGCACCAGTGAGCTAAGGAAGAGATCTGCAGGCTGAATGTTGAGGTTGGGCGTTTGTGCACAAAGATTCGGGACGACACATTGGATTATGCGCGAGCCATTGCGCAACTTGAGCTCGACAATCCACTGCTTGCAGCCCATTTACAGTGTCGGTGGCAATGGCTGCAGTCAGCTAATGGATGACACCTTTGGCATATTGAGCAGATTCTACAGCTCCCCGGATACAGTGGTCCCATGTCTCCTGGCACTCGTGAAGGTCAGCAGTGTGAGGTTACGTCTGCACTCGAAGGTGCACAACATGGGCTGACAGATGAAGCAGACGAAGGCGAGGGAGATGAAGATGCATTAAGCCAGCAGCTGCAGGACGTTCATACTTACATTGAAGGACTCGATCATCATCGCATTGACTTGGAATTTGCAGAGTAGTTGTACTTCTCCGCCATCAGACTACTTGCTGTATTTTGTTACTGTTGAATTCCATGAGTTTTCTGTTCATTCTCACTGTGATACCAACCAGCGGTGCATGTAAAGGAATGTCATTTAATTTGTGATCATTTGACCGTCATCAACAACTTCGAGCCCATATTGTGTGTTCAAGTTGTGATAGGAGAAATTTGAATACTGCTCTACTACGTTAGTTTATTTAATGACGCTAGAATTTTAGATGGTGCAAAACATGGTATTCATTGCGCTATAATGTTGAACTGTGTGAGATACTCGATATAATTGTCATATTAAATGGTTGAAACGTTGAAGAGTTGAATTTGAATGTTTGAACAGTGAAATGTGGTTGCAGCAGTGTTCATTACGTCGCATTTCGAAGTACATAATAACTATTGAGTGAGCCTCGCTTTCACCCACCCACCATGTCGAAGTCAAGTCTTCCTCATTGGAAAGCCACTTTGCTGCATAGATCCCCTACTGTCAATGGCTTCAATGAATTCAAAGCTCTCATTCAGCGTCTTCAAGTTCTCAATGGTATTGCTGGATGTGAGGATCGGTGGGAATCAGCACTGTTGTCTCTACTGACGCATGGGCTCCACAACGATGGCAGCTATCTTGACCATGACAACGGCTTCTACCAATTGACTTTGGATCACTACCGCACTGGTGTCTCAAAGACTCAGCCAAATCTAACGCAGGAGAAGATTGGTAATTGGCATTCTTGAACTTTACACACTGAGCGCATTTTGCATTGTATATTTGATCTAGTAAGTCCTTTCAATTTCTAAATCATCAAACACGCTCATAGCACATGTAGTGCACCGTTCTAGACAGGTTGACAGGTGGATCTACCATTGTATTGCATCACCCTAGTGCTACGTCTCCAAACATGAACATCGTGCCTGAAACACTCAAAGCCAACGTATACATCAACCCTAAAGTCCTTGAAGAGCACCATGAGCTCCATGCAGTGGTGGCTCAGATCACCCAACTCTTTCTTTCCGACTATGCTACTCCACTCACAAATGCATTTGCAGACACCCGCACTCGGCACAAGTGGGGTAATTCAACGATGGCTCAGACCCCTACAAAGGGAAAGGCCCAAACAGAAGACCCCATCATGCCGCTCATTCCCCGCCCAATTGTGCCAACCTCTGCACACTTCATCTTTCCTGGTCGTCCTGCAGGCTCCTTGGAATGGCTGTTGAGTTCCAGTGATTATGTCTTATCACACGCACCATCCTTTGACAACGATACTATCATATGGAAGCCGCATCAAATTGGTTTGATGCAAGGTCAAAGAGATGTGCCCTCTATCCAGCGTCATGTAACAATAGCTGCTGTCGGGGTTGGAGGTGCACAGGTTAGGGGTGTGCGCAAGGTACTTTTACATTTGTATTCAACCAATATGGCCTAATTTTTCACCTAGGGTACTTCAACCGCTATGACACATACTGATGATGAGAGCTCGAAGTCATTGCAGTTGTCATGCACCATCACTGTCTACTCAACTTCTGGTAGCGAGTCTGACTCCCAACGCCCTCATTCACATACAAGATACCCCCCGTAACACCAATCTCTGCCCTCCCATTGAAGGGGATTTTTGCATCTACTGTGTCGCCTACTCGGACCCCTCCTTGCTTTATCATAGAGCCTCTCAATGCTGATATGTCCGCAATCACGCCATTTGGGGATGCAACAGAGGCAGTGTTGGAGAACCTTGGTTACCTGGACAATTTTCATAACATCTGCATTTCGATCTGTCAGAACTACCTTGCAAAGCGATGGGTTACAGTATTGCAGCAGGACGCTAACATCTCTTTGGACCATGCCGATGCCATCAGAGAAGCTATGTTGAAAGATTGTAATGTACAGCTTCCATAGTTCAGTTTGTATATGCCACTCGCCATGTATCTTACATTTAAATGGCAGAATGACCATTGTTTTCTCAGTTTTTGAACTTGTGCATCAGCATTCCCTCAATGGCATTTCCAACAAGCTGCTCACACAACCCTCGTCAGTTTATTGCTCGAACACGTGGTCCATACATCAAAGTATCAAAGGAAGTATGCCAACAACTGACTGAACGGCAATGCACCAAACGTCTTGACGAGGACCAGGAGATTCAAGCTGTCCTGAACTATATGAACTCAAAGGCTACCGATTTGGCTTGCAAATTCAAGCAGCCTCGTCGCCGTTACCTGGAGCATTTCACCCTTGGTTCTGTAGTTCACCACCGCAAGCACAACAAAACCAGTGCATGGCATGCATTTATGCATTTCCAGGGCATCAGAACCAATGCCAGTAAGTCAATCTACCAACCATGTATATTTATTGCTAACGACTTATATTCTAGACAAAGACATGCATGAGAAGTCCAACATTGCGGATTTCGTCAAGGAAGCTACTGAGTACCATCAGCTCACCGCTGAGCAAAGGACCAAGCTTATTTTGGACTTCGATGAAGTCAAGAAGGGTGCTCAAGATTGCCCACTGAATATAACCACTCATTCTCGTGCTGCCGAATGTGCTCGTAGCTTCCAGTACATGAAAGAAGAGGTGGGTGATGTCCATGTTTTTCAAGGTTCAGTGTTTATTGACCGTGAATTTTGGGGCCTAGTTGGAAGCTCTGAAACAATGCGTTGGCGTAGAAGCCATTGTTGTGATGGTTCGAGGTGTTTCCAATTTTTCTATGGCACCAAAAGCATTCTTCACAAGTTCAGCAGCAGAACAATTTGTTTGGTTGTACTTACGCAAGGATGTCGCCCAATTAGCGACAGATTTCGAGAGTACCATTCTGGCCAATGGCCTCATTTTAAGTTAGTAATCATTCTCATCCATTTCAATTTATTTTTTTGATGTGAATCCAGACTCAGCCACTAATCATCGGGAGCGTGTCGTGAATGCCAAGGCTGCTATCAGAACAGGTCTCCGCTTGTCGCTATGTAAGTTTTCCCTTGCACAATTTATACTAACAGCTAATATATCACAGGTGAAGTCACAAACAATCCATCTGCCTCAATGGAGTTCACAAAGTACAAGAAGCTCGTTTCTACCTACTTTATCAAACTTATGGGGTGGAACCACCCCCAATGGGCAAACCCTTCAGACTTAAAGGGTGGTATTGACAGCCTTGAAAATGTGGTTGAGGCAATCAGACTTCACCATTGCTGTTTTGTGGCGATTGACCAAGAAGAAGCTAAAGAGCGTGCATGGTGCATAAAAAATGGGGAGACATTAACTCCCAAGCTCGAGCCACCCGTACCGCTTGAGCCACCTCCTTCTAATACTGTAGCTCTCCCTACTCCTGCTCATACACCCCCTATGCTACAACAGCTGATATATCTCAATTATCATACCCTGTCCCTGATGTTAGTCAGCCTGATTTCACTGCTCCAGATGACAATGCAGCCTCAGTGCTGTTTTCTTTGCCTCACAACATCCAACCAGCCCCGCTGCATGGTGATGATGACATTGAGCCCACCCGCAGCTCAATTACAGATGATATGGTGGACCCAGAGCTTCGTGCTCTTGATCAGGGTACGTAAATCATTATTTATATTTAATACAGTCATGCTGACATGCCCTGGTTTATTAGTGCTCCACTCAGACACTCAAACTGCCCTGGAAACGAACCCATGACAGGCGCACACTATTACTCCCATGCTTACACCCCTCATTGATGAGGTCACTCCTGCATTGACCCTCGGGAAGCGAACTGCCGCTGATGTACCGCCAACTCAAACACACCGTCCCAAACGCTCTCGAAAGCTCACAGAGAAAGCTCAGTTGGAGCTGGAGTCAAGGAATGAAACAGACCATCAGGCGACAAAAGTTGGTCGACGGTCAAAAAAAGGAATGCGCACACTGAGTCCAATAGGGAAGACTTGTAGTGTGTCCATAGTTGTTACTAGATACAAGATATTGGTTTAATATATGTCCTTCCTCGCTGGGAGGAGGAATCATGGAGTTGATGTCCATTTAGTAAGGAGAGAAGTTGTTGTAAGGAGAGAAGTCGTCTGATAGTGGGGGTGGCGATGAATTGGGGCTGCATTGCTGGGTTTCAGAGGTTGATAATTGCTCATGCTCTGTCAAAGGGAGTTCTACAGTACTATCAATGGACGTATATTAGACGACAGAAATTAGAGAGATGAACTTACTCTTGAGGAGAGAAGTGCAAAGTTTCTGTACACAAAGTCCTGGTCTTTTTGCCGCCCACATGGACAGAGCATTTCCATGATACACCACCCACAGCATTGAGTGTCATGGGGGACACACAAGAGGGAGGATAGGCAGCTTGGAGGTGAGGGTGCGTGGTGGAACACAGAAGGCAGGATGATTCCCACGCACTCTGTTGATTTTCGGTTAACATACCTGTATGCACAGAGAATGAACCTAGGAGCCTCGTAAAGTAACGCCTATATGTAGTTTTGTGATGTCCTGTAGTGAGAGATATATATGTAAAATAAAACAAAACAAAACTCACCGTATACGAGCTCGTTGTCAACGATGACGAGTGCGAGTGTGGTGGCATCATGCAAAGTTGTGCGCTACCATATTACCCAAAAGGGTGATGACACCAATGGTGGGAAAAAAGACTGTAGAGTAAAATATTCTAAGTACAAGGAAACTGCTGGTGTGCACTGCCGGTGCTCCGTAGGAAGGCACAAAGGCTTTATTAAGTGGCCAGAACATTACGGTAAGGCCACCTTACTAACTAGGATATGTGGGAAGTCTAGGTGTAAAAATGTTGCACAAAAGTAGCGGTGACTAAGTGACGTGCACCATACATGCATTTGTTCTGATGAATTGATATACTACTAGAGTGTAGATAGATCTCCAATATTAGTACAGCTTAAGTGAAATCAATTTCCTGGACTCAAAGTCATCATAAGTTAGGGTCACGTGCCCGTGCTGATAGGGCGAATGCAAAGAGTAGTAATTAATGCATAAGATCGAGGTAAGTAAACCGAGTATCAATTGGCGTAGGCATGAACTGAAGTGACAAGGCATCAATCGGCTAGTCATAAAACTGAAAAAATGGTATCAAGAGGCATAAGGCATGAAAGTGTAAAGAAAGGGTGACTGCTAAATCAATATCATTGAGTGCATCCACAACTCGGGTCGCGAATCCGGTTGTGAATAGTGGTATACGCTCAAGCTTAACACTCGAAGAAGTTGGGAAGGGGGGTAAATCAACCATACTTCGGCTAGGATAGCTTAATGTGAAATCAAAGCCATGTATACACCATAAGCATTGCTTTGTCAGTTCGAGGCATCGATGATCGTGCGGAGTGTCTGAATCTCGCGATGGAGGAGGTCGATCACACCCTCCATGCTACTCATCTTTCTCTTCACGTTGCTCAGCTTCACGGTTTTGGAGTCGGGGGCTGAGATCGGAAGCTGGGGCACTGACACATAGCTCATGACTTTGGATCTGTTAGCGAACTGCATGTCAACCAAGTGATGCACCTACCGACTCTAGGCTGTTTTCGCTGCACCACAGAAGTGCCCATGCGGCGAGTGGACATTTTCCGCGCCTTCACCCTCTCTGATGATCGAGAATGAAGGCCACCTCGAAAGCCCGACTTTCCTCGTTGTTTGGCGGGCTGGTTGACATCCAACTCACACTTTTTTTTCAGTTGCTTGCATGCAGTGCAAACCAACAGGAGGCCAGTTTTGCCCCTGGCTCTCATGCATATCTTGCCTTCCCTGGCACAACGAGGACAGGGATCAGTGGCGCTGACGGTGCCCGGTCGTGTTGTCAAGGTGTTGGCCTGATAATTGTCAATAAGTTAATATGCTACCAGGAGTCAAACGTATCAGTCTTACCGAATTGCCATTTGCCTTCAAGGATAAAGCTGTCGGTGTTTTGGTCTGAAGCCTGTGATTAGTAAAATAACCAGGCTATTGTTAGTGACTTACTTTCGCTCCAGGGTGTTGCACATATATCACTCCCTTGGATACGCCTTCTCCCGTCTTGTTAACGGTATTGGACTTGGTGCCTGCACAGATTCGTTTGTGCGCCCCATCCCTCATACCTCCTGCAAGCGGGGTTTGTGACTCAGACGGCCGTTTCTTAGACCCCCGGTGATTGGACAGGCCCTTAGACTGTTCTGTCGGTAGTGTTTCCTCCTCTTCGTCATTCCCATCCGCATGAGACTGAGACTTAGGGCCAAAGACACGGAGCCGGCGCTCGCTAACTGCGCTGGAAGCCACGGAAGTATTATCGGCGATTAAAGGAACATCGTCGGCAGCAGCGGGTGGGTCAGCAAGTAGTAGGACACCCTCAGGGAGGGCCTGCAACATCTGCTGATCCGGATGAACATACCACGTCTTGTGGATCAGTGGGTGGTTTTCGATCCTTGGGTCATCTTCTCTAATATTCTGCCAGTTGGGTATGCCAACCCACTGCTTGTTCTGGCAGATGGTGGTTATCTCTACCGCTGCTGACAGGAAAATGGGGTCGAACATTGTTGCCGCAGGTATGAGGGTTTGTACACGAACGAACTGCAGGATGGTTTGTTCAGTACACATGAAAAAACCTGAGTTCAGACTTACCAATATCTGGCTAATCTTTCCCCGGTATTCTACGTGCTTTGGGTCGCCAGGTTGGAGTTGGCGAGCGAAGCCCAAGAGCCCCCGAATTGTGTCAGCCTCCATAGCTAACGCCCTGTTCTGTGGCGAAGTCATGAGCTTCGTGATAAACTGCTGCGCAGATGTTCCAGAGGACATCGTCTAGATCTTATGATGAACTCAAGATAAGAATAGGACTTGTAAGGGTCAGAAAAGCTGCCAGTACATTCCAAAAGCAGCATTTCAACAGATTTCAACGCGTGGAATTTCGAATCATACACGGTCAGGTGACATACAAATACTTCCGTTCATATCGTACGCGTACATGTACAGCATGGACACTTAGTCAGACTATGTAGTCAAGGCCGAACTGTGGGCGCACGTGGATATGCAAACAACGCGTTCTCCTGCAAATTCATTGGTACTCTTTTACACGCGTGGGTCGTGTGAGACCAGTATACTACCAATGTTCCAAAAAGAAAGAGGTACATGTGTTGCTCGTGATTAACGTCTCTGCGAGTGCCCATATTGTCCGTACACGAAAGCCAAAGATCAACTGCAAAAGAAAAGAAAGAAAAGAAATTGCATCACACACCTATCAAGCTGGTGAGTACGAGATGCCTTTGTATTTGACGGGGCTCAGAGTATATTGCTTACCCTAATCCCTAATTTCACGGTCTCACAGACCGCAATTGCTTTCATCAACTTGGGTGGCCGTAACGGTGATGCGCCCTAAAAACTCGGCCTGTCCACCCGTGAGGTCGTTCATAGCCTCAAGTGACAGGTTGAACCCATCCCGTGCCTCATCACCGACGTCAATGGCGGTAACATATTTGGTGGTGGTCACCGACGAGCTGGAGTAGGTGATTTCCCAGCACGACCCACAGTATGCTGAGTTCCAGCCTGTGATCTGGGGTGCACCTCCGATGTAAGGAAAGTTGGGAATAGAACTGAAAGTAGTGTAGCCACGCGACTCCAAACCATTGGAGCCGTCTGAGCAGGCCACCGTGTTAAGTGAGTTGGATCCCACATCGTAGTTGGTATCATAAGAGAGGCTGTAAGATGTAGCGATGGCGCACGTAGCGAGGGCAGCGACGGTGGAAGTGATTAAGAACTTCATCGTGGATACAAAAGTAAGGTTTACGATGGAAGATTGATTAATTAACTTGCTGAACGATGAGGATTCTTGGGGCAGTAAATTGAATGACTTACATACCGTATGAGAGCCCTTTTATGCACCGAGGGCAACTTGGAATTGAGCCGCACCGCCAGAGTCGGGTTGAAATGTCATCATTTCAGTATTTCTCCTTTCGTATGATGTCCGTATGTAGCGAAATGTACGGACAAGCCGAGCACGGCGATTCTTCACCGTTGCATTGCACATGGCTACAAAGGCTACTTCTATAGAAGAAGGAAAAGAACATTGAGTATGGGATCACCCCAACAAGGCAAATTCTCCGTACCTGCGCTGTGTCTGTAGCCTCGTGGTGGACGGTTCTCAACACCAGTACATCACAAACAAGGACAGGACAAGCAGTCTTCTGCTGAAATGAATCATGTCAAATTTGTTCAAAGCAATGGACTATTGCAATCACATGGACATCAGCGGCGAGAGTCTAACCATTTTATGTCACCATCTCGGACACCATGGCCCGTCTATCCAAGTAAGAACATACCTTATATATCCTTAAACAAGTAGACAAATTGGTTCTAATGAGCCCATAACAGGAGAAGGCAAATGGTCCTGAAACCATTGGCTACAAGTCACTGGACCATTCTTGCCCTAGGATACGGCCAGTCTTGCGTTTGATATGACACAACTCTGTCCGCCCTCTCTTGCTTCGCGATGACACTCACTCTCCCCTGGAGTTCGTATTGACCCTGCGCGCACGATGGCACTCACTCTCCCCTGGAGTTCGTATTGACCCTGCGCGTACGATGGCACATATCACTACTGCCACCGATGCAATAGTTTTTTCTCGACTTTGGCAAAGACCGTGACCCTGTCGTCCTGGTTCTTCTACCATTGTTGGATAACGAGGGTCAAGTCACCTGCCCTCATTCTTGCCACCACAGCCCAAATCGGGTAGATGAGCTCAGGCCAGACCCCATCGTCGCGGCGACGGGTTGGTTTCTGTAAAACATACAACCGGATTACGGATATGCCGTGGGGGGAGTAACAACTTGAGTACACGTTCTTACGAGAACATCCTGCAGTTTATATAACACCCAACGCGTCGATTCGGAGGTTAGTGTGCATCAACGCGAACGTAAACGACGTAGCGGGAATTGTATTGGTAGTGAAACACGTCTGGGAGAGAAAGGACGACTCGATGAACTGCGAGGAAGCTAACATGTCTGTCATGGGTCAGCGGAATCATAAAGCAGTAAGGACCACAACCATCCCGCTACATCTCAAGTGACAAACCCCCAGGCAATTCTGGAGGTTAAGGAACGACTCGGATGGAAGGCCAAGAACCATGTGACTCCGTCGCGGAGGGTCACTCAAATGTATGTGATGATCTCATTAAAAACAAGTATGAGCGGGGAACTATCGATAGACGAAATAAAGTGGGGGTGTAAGTATAGACTCATCTCTCTGCGTGTTTTGATATCAATGGAACAAGGGGGTTTTCTACGACTGGCCAAAAAATCTGGTGCCAGCCAACGGGAGTCGGGTAGTTGCTGCGTGCGCGGCGTTACCGACAGTATGATCGCGGCAACTAGATGTCGAATCCGAGCCCTCGCATGCATTCGACATGCTTCTTGAGTACCTCAGCACATTTTCCTTCTTCGTTTCCATTCTGTAGAAAACAAGCATCGCGAGAGGATTTCGTTTCTGGGCAGGCACAACATCTGTCCACACGGAAGTAGCCCGAGTCAGTCGGGATGGCAAAAAAAAGCTTGTACTTACGGTTTAAGACCTTGAGGGTTGAGAGGGTTCATCTTAGGGTCTGTGGGATCATATTTTTCTTTCAGGGCGGGTGCGGGTGTCGGTGTCGGTGTCGGTGACCACCAAGACGAAATCTGAATAAGACGAATACAAAGAGGTTAAACAGCAAAGAAGGGAAGAAAATAGACTCACACTTTGGAACATGAGGTAGTGTGGAGTGGTGACCAAGTCTTGCTATGATGTACGTACTATGTGGCCAATGTCAAAGGCTGTCACAGTGTCAAGGGTGAGTATCGGTGACTTCCGGACTCTTCACAGGTACAGGGCAGCTTCCGTTTTTCAAATTCCGCTCTCCGTTGTTACTTCCGAATGTTTGCCAAAGAAAGAAGGTGACCCCTAGGAAGGCACCTATTTTTGGGAGGTTAACCCCTCGAACAAGCCACCCCACCCGTTTCGCCAAGACCGGACCTTGTCAGGATCATATCATCTGAATCGTTTATGCGAGCTGAGCTGGCAGTAATAAAACACTCCAATGGCGACTTTGTCGGACGACTACTACTTGGAACCCAAGGATGCCACTATTAGTGGTACAGAACCATGGGCTGTATCATCTCTCCTGCGTTCTCCTCGTCCTATCAATTCTTTCAGTCAACGTTATTGGGCAAGCATGTATGAACTACGGTGAAACCTCTCCATCTAATGCCTCGAGCTGTCTTTGTCCTCCGGGCTTTGGAGGTGCTACTTGTGCACAACCAGGATGTGGTGGTACCATGTTCGATGGTTCTCATCGCTCTTTAGCTCAACCCTCGTCTGGCGGCTTTGCGAACTTGACTGCGTCCGATTGCACCTGCGAAAGCGGATGGGGAGGAGTGGGCTGTAATGTTTGCACTACCTCTTCAGCATGCCAGGTCGGGTATGCTGCGGTCAATGGCAATGCAAGTGCAACCTCGGGGCTTGACGGTCAGGTTGGTTTGAACCATACGATGGTTTGCAATACTGCCCCTACTGTATGGGCAGCTGGCGAACTTAGCTGTCAAGTTAATGTCAGTGCAACATCGTTGAATTCGAGCGTCTAGTGTCCCCGAGTTAACTTTTTTAAATCTAGAATCCAACATTAGAGGCACTGTATCCTCTCGGATCTACTCTGAACATTCTCCGTACTTTGAACGGCTCTCTATCACCATTGCACAACACCAGTGGAACATTATTGTCGCCCTCCACTAGCTCCTCTATCTATGCTCAACTTATGTATGCTGGCGTCGAGCAGTTCTTTTGCACTGCTTCGCCTTGTACCCAGACATCATCGAATTCCACCACCACTGGCAGTTCGGGTAATACCGCCTCAAGCACCTGGACATGTCAAAATCTTTCATGTAGCTGTATCAAAAATGCCACATTCTGCGGTGGTGTACCGGTTTCAAACCTCACAACTACCATTAGCGGACTCACCGGAACATTGGTAGTTGCGTGCGATAGCACCAATACCTGCCATTTTCAGCAGAAGACCATCAATTCAGTATTCGGAAGTCAGGGTTTATCCATGGAAGGCTGCGTCTTTGGTGAATGTGTCACTCAGGCCGTCATCGACACGACAAACGCTACTTCTTCCGCTGCAGCTACGTCGGGTGGAACCGAACTAAGCGGGGGAGTCATTGCAGGACTCGTTATTGTTGGGGCAATAATTGCGTTTGGGCTAGCATTCATTGCGTGGGGTTGGTATGCCCAACGAGCGGCGAAAAAGTTACCGTTCAATGGGGGCCGAAGCGGTGGGATAAGTGTTCGGTGGTCCGACATTTCATATACCGTGCAATCGCCTAAAAGTTCACCGTATTCCCTGATTGCCAAATCTTCCATCCAAGAGGAAAAGAACATCCTCGATAGCGTTAGCGGCAGTATCGAATCAGGTCAGCTCATGGCAATCCTTGGTCCAAGTGGAGCAGGCAAGACTACTCTTGTTGAACTCATCGCTGGGAAGACAAAATCAGGCCGATACACAGGGTCCATCACGTTTCCTCCCTATGCTCCTGGACGTCGGCCAAGGGTAGCTTTTGTCCCGCAGAGTGACATCCTTCCTTCAATGCTCACTGTCCGCGAAGCCCTTACATTCGCCGCATCCCTTCGCCTCCCCGAATCTCTTCCTGCGTCCTCGAAGGCAGCGCTGGTCTCCACTGTCATTTCCAAACTAGGTTTAGATGGCATCGCCGAAACTAGAATTGGTGCTACTGATGGGACTGGTAGAGGTATCAGTGGCGGAGAAGCTCGTCGCGTTAGCATCGGGCTCGAACTTGTTAGCTGCCCGGATGTGCTCGTTTGTGACGAGCCCACCAGCGGACTAGACTCAGTCAGCGCTTTCAGGATCATCAAAGTGCTGAAAGAACTCGCACGTGAAGGTGGAGTTACTGTAAGTCATCAAGGCTCACATGGACATCGAAAGGGCGTGGCGGTTATCTGCAGCGTGCATCAGCCAAGTTCGCGTCTTTACCACACCTTTGACTCCGTTTACCTCCTTTCCAATGGGCGCACGCTGTACTCGGGGCCGGGCGGATTAGCACCAATACAATATTTCAAGCACATGCGAGAAGGAGGAGGAGCCGGGGCTGATATCCTGTCCTATGAGGAAGGTTACAACGTTGCGGACTATCTACTCGACATTGCGAGCGAGTCTCCTAATATCTCCAGCATGCCCCTGGACAGTAATGCGGTCGGAGAAATAACTCTAAGTGTCAGCAGCGAGGAGAAGGCCGACAGAGGGAAAGACGTTGAAGCTCTCCTCTCTAAGCGAAATTTGGCACAGGGCATGTATGTGGCAACTTTCCTTACGCAGTTGCAAGTACTTTGTGGACGCGAATGGAAAGTTTTGAAAAGGTGCACACACTTTTAATCGTTCATCTTGACGACCTCTAACCTAGCCGACTTTGGTAGAGACAAGACCTTATTTTTCGCGCACGTGTGTGTTGCTTGCGTGCTTGGCATATTTTGTGGTATGTAAAAATGATTATGCTGTTGACTATGCTAAATGTATGGCAGGTGGTCTATACTATCAGGCTAATTTAACTATCGCCGGATTCCAGGCCAGAATCGGATGCATTTTCTTCATGGTAAGAAATCATGGTTGATTGTGGAGACTCGATATGATACTGCATTCAGGGGTCTCTCATTGCATTCTCCTCTCTTAGCGCACTCTATAATATCGTTGAGATACGACCTCTCTTCCTTCGTGAGAGGTCAAACTGGTATTACAGGTTTGTCAATTTCTTTTCGATAGACGTTCCTTCCTCAAGATGCCCTTTAGCCCAACAGCTTGGCTTCTTTCACGTCTGATATTCGACGTGATACCCCTTCGCATTATACCTACCATCACTGTTTGCACCATGTAAGTTATTTCACTTCTACCATCCATGCTTGTGGTCTGACCTAGGTTTTCAGCACATACTGGATGGCTGGGCTTGCAAATGACGCAGTTCATTTCTTCAAGTTTATATTCATCATCGTCCTGTACACACTAGTGATGACGCTCTTTGTATGTCTTTTGCGCTATCACGCCCTACCTTATCTGATTACTGGTCGGCCACGCAGAACTTCCTTCTGGGAACGCTATTCCGCAATGGCGGGATTGCGATCCTGCTTTCCGCTCTTTCTGCACTGTACCAGATGACCTTTGCCGGTTTCTTTGTCCACCTCGCTTCAATACCTCCCATCTTGCGTTGGCTGCAATGGCTTTGCCCGCTCAAGGTGCGTATACTTGACATCCCACGTTTCACGGATGTTCATCGAATCCGCCAGTATACCCTTGAAGCCATTTCTATAAACGAAGTAGGCTCAGGACTGATGATCAATGATACCTTGCAAGGCGTACCCGTCAATATATCGGCGACCCTCATTATGCAGTTGGTGGGTATTATGTCTGTATCTCTCCCTTCGTATCACCGACTGATCACTGCATACAAGTTGTTTGGTTTTGGCTTAAACAACTATTATAGAGATATTCTTGTGCTCTTTGCCTTTACAGCTGTGTTTGGTGTTGCAGTTGTCGCTGTAGTTTGGTTGAGGGTGAGGGAGAGGCGGTGATGGTCGCCTTTGTGAACAAGTTGCGTAGTATGTGTTATATGTAAGACTGTTGACTTGATTTTGCTACTTAGTTCATCGCTAATAGAATAGGGTCTCCTTAGCATTATTTAGCTTCATGAAAGCTTGGCCTGTTGATATTCTAGGGCAAATGATAACTGGGTCAAAGTTACAACTGGAGGATATCCAGTACACCGCTGGTAAGAATTCGTTTAACGGCTAGCCCAAACTTCACCAAGAAGATCGTATATTTGCCGTGAGCTACCCCTTTAGCCAAACAATTTTTCCATATGGCGTCCAGGATTGCCCTTCCTTCATTCCTGAACTAACGAAAAACGCAACCTCATAAATACCCTCGCCCCTTCCTTCCAACGTCCGGCGTTCGTCCTCTGTCTCTGGCACGCTGATGATGAGTTGGGGTCTTCCTCCAGCGACATCTGTGTTAGGTGTGTCAAGTACCCAAGTGACTCTTTGCGATGTGTGAGACACAGGTAATCCACCGATGACCGACGTTATATCCGCTGTCACATCCGATAGATCGTCATCCTCCACCAAAATTCGGATGTATGCGACCCCGAGCACTCCTGACGGATGTTCTGCATTCGAAGGAGGATCGAGTGGGACCTTGAAAGACTCTGATCTGAGATAGCCTCGGATAAGTATCAAACGAGACACATACCCTCCATTCCCTTGGTGTGACATCTCCGCAGAAGAATGGGACAACTCCTCTGCCAGAATCCGGGGATGGTGCAGAGATCTGCCACTCTAATACCTTGCCGTCGCTGCGCTCTCTTCCTCCATCAAATTCTGGATCATATCGAATCCCAGTATTATCCTTCTTGGCTCGGGCGTTTATAAGCTCTGATATTGAGGTGCTGGAAAACCCGAGGAACGTATAGCCAATCCAACCGGGTTCTTTCAATACCCAGGGAAAGGTATCCCGTTGCTGGCGCTCAGGTGATCCTGGTGGGTAATGCGATTCTGGGTGCGTGAAAGAAACGAGCTCAATGTATGCGCCGTCTTGCAGTACCTGTGCCCAAAATGTCAGTACATAGAATTCTGATACATACTTCAAGTTAGACAATCATACCACGAGCGCATTTTGTGTCAGTCCCCCAGCGTGTGTACCCCCTGGGAGGACACTACACATGGAATTTGCCTTGAGATATTTTCAAAACTTGAAAGGTGACGCACTGGAAGCCAAGTTCACGGAATTGTTGTGATACCTCATCCACTGAGCCAGGAGGTGTGAGATGCATAATGTGATCAAGAGTCTTGGTTGAGGGTGTCGACATCATGGGTTGTGTTCACAAGATCAGGTACTATGAGCAAGTATGTATATACTATAGAACAGTCTATAACAGGCACTTCAGCCAAGAAAACTTCGTTGGCCTCCTGTTGCACAACAAAGAGGTATTATATAGATCTGTCTGGTACAAACTTATAAAGTATGTTCATAAATATATAGAATAAAATTTTGAGTCCATCGATCGATGTCTGAATACGCTGCGAATACATCAGTGTTTTTGGTCTTTAGAATCACTCGTCACGAATCCATATAGGGGTCAGCGTTGCCGACGTGGACCTTGCTCAGCTTTGCATCATTTGTTGTTTGTTCCGACCAAACCTCCTTTTTCTTCCGTTGGTGGTCAAGTATAGATGCGAACGAGTCATGATTCAAATTCAACGGTGATAAAGCTCGAACACGGAAATCTATAACAGATGGATTCCCGCGATGAATACGAGACTTAAAAAAATTGATAGGCTCCTTACCGACTCTAAGAGGTGCAGTAGAAAGGCAATTCAAGCCGATAAGACCTGGAGCGGTCTCCTTCTAAACGAAGACAACCTTCCGGACAACTGGGTCCGCCAATCAGGGGTTTTAGTGAGTATCATAGGCGCCCTCCGGGATGGAAGAAATAATTATGAGGTACCGAGTCTCACACTGCAATGAAGCGTACATAAAGTATTTCCTCTGGGTGACTATTATATTATATACACACGGATGCAATCCCCGTGGCCTCAACGTATCCTTTCGGGCTGACCTTGTCAGTTGCTACTGGATAACATCGTGTCCCACCAAAAAAAAAAACAAGTTGTGTAGTAAGTACAAGGGAGAAACCCAGTCTTCGATTGGAGGACTGAGAGGAGATGATTGAGCAAGGAGAATTAAAGATGTCGTTGAGACCGAGAACGAAAAGACAACGTGCAGGACGAGTGATAGTGTACTATGTAAAAGAAAGTACGTGTTGCATAATCTCGGACTCGGCTCATCGCTCATCATACTAGACTATATGATCTTGCACGGTACAATAATGGGAGCCGAGCGACACACGCGATAGCTGAGATGTTCACGAAATTTGGCTTCCTGTGGTCATTGCCGCTTTCTCGTGTCTTCTTCATATGTACGTTGGTTAAGATGAATTTGTTCTCGAGCGGTATTAGAGAGGAAATGGTGCCACGGCCCACGTGCACCGTGGAGCCTCGGGCCGACACAAATAAGTGCTTACTAAGCCACCTAGTACATAGTACTCACTGGCAGCCTCATGTTCTTCGCCCCAAGTTAAGACTTGCCTCGTCATTTCTTCTCTCATATTTTGTCATGTAATTTCACTGGCATTGTCATTTGCTGGAGGTGGGCCAGGTTTTAGTCACTCGAACACGGGGGCCTTTGGATAGCGTAATTGGCGACGGCGTTACATATAAGACGCATAACCACTGGCAACACATTTATTGACCGTGACGCACGCTAAGGTGATCACAAACGATTCGCTCGCCATGGGATCACCTTTGATGTGCAAAATACTCTTCAACTTATTCAAGTGTTACTAATGCATCCGCTTCCGGGAATCTCACTTAGGAAACGATAGTTAACATGTGAGTTGCATATTTTTTTGAGCCTGCAATGAGCCATATTAGACATCTCAGGACATTAACTTGACAGGTCCTAAATGTAATAAAACATTAATAATTGTCAACCCGGTGGCGGCAGTACTACTTCTGCTTGTCTGTCAAACTTACCTTGAGTGCGTCCCTAGCGCTCAAAACTCGACTAGTGATGTGCAAGGCCCGGCTTGAAGCCCTGGGCCGGCCCAAGCCGGGCCCAAAAACTCGTGAGCCGCTCGCCTGCCGTGTAGCTCAGAAAATGTTACCGTCGGAACGCCATTGACTTTACCTGGTGAGCACCTCAGCCAAATCAACACGGCCCGGAAACGTTAACCATGGCATTTTTCCAGTTTAATTAAGATATGTAACCACTCACCCGTTTTATCGAGGAGCCGGGTGTCATAAGCAGCAAGACCCGAAGATATTTCGGCCTAATAGGTTCAAATTCATCGTCCTGCACCAGGAAGAATAAGCATCATGTGCAAGTAACTGAGAACAGACATTGCCCTATAAAAACTTCCTCGACTTGATCAGTTCCTATCAACACTTCCAGGTCAAGTACAGTGGCGCACCATGAGTCTATTCAAGATCCCCTTCATCCTAGTTTCGGCCATTGGCATCCATGTTTCGATTACTGATCCTTCTGCACCACCATCATCTAAAGAGAAGGTGATGCCCTCGTCGTCCGAATTCTTCCTTGAATGGTTTTTGAAACTTCGCGGTACCAAGTTACTGGAGGTAGGTTGCTCCTGACCTCCGGTCGTTGTCTTTATTAATCTGTCGACGATATATCAGCTCAGCGCATGGGCGGCATCATGTGCTGAAGTGGCTAGCATCCTGGCTATAAATATATATCCCTCGCATATTCCAGATGGCGCTAGCGCTGTGCGGTTTTTACGCAATCTTCGCCCTACACCAATCACCCCTGCTTTCCTTGTTGGCAGTATTGCCATCGTGATTGGTGGCGCATTGAGGCTTTATTGTATGTCGACGTTGGGAAAGCTCTGGAGCTTCCACCTCAGCGTCAGAAAAGAGCACAGACTTGTGACAAGCGGGCCGTACTCAGTAGTGCGCCACCCGAGCTACACTGGTTTCCTTCTCCAAAGCACCGGGATTGCCGTCCTGTACGGAAGTCGAGGATCGTGGATGAGGCAGTCTGGGATCTTACAAATCCCTTTCATTGAAGTGTTAGCAATGACTAGCTTTTCGGCAGTCATCGCAATAGCTGGTTATGCTTCTATCTACCGACCTGTGATAGAGGACCGGATGATGCAGCGTGCTCTGGGAGAAGAATGGGAGAATTGGGCAAAGCAAGTGAAATACCGGCTTATTCCTGGGATCTTTTGATTATAGTTGATTTTTTGTGCATCAATATTCAATATGTTGTCGTCCATCCTTTGCTGACAAAATAGCATCCAAGTCTTTGCGCACGGTACGCTGTGGGGCTGAGCGGCGACATGGGTCGATCGACCCGGGTTATACCCACACGGTGGGCCACACCCAACTCGCGGATGCCAAAATTCTCAGAGGCCCACCCGTACCCACCCAGGTCAGAGCATTGCGGATACGGGTCACTCGCGAGTGACTGGACATATTTTGCGCCTGTACATGAGAGCAACAAGATGTACGAAGTTTAGTTGCGCGGAGATGATACAATCACGTCAGAGAGCAATAATTCGGTTTCCTCGACACACTCGGAGGATCAATCGATTAGCCACGGATGTAAATGGACATTTGTTGACAGCGCATCGCACTACCTCATGATGACGCAGTTTGATTTGCACATTTACGATACCGGGAAAGTGAGGTAGAGCGCATTATAATATTGTTGAGATGGGGAACTTGGCAGTATGTCGTAAGAGATGGAGCAAGATGGAGAAAAGTTGTTTCAAAAGAAAATATAGACATCGATTTCCAGCAAGCGCAGCGGAGCGGTGGGCTTGAAGTTTGCGCCCTGGCACGCGAGACGCACGCGGGTGGACGACACTCCAAGGTCATCACAAGATTATATGTTGTGGATGTGTTATATGTTAGGACTGTTGACTTGGTTTTGCTACTCAGTTCATCGCTAATAAAATAGGGTCTCCTTAACATTATTTGGCTTCATGAGAGCTTGGCCTGTTGATATTCTAGGGCAAACGATAACTTAACTGGGCCAAAGTTGCAACTGGAGGATATCCAATACACTGCTGGTAAGGATTCGTTTAACGGCTAGCCCAAATTTCAGCAAGAAGATCATATATTTGGCGTGAGCTACCCCTTTAACCAAACAATTTTTCCATATGGCGTCCAGGATTGCCCTGCCTTCATTCCTGAACTAACGAGAAACGCAACCTCATAAACACCCTCGCCCCTCCCTTCCAACGTCCAGCGTTCGCCCTCTGTCTCTGGCACGCTAATGATGAGTCGGGGTCTTCCCCCAGCGACATCTGTGCTAGGTGTGTCAAGTACCCAAGTAACTCTTCGCGATGTGTGAGACACAGGTGATCTACCGATGACCGACGTTATATCCGCTGTCACGTCCGACAGATCGTCATCTTCCACCAAGATTCGGACGTATGCAACCCCGAGTACTCCTGACGGATGTTCTGCATTCGAAGGGGGATCGAGTGGGACCTTGAAAGACTCTAATCTGAGATAGCCTCGGATGAGTATTAAACGAGACACATACCCTCCATTCCCTTGGTGTGACATCTCCGCAGAAGAACGGGGCAACTCCTCTGCCCGAATCCTGGGATGGTGCAGAGATCCGCCACTTTAATACCTTGCCGTCGCTGCGCTCTCTTCCTCCATCAACTTCTGGATCATATCGAATCCCACTCTTATCCTTCTTGGCTCGGGCGTTTATAAGCTTTGATATTGAGGTGCTGGAAGACCCGAGGAACGCATAGTCAATCCAACCAGGTTCTTTCCATGCCCAGGGATCGGCATCCCGTTTCTGGCGCTCAGGTGATCCTGGTGGGTAATGCGACGCTGGGTGCGTGAAAGAAATGAGCTCAAGGTATGCGCCGTCTTGCAGTACCTGTGCCCAAAATGTTAGTACATAGAATTCCGATACATGCTTCAAGTTAGGCGATCATACCACGAGCGCATTTTGTGTCAGTCCCCCAGCGTGTGTACCGCCTGGGAGGACACTACACATGGAATTTTCCCTGAGATATTTTCAAAACTTGAAAGGTGACGCACTGGAAGCCAAGTTCACGGAACTGTCGTGATACCTCATCCACTGAGCCAGGAGGTGTGAGATGCACGATGTGATCAAGAGTCTTGGTTGAGGGTGTCGACATGGTTGTGTTTACAAGATCAGGCACTAGAACAAGTATGTATAGAACAATAAGTAACAAGAATTATGTACGTGTGTTCGTGATACTGATATTACATATTGATATTAAATAATGCGGCAACAGTCCAAGAAGAAGTCCTTGTTAAGTCCCAATCGTAAACGTCAGTTTCGGCAACATCCTACATAGTCCAAAGCAGTGTCCAAAGAAGCTACAATGTTCGAGTGTGGTTTTAATTGGTGGTATCAGACAGGCGTTATCGAAGCTCATGCAAGGTCCGCGAAGCCAACTCTAGAGTTTCCGACATCAAAGGCGGTGTACACGTTTCTCATGAAGACGTCACCAAGGACCCATACATCTGAAGACATGTCAGCAAGGTGAGCTCTAAACAATTCGAGACCGACCTCCAAGACCATCACCACCTGCTATACCACCAAGGCAGGTGTTCCCTGAAGAACCGTACGTGCCAAAATTGAAGGTCTCTGCGGAAATCGCAAATGACTTCCCGCCAAGGGTGATGGTCACATTTGGCATGGCATCACATGGTACTTGAACCAGCGTTCAGACAAACACAACGATGAAGCTGTTAAAATGCTTACGCGAGTATACACCTCCACCTACTTCTGTCGCATTGATAACTGCGTAAAGCTGACTGACGTAGGTCGTATCACCCAAAATCAACGTGGTCCCAGTGTCGATAATCGCAGAGAAATCATTGACGATTTCTTTCCCATTGATCGCGATGGCATCACCAGTGACCTGCCAGTAACCCTGGCAAATACACAAATAATCATGATGTCTGAGCAACGTAGTTTACGACTTGCAGCTGATGGCTAGCGCTCACCTGCTTGGTTACCGGAGTGTACGTGAACGGATCACGATATAGCGCAGAGTTCACGCCACCAACGTAAAGCTCAGAACCAGAGGATGCAAGTTTGAAAGCAAACACTGGTTCTGGGACAGCTCCTTGTGAAACCAACGTCTGGAAAACGGAGTTTGCGCCATATGCCGAAATGGACTCGAAACCCATTCCCATCAGCCCATCCGCACCAAAGTTCTCCGACGAGAACCCATATGAATAAAACGAGGCAACGCCAAGCGTTTGTGCATTGGCCTGCAACGTACTTCAAAAATGAAAATGAAAGACAACAAGAACACTACGCACATTGTAGCCAGCAAGTGACACGGTGTCCGTGTATAGATCGCCTGTAGCCATAGAACCATCGCCGTACTCCACCATGAAAGTCTTACCAAGGGGCTCAGCAGACGAACTACTGTTGGGGTTGTAAATGTCATGTCCGCTGCACGAGTCCCCGCAGCTTGGTCCAGGTAGAAAGAAGTCCGTCGAACCAGTGTCGCAATCAACTGGGGGTGCTCGCATCAGTGCGTCATGCATAGCACGATCAAGTCGGAAATGCAAACTGATAAATATATACGGCGGAGTGCCGACTTCGATCTCTCCATACCAACGCTCGTTTGAGTCGTCAGCCAGCGGGTCAGAACCGGACGCCGCTACACGCTTTGTTAGCGATGAGGAGTCAGAGAAGAGAACTGCGCCAGTGTTTCTCTCGAATGCAGCAGCGCCCCGCTGTAACTTGCTGAATATCTGCTCAGTTGGGAACAACACTGAACAAGAACAATCACCTACACCACTGTGCTGCTAATATGAGCCATAATTGAAGTAGGGTCAACAGAACCATGTCCATCAGCGGTCCTGAGAGTAGATCTCTTTGTTAATGGTATTGAAAGATGTCGTGGCTGCGGGAAAGTAATCGCCAACACCTGTAAGGCAGCGATTAAGAACACTGATAAAGCACGCATTGCAGTGGAAGAAAAAGGATATATCCAATGGGGGTCCTCACCTCACAGATGGCCCATTATAATGAGTGTGCAACGTGCATACTGCAAATACACCACTGGCAAAAAGACGCCGTAACCACGAGGACGGCTAGTATCACTGAGCCACGCAACTACCGACCTGTAACTACCGAACTTGGCCTGCCTCTTCGTGTAAATGAAAAATGAACCAGCCTTGTGACCAAACCTAATAGCCGAAAGGTCTTGCGTACAATTCTGGTCGCAGCGTTCAACGTTGAACCAAAACTACTAAGCGAAGTCTTCTTTCGCGTGTTCGCTCATTGGCGGACATTGCCCGGCCAGTGTTCGGTTGCTCTACTAGTGTCACTTCTCGCCGATTCCCGGATACCTTTGCCTCAGCACTCGTAAAGAACGGCGCAAAGATTCATATTGTTCCCAGGAAAGAACCCCACCGAAGGAGCTGCACATCAGGAAAACTTTGACAATCAATAGACAATGGACGCCAAACATCCGCGGAGCAAACCCCGGCGTATGTGAATGACCCGTGTTTATTGTACGCACTCACGATACCTAGGTCAAAAACCGGCGCTGGCCCCGCTCTGATATTCATTCTGGAGACCCGCGAGACTGCGAGGGAAATTGCCCATATGCACATACTTGCGAGTCGTGATCCCCGACGTGAAGAACTGGTTTTATTATGAAAGCTCCTGCCACCCTTCGGTGGTAACCATTGATTTTCAGTATGCCCAGTAAGTCCTAGTAGGCGTTCGCTACGTACCTGATGTTTCAGACACTCGCGAGATGGCAGGCTGCCATCCCAGGCGGTACACATGTTGGGGGGACAAACAGAGAATGTGCTCGTGATGTGATCGCCGCGCGCGGCCGCCTAACCAGGCAAATTTAAATCCACGTGGTATCAAAAATCACGCGGCTGCATGCGCACCACACGTTCGCAAAAGCCAGGCTGAACGCTGAATTCTGGTGCTACTACGCATTGAGCCTCTGAGATCGGTTCAAAAGCTGAGAGGTGATGCATTGGAAATTAAATGATGCGATACAATGGTACTTGATTCATTATCGCAGGAGGCGTGGGGTGCACGATATGTCAACTAATGGCATTCAAGGTCAGGCAGAATGGCTGGATCAATGGTGACGAGAGTCTTATATTTATGGGTCGTGGTACTGGCTTACTGATTTAACGTAATATACAAGAAGAGAAGGCTCTCTCCAAGTCTGAATTGTAAGTGTCATCAGTTTCGTAAACACCGCGGTCCAAAGCAATGTTCACAGAAGCTACAATGTCCTGCTCAAGTGCGATTTCTGTCAGCCAGGTAACTGTTACTGCAGCTCATGTAAGGTTCGCAAAGCCAACTCTGGTTTGTCCGACATCAAAGATGGTGAACATGTTTCCTATGGAGACGTCGCTAAGAATCCATTGAAATTGATCTGAAAACAAGTCAGCAAGACCAGCTCTAGACCATCCGCCAAAGGTATCACTGGTGTAGATAGCACCAATAGAAAGTGTTGCTTGATGGATCAATAGGGCCAAGATTGAGCCTCTATGGAAAGCAGAATCGGCTTCCCCTAAGAGTAATCTCTCATGAAGCTAACATTACGCGGTACTTAAAACAACGTTCAGACAAATGTAACAATGAAAGATCTCGAGCTTACACACATATACGCTATGTTCTACTTCTGTCGCATCCGTGGCTGCGTAGAGCTATTCAAGTTGGGACGGAGTACCCAAAATAAATAAGTCCCGGATGACAACGGCGGAGAATTTCTTGACGACGGTTTTGACATTGCCATTTATCGGTCAGTACGCCTGGTAGATGAATGTGTGATGTCTGTGCAGCACTTACAACTGATGACAGTCCACCTTTTTTATTACGAGCGTACGTGAACTAGCCTTTGTATAACACAGATTTCACACCACCGACGCGAAGGTCAAAACAAGAGGATGGAAGTTTGAAAGCCAATACTGATTCCAGGACAACTCCTTGTCAGCGATCTTCAGAATGGAGATTTTCGTTGATGGAATCGAAAGATCTCGGAGGCGGTAGGGAAACCCCCCCCCATGCTTCTAAGTCAGCGATCGGAGACAGAGCATTTGCTGTGAGTGCAAAAGGCAACTCCCAGAGCCACCAAGTCCCCGCCGGCTATCCTTTGGTGAGAATTTTGACTTTTGGTGCAAGATCTGGCTAGCTGTGGTATTTTGATCGATCACAGATCTGTGCTGTAACGATGCAGTGTTCTCTTCTAGGTGCGTAGTTTCTTTTTCTCACCGCCGGGCGCGCATACAGCGTAGATGTGTCATCGTCGGCCAGCGGTTCGTGCATGCCTTGATGGCCGATTATGAACGCAGGCCTCTCGCAGCCCTGACATCCCATTGTATGTGATTAATTTCTGAAAACCGGAGTACGGGTGCAAAGAAAATCCACGACTCGCAACCCATATAACGCTATGTTGCGCGGGAGGTTGGGCACAGTCTGTGAAAGGTCAGAAAGTCGACAAGGGGGCCCAACTGCGACGGGTGATTGTAATGATGCACACGAGTCACCAGCCAGCCTCCAGCCTGTGCCCTGTGATAGAACTACGGTAAACTCCACGATCAGAACAGGACGGACGCAATTACAACTCAAATCTGATCGCCAGGACTTTGCCACAGCATGGCGTGGCGTTGTCGGTAAAATCGCCGCCCCCACAGATATAGAATCCAGAAGAACACTCAAGGCAGAACGTAGACTTATTCGTATATGACCCGATCGCCCGAATGACCGCACATGCTAATGCAGCTGACGTGAGGGAAATGAATTCTTCGAGACCACCAGAAGTGAGTAATATAGATCATCTGTAAACAAGAAAAATCATTAGCACGCCTTCATCGGAACAAGTATAAGTAAACCTACTTCTGAGTTGAAAGCGACCCAAATACAACATCCAGATGCGCTATCGCACTAGGCTGAGCAAGACCTAACACGACGCATCAACTCCCTTCACCAGGCCGCTCCTCAAAATGCGACTACCGTATGGTTCCTGCAGGCGTCAGCGTGTAAAGATGTTGACCACATACCCGCCGCCACAAATTCAACGCTCACGTTCTCTGCAATGCGGAGGCATTCCTGTCACATCCTGAAGTAGAAAGAAACAGTGACTTTGTTCTTGTCAACCTCAGGCACTTGGATCTCATCTTGGTGGACAACTCAAAAAGTGCCTCAGAGATTCGTCCTCGGCTGATTGTGTAGTAAATGATGCATTAATGAATGGTGAGCATTACTTGGACTATGCACTCACGGTTCAGATTGTCTCTCAGCTCCAGCTATGTAAACAATGCGTGGTCGTTTGTCGTTATGCACGAGACGCGATTCGAAAAAGCAAGCCGAGGATAATCAGTACATGAATCCAGAAAACATTGAGAGGATTTATCGCTGGTCGTTCACAACTGCCCTATACAGCGCGCTGTGACCTTCGATATTGGATGTTAGAGGAACTAAGAATTGACGGCGGAGAGACAAGATCACGGAAGCGAGATAGAATGATACATTTCTGCTTGGTTCATAGAAAGAAAAATATAGATGGCAATCTGGACAGAAAATTTTAGTGATATGTTGCGGATACGTCGTACGATGGAAATTCGTGCAGTAGTACAGGACTTGCTATCGTCAAAGTGTTCACTGAGTAGTAGCCGTTTATTGAATGAGTAAAGTAGCCCGGCTTTTCCCGGAAATTCCAGTAATAAGTACTGTTGGACCTTGGTACCCTCGTTGATTCGTGAACCAGCCGTCTTGTCTGAGAAGGGAATGTGCACCTCTGTGCATTCGCCCCATTGATTGTCTGATCTATCGTACCATGGCGAAAGAAAGATGGTTTCTAAATACAGCAACGAAACGGGGTACGATTTCTCTGTTAATTCTTAACGCCACTCGAAAAAACGCCTTCTAATCATAGAATACCAGGGCCCTCAGCTCGATGGATTCACGAAGCGGTGCTCCCTCTGGAGTGTTCGGGTCTTCGAAGCCAGTATGAGGCGCGAGCCTTGCGACACTGCCATCATGCACCGAGTCAAAGCTGAAACCCTTTTAGCACGACAACAATCTTCCCCGAGTGACTTCACTCACCATTTGATAAGAGCAAACTCTTCTGGGGTCATCGCCTTCAGGTATTTCCACTGGTGGTTTGGGTTGTGTTTGACTCCAAATGTCTCACCCTCGCGGTCAGGGTATACAAGAGCGACAGGCACCAAGTCTTTCTCGTAATCAACACTCCGGAAGTCACATAGTGCAAGCGGCCAATCTACAGCCGCATGTGATATAGGACGCCAAAGGTTAATGAGTTGGAAACGTCTTCGAAGGAGGGAAGGAGCTTCTGTTGGCGGGAGATGCCTGTGAACACGAGCAATGGACGATGCAGTCGTTTGGTCCACATGAACCAGCGGAACTGGTTGACGTTTCTGTGGGCCATCGTCTATCTCATCTGGGCGACGGCGACGAATAGCTGTGACACAAATTGGACATGAAGACGTCGTTTCAAATTGGTGGTGGTCAACGTACTATGATCGAAGATGACAATGCTGGTTGCTCCCGTAACCCTCTTGATAAGGTCGATGCTCTCGGGGTAGTATTCGCGCTCAATCTCATCATCATTCAAGAAGCTGGTATGCTTCGCCGCTTCTCGCCCATACTGAAACCCAGCAGTGTCGAGCTTATAAAGCTCCTCCTTCCCGCGCACATCCTCGATTCGTATATCATGCTTGTCCTCGGTCCAGTTGCGGACTGGCCTTCCGGTGGCGCTATCTGAGTTGATGGTATTGTAAGGGCGAGAGCCGTCAGACGGACCAAACATGTAGTTGAGGATGCCGCTGGTGTCAGAGGCCATGGTTAGTCCGTTTGTGCGGGATGAAATGCGGAATGAAAGTGTCCTTCAAGTTGGTATCACGAGTAAGTTATATCCTACTTATCTACGTTTCCAAGGGCCGGGGAAGCCGTTATGGCTTACATATCATGTTATCAATTCTATACCTCCTGGTCCGCTGATTGTTAATGTGGATGAAAATATCTCATAAGCATGACGCCATGGAACTGCGGGATGCGCAATGATCCAAAGTCGTAGAGCCTCCTACCTGAATTACTAAGTCTCTCGTGACCAGCAATCTCCGCTGGGGCGAGAATTCTTAATTTCGTAGCCCAAAACACTTTGAAGTTGCTCACAGGTGAGGATGGGGATCAAGAAAAGATTCATTAATTGAGTCACCGGCAGATTATATAATGACCTAGGTACCAAGTACATATTGGATCGAGCATCAACTTCTCAACTTTGTCGCTGCGCAGGGTCACTGCAGGTTCAAGTGAGGATAGCGTTGGCTGTTGAGATCATATGCGTCACTTCAAAACACACATACTAGCCTGTCCTCGTTCCTTGTGTCTGGTATGATTTGCAGGACAGAGAGGACGCGACGCGTTTATGACAACGCGGTACCATTTTGGGTATATGCGGAGTTTCAAAGTGCGGCTGGTTCACCGTTCACGAGACTAGTTCTCCGGTATTCGGCTACTAGATACCCGCTTCTCTTGCCGAAGTCTGTGTTTCTCCCCATGGATTTAGATTGATTTCGTCTACCTCAGGTCTTACAAACAACATGTCCCCACCTGGTACTCGATTTTTTTTTTTCAAATATTTGCGAAACTCTGATCTTGAGCGCTCGTCGCATTCCAGATCTTTCTGTTCAGTCGCTGTTCAATGTGAAGGGCAAGATCGGTACGTATCATGGCAGTGCCACGTTCCATGATGGGTTACTAACCATCGTTCCATCAGCCCTCGTCACAGGCGGCGGTACCGGTATTGGAAAGACCATTGCCTCAGCACTCGTACAGAATGGTGCAAAGGTCTATATTGCTGCTAGGAAGGAATCCCAATTGAAGGAGGTGCGTGCATCGGTTTCCCAAGCGCAGTCAAAGTTCCAACAACCCATAGGCAGTGGCTGAGCTTAATGCCAAAGGCCCTGGTTCCGCAGACTACATCGTAGCAAACCTCAGCGTATGTAGACGCCCCGGGAAACTATCAACTTGCTGTACTCACTCATGACACCAAGTCGAAAGCTGGTACAGACGCTCTGATATCCGCTCTCGAGGTCCGAGAGCCTGCGAAGAGATTACACATCCTTGTGAATAATTCAGGCGTCTCGTGGGGAGCGTCCTTCGAAAACTTTCCAGAAGACAAGGGGTGGGATCATGTCATGGCTGTGAACGTCAAGAGCTTGTTTTACTGTGAGTGAAACCTTGTCTTTCGGTAGTCATTATTGAGTTTCGGTATGCCAAGTGACATCCGGGTAAGTATTATTTACGTACCTCATATTTTAAAAACTTACGAGCTAGTAGGTTGTCAACATGGCTTGCAAAGGATGCGAGCGCACTCGATCCTGGCCGCGTGATTAATATTTCGTCAACTGCGAGTGTGACACCTCATGCAGAAGGCCTGGTTAGCGCAGATGGAAATGGGACATGGAGTTGTGCGTCATTGTGTTATGCCCCATGATGAGCCTGATGCTATCTTGTTCTCTTCAAGACAGTGTCAGTAAGGCTGCAGGTAAGAAAATATCTGTCGACGAGGTTGTGTAGGGCTACACTGAAAGTCTTCGTAGTGAATCATCTGACATCAATACTGGCCGTCAAGTTGGGACCACAGAAGATCACGTATGTAGTAACTTCAGTTTATACTATTTACTCCTGATTTCTTCGTTTGTAGTGTTAACGCGATCTGCCCTGGGTATGTACTTAACACACTGTCACTTGAATCCCAGCTTATTCCCTCGACAGGATATTTCCCACAAAGATGACGGCCTTCGGATTCAAGAACGCAGGCGAGACAAAAATCTTATCTCAACAACCAATGGGTCGTGTTGGCCGCCCTTCGGACCTCGCTGGTCTCGCGCTCTTCCTTACGTCCCCCGCCAGTGCGCATGTCACAGGCGCACATATCCTTTTGGACGGTGGCGCAACATTATCAAGTCATGGGATTGCACCACAGGTTAAACTATGATTTATCACTGCACATGTTCATACACCTCTCCATCACGCATTTTGCCGTGGAATCTTGTATTTAACATGATTGTTACAGCTGCAGTACAAAACCAGTTGTCCATAAAGTCCTTATTGTCCATGACCAAACCAAGCGGAACAGCCAGAACGGGGTATGATTCCAAAGTTGCAAAGAGTCCTCGATGCAAAACCAAGCAAGCTCAAGGTCCAGATATTCCATCGCCTTCAATTGTTGTGTCACTGGATGATATCGTGGTGGGTACCGACCAGCCTATTCCGCGCCATTTCCCTAGAGCTGCTTGTTCCAAGACCGCGCGATACATCGCAGAGCTGAATCCTACACACTGCAGTCCGATACACGCAACACGAAGGGCACCAACAGCATACAACTGTCCAGTCTCGTAGAGGTTCTGGGGCGAGAGGTTCTTTCGGCCAGCTAGAGTCTCCTTGATAAGAGTTTGCGTCGTCTAGGTCCAAGTCATGATGATAGAAATAGTGCAAAATTATCTTGCTTCACCTCGATTGAAAGAGCCTCCCACTCTTCCGTGGTTAGATCGTCCATGCGAAAAGCCTTGTATACGCCAGCGTAGTACCACTTCCCGTCCTTGTTGTAGAAGCACTCTAACCAGAATGAGAGCGACATCAACAAAACCAGATTAAATGAGACGCAACAAACCAGTAGGCCTGTCCATGGTGCCGATCACATCCGCCACAGTCCATCGATGTGCTGTTGTTACTCGGGGATTGGTGCTACACTTGAAAACGGGGGTAAGCAAATATCCATGTTCTTCGCGCTCTGGGCACCAGTATGTTGTCAGTTGGCCGAGGACACGATAGTTTGACAGGCTAGGAAAAGACATTCATTGCCCATGAACTTCGTGTGAGCTCTATACTATCTTACGAGCTTTTGAGAGTCTGTATGAGACGTGAATAGACTTCCACGTAGATATATACAGGGCACTGACACCAGAAGTATTGCCCAAGAATTCATGCAGGGTATATGGCTGAGGAATGACAATTGGGTTTAGAGCGTCGTCTGGGATGTCAGCAGGGAGGGGAAGCGTCGCAAGAAATGCTTGTCTTGCGAGAATCAATTTCTCAGGTCCATCGCCAAGCAGAAGTGGTTCGGTAATATTCTGAACATCAGATTCCCTCGACTCGGCAGGAAAAAGCGCATATATTGGCTTACCGGATGGTCGAAGTCGACGGTTTCAGAGCGGTGCGAATCGAAAGAATTTTTAAGACGTGCGCAATGGTTTGATTGAAAAGATGGACTGAAAAAATTGGAATCACACCGGCTTCCTGGGCGGGAATCTAGCGGTGGCGTGGGAGGTAGGCCTGTAGATCCAGGTCTGTTCGGAGTGTTCTGGAAAAAATATAAGTCATCGATTGAGCTCCGCGCCAGTCAAGATACTCCGTCGTACAAGAGGCACCTGCCAAGGCAAGACTTGGGCGGATGTATTCTGACAATTACCGTCCCCTTCTCTCGGAGCTGGTTGTGGAATATCGAATGACGTAGCAATGTCTTGCACCGGAGGCTGCGTAGATGAATCATCATCCCTCGCCACAGATGTCGCAGGGGTAGAAGGGCGCCTCAGATCGTCTAGCTCGCGCTGAAGTCGATCGATCGTTGCTGACTTTTGCCGAACAGATATGTAAGCGTCTTCGAGGCGTTCGACAACGGTGTCTCTGGCAGCTATAACTTCCGCCACGCGCATTCTTTCCATTTGGATAATGAGCGCCAATCCAGCAGCATCGGACGTGTCCTGAAATAAACGGATAAGAACAGAATATTTGGGTTGAGTCAGCGTTCGAAACAATGGGTTCTCAAGCACGACTTGGAGGTCACCATTCGTTGTGCAAACTCGGTTGGGGTGGTGCACGTTCCTATACGGTGGTCGTAAGAGGGAAAATGATGTGTATCTGAAGCGTTCTGTATCCCCTGATCGCTGAATGACATTATGGCTGGTAACAAGCGGTATGTTCTCTCTCGAATTGCTAAGTTCAGGCAATGTTTGGCTTGCAAATACCAGCAAGCTGCAACTTGAAGTTGTACTTGTTTGTCTCCAACTCAGATACAACGGCCCGCTGGGCATCCAGAACCCTCTCATTTCCATGTCACTCGTCTCCATATCCAAAAGCTGCTCCAAAACAGAAACCTTTCTCATTTACACTGTGAAGTAGCCATGTGTCTTTCTTTATTTTGTTATGCTGATACCAACATATAGGCAATATTTGTCTCGTTCTCGTCTCCCTAAATTCGTGTCCTCCGAGGCACCAAACCATGATCGGTATATTTTGGCATGTAATAATTGTGTCTCCCAGATCTGAATGGGGCCAAAGTACCATACAAGAACGTTGTTGTCGACCGTGCTGCGCATATGGTGTGGATAATATCCGATTTTCTTCCTGCTCCGCTCCCCTGTCTCGCATATATGCTCTCCCAGATGGAAAGTATCAGCAGTCACTCTGAACCCTCATCTTCTGTATTTCATCAGCACGTGCAAATGTACACAGGTGGGTCAAGTCCTCCAAATACATCCGAGAATTGATGAGGCTCTTACTTGCGGTTGTCCAAGGTGGGTACGGGCATACTGTGACACTATCGAGCGCGCTGTAACATAGTTCATCACCGCTGTGGAGTGAAACTGCAAGATTGACGCGAGCACACACATACCCAAGCATACCCTTGGGCCGTGGGTATGGGTACAGGTAAGCTTGTGGATACCCACAGGTTGCCCATGCCATTGCCAACTCATAGAGATTGACAGTTTTACATTGCAACTGATGTCGCGAAAGGGCATGTTGGAGGTAATTTGTTGCATACACCAAAACATGGCATTGTAGACGCTCGCAGGTACATACTTGATTGTATAACAAAGTAACTAGGAAGCATACATGTCTAACTCTGAATGATTCTTCTGGTTCTGAAGTCAATGCCAATTATAAGGCATAACGTGCCTAATATTTGATGTACAAATTCAAGGCTGTAACACAAATGAAAAGAACCGCACTTACTCGGAAGTAGCTTCCCTTCAGTTGTGTCATAGGAACGGCGATGAAAAACATGCCAATCACAAGCCTATAACAACCGTCAGACTCTTCGAGTGTGTCAAGCGATGTCACTTGCGCTGCTTCAACACCAAACACCATCAATCCTCCAGATTTTGTAGCCCATGGGACTTGGAAATATGCGATTCCGAAACCTAGGCCACAATCGTGAATGTTGGACAAATCATGCATCGTTGTAACTCACCGCCCAATGCTCTTGTAAGGTTTAGCAGGGCACTGACTTCGCCCTAGAAGGGGAGGTCATATCACTGAAATGCAAATAAGTATATATGCGTCACCCACCGCCCTACGAGGGAAGCAGTCATTACAATATGCGTCTACATTAATGCTCCTTGAGTTATCCCACGACACTTGAGATATTGGATCCGAGACTTACACACTACAACAGTGTTGAGGGTGATTGCAACGATCGCAATGCCCCAGCCCATGATGAGAGCGGCTTCGCTGAGATTTTGTATCCCAGCACCCAGCGTCAAAAAGCCACAGATATAAAGCGGCATGGCTAAGTAACAGGTCCTACACAAATTCTCAGCTCTAACCTTAGACCATCAGTTGAGTTTGCATACCACAAGCGGCTCTCGGCCTCAAAGAAACCACCGTTTTGCGAATATGCAGATCCATAATGAATTCATTGACGTAACGTCCAATGAACTCGCCAAGAAGGACAGCGACCTAAAAATTCCATTCTGAGAACGGTAATCATGCATACTTCATAAATGGAAAAAACTTGCAATTGGAGTCGCATATGCTCCAGCCACGGCATATTGGCTGAAGCCAAATCCGACGGGAGGAGGAGATTTCATGAAGATAACATTTGTCCCCTACAAAAGTCGATAAGTTTATTACTGCAGGTCGAAACGGAAACGCTCACGTTCACACCGATCGAGAACCCGAAAACCAATGCCTTTCGAAAAGGTCAGCAAATGTACTAAGTATTGTCAGCAATGCAATTCATCTCACCTCAAAGAGAACTATGAAGAAAAACTGAGGACGCCAAACAACATCCAAAGATGCCAATATAACTTCCGGCCATCGTGGTCTGTATTTTGCCATCTTGTACCCAGTGACGCCTATCAAAGTTTTAAATCGATATCGCAGTCCCGTAGAAATGTGCAGTGGCTTCAAATCAAGGTGACGATCATACATACTGGTTCAGCAAAAGTCAACGCCACTGCCCTAAGAAACAATATAACAGAGCGTACGTTTCTTCCATGAAAAACACAATGAGAAATAATACGACGGCGCTGTAAATAGATCCTATAGCATAGGCCCATCTCCAGCTATCCAACAATTGATGAGTACTCTGAATCAAGGACAGCATATGTAAGACGTACCTCACACGCGCTACAAGAAAGCCAAATACAAATGGTGATAGGTAAGGCGATCTATGAGATAGTGAGAAATGTTTCTCCCAATAAAGGAATTCATTTCTGACAGAACGAAACCCGAAGTCCAGATGTTCAGCTTCCGTGCTTGAAGATGGAAGGGGAAGATATCCGTCACGACATAAAGACCCTTGGAGGTTGGTGAATGTTGAAGCTACCATGAGAATTGCCACTAATCATACTGTCACCTGGGGACACGTTCTGAAACCGTAGTCAGTTTACCGCAGGCATGGATAACATGACGACCTGCCCAAAGAATGCGGTCAAGCAGCGCATCCCTTCATCAAAAGTTAACATTGTCCAATGAATACCAAATTATTGTGTAAATACCTGCAAAGGTGGCTAGATTCGGCGCCAATGTGGCACCAATCAAGAATGCAAACGCAAAAAGCTGCACTCAAGGTTTCAGGGTTCATATCGGCTAAATCACTAGAGATATATACCTGACTCCAGAAGAGTACTGGCAGCCGACCATACCGTCTCATGAGCATGACCCAGAAGATGCCTCCCCAACCTGGACTACAGATGAGAAGAGGCTATTCTCATGTAATGGTGTGATCTCACCCAAAAGGAAGATGCTCCAGCTTCAGGGAATTGTTGTTGAATGTTAGTAACGATTGATGCATCACGCACTTTGATGTCAAATCATTGATGACACCCGAGGTCGTGTCATAAGTTTGAGCGAGGCTAAATATCGACGCAGTTCCTGCCAAAAAAAGTATTCCACGATGACACTACTATGGATATTGAGCGAGGGTGGGATACATACCAATTCCAGAGTCGAAGTCAGGTACCACTGCAGACATTGTAATGATGATCAGGTGCACAGTCTTGCGGAAATCGGTCCACTACGAATGAATAGCTTAGTGTTAGTGAAAGGGACACGATAATGAGAAATGACGAGCATTTTGTGGGTCATTTGGGTCGTCAGCGGGTTGAGGCCAGAGAACCTTCAGCCCATCAGGGCTAAGCTTGAGCCTAGAGGCCATCACCTCCCCAAACTCGACCTTTGCCTGTCTCGTGAGTCACAAATGAGTCACGATAGACTTAGGATATGGGAGCAACAACCACATACTCGGGGTCCACTACTAAACGGCCAGAAGCCCGCTCGTAATAAGCAACAAAATCCACGTCGTCGGTAACATCGACTTTGATTGAGTCATCTGCCTTCGTTTCTGAATGCAGCCGCTGGGAGCTAACATGCTCTAGAGCCATTGGTAGTGGAGGTGAGAGTTGGGAAACAAATTGTAAGGTATCGTCACTCGGTACCCATCATCAATTTAAAGTACTTACGATAACGATGTATCTCTTTTAATCTTGGGGGTGGGGTGCGCAGATTGTGAGGAACGGACAGCCTGTACCTTGATATTACTCGGATCTTTGCTCGGTTTCTGCAATCCGAGCAAACAAGGTATAGACAACAGACCGTAACAGACCTCGAAAATGACCCACACGCATCGGTGAACCGCTCGTCATAGAATTCGTAGTATGTGATTGACATCTCCTACTTAGGCCATCCTAGGCTAGTGATTTCAACCCGGTTACTAGATATTGTAGACTCATCCAGTTCATGACATTTTTAAACATCAACAAACAATATGAAACATCCGGGATGATCGGTTGTACACATATCTTCCACCGGGACGCGTTTCTTGCTGTCAGCATGTTAGTCTCTGTACATTGGTCTGTCCGTTCTGCCACATCTCTCTGTGTAGCGCCGGTGTTATGGATGGCTGCCCTTTCGGTCCCCTCTAATTCCTCTTGTTCACTTTTTTTTGGCAGCCGACTCCTTGTATAGCTAAGCATACGATGGATGGCAAACTTGAAGTAAAAAACACATTGAACGCAGAAGGGCGCCGGGCCAGGCCGAGGAGTAGCTCACAAAGTCAGTGAGCCCATCTTTTACGTATGTCCTGGTCATCCCAGACCGTGCCTGTACCTGTGCCGATACACCGAAAAAATGGTTGCTCCACTGCTATCATGATTCATGATGGTGGGTCAAATGGACGTTTGATATCAAATAGTGCTTACTATGCGACGAGCTCACGAGGTTTAACGGGACGTTTCTGTGCAAAGGTTTAGCCAACGGCGCTGCGGACAAACATTAGGCAAAAGTGAAGACCCGCCACCGAATGGAACATCCCCTTTAGAATTCAAGTCTGTGGGCATTGCAATGCTGGTCTTATCGACTTTCTCATACTTCGTTCTGTCCAGTGCCACCTGAGCACCACAACTTGGGACCGTTGTCAGACTGGACCGAATCTTGAAGCTTGAGCTTGAAGTCTGAGCATGTTGTGATGTCCTGGTCAAGTTTGCAATACCCACTCGATAGCTGCAAACCCAATTAATCAATATTCATCACACAACAGTCTACAAGATGATTCATATTGTATCCCCCAGCCAAACCACGTCCAGCAGCGCACTCAACGAACACAAATCAATAGAATTTCGAAGCTAAAGACATAAAATAAAGGATCAAAACACCCATCACTGCTATCACTTGCGGGAGACACAGCCGCCGCAACAGGCTAGGCTGGTAACAATTCTCGTGCAATGAAGGCATCAGCCGAAGGACAAGAGTCACAGACATCCTGGAGGGCATGGTGAACATCTATTGCACCAAATTACTACTCACCGAGCTAGTACATGTAGCGTGACTGCCTCTGGAGGCGACATCGTCAGCAAATAGTCATTTTGATTATTAAGACGCGGTGCTGATATCCTATGGTGTTCATCAGTTCAGTCAGCGACGGACAGGGCATTTTCGGTGAAAGAAACACAGAAGTCGCAATTACCATGTTCGAGATGCAGCATGTCTGCAACGACTACTATGATCAATGGGCTGGTTTGGAAAAGTTTCCGTCAGCTGACTGTGTACATGAAGGTCGGGACACTTGGTACATTATCTGTTCTCGCAAAATTTATTTCTTGCAGCCTAAACTTCTACGTACGCACATTATAACTGAAGGTCGATAAAATTTTCCAACGTTAAGTTACCTTACAAGGAAGGGTTCTGAGAAGTAGTAGAAGCCTTGGAAGCAGAGCACGGTGGTCTGGCTCTCCAAGTACTATTAGTCTATTATGGTTAGTAACACTCTAGAATTGCCGTCCGGGGCTCGCAGCTTCAAGTTGTACTTGTTTGTCTCAGGGTGCCCGACGGGACTCGGAAGTTCAAGCTGCGGCTTGCTTCATAACTTGTCAAAGAAGTTTTCGACTACTAGTAGGTCAGGCAGGCATGTCTGGACTCTGCGTGTCACTAACGTACTAGGAACATCGATCAGCCAAGCCAAGCGAAACTTTCGTCAGGTCGGGTGCGAAACGCATAATTTATCAAGTCCAACTCCTTATTATCTTAACCGCAAGTGGACCTTACTTCTGTGACTCCGGAGTAACCATCTTCTCATCTTGCTTATTTGTTTGCACGGATAACAGTCACTTGGTGCGTTCAACCGGCAGGCAAGATATTCGCATCTCGCATTCAAAAGGCATTGATACCTCTTCACTACCATCCCTTGCTAGTCAGGCCAGGTCGTTCCTATCACTACCGTGGATTTAGAGCTTGTGATAAACTCAGTTTACATGTTTATCCGCCGACTATGTGACTCTGGCTATGCCAACACCGAAATCTGCCAGCGGCAACCATTCTGATAGAACTACCGAGCCTGTGCTTACCAAAATCACGATTTTAGGATATATAAGCAAGCTGTCGACTCTCAGAATTATCATTCGGGATCCCCTCGACGCATCCAAATTATCTAACCCAAGACATGCGTTTTTCATTACTCCTTGCTGTTGTTGCTACTCTGACAGCATCCATAATGTCTGTCAGTGCATGCACAGACCAAAACGGGCTTTGTGGCGCGAGTAACGTGGGAGGCGATCCATGCTGCTCAGGCCTTACTTGCAAGTTGGGTGTGAGTATGATCCATCCGCTTTGGATCCGAGATTCAGCTCCATAACTTACCCCTTGCGCCTTGTATCAATAGAATCTCAGCGGCCCAAACCAAGTCTGGTACTGCCAGTAGCCTTCTCTCGATTGGCTTCGAAGACCGAGGATGTTCGTGACAGTGAGTCGTCTTTCTGCTTTCACGTTGACCCAGTGGTCAATTGATTACACGATACGCAGATGATCGATATTCTTATTACTGCACGAATTTCCGGGTTTTTATCGAGCAGACTCTAGCATAATATAACATTAGAAAAACTTCCTCGCAAATTGATAAAACACGTTCATGTTACTCGACTTGCGTGCGATTTCCCACCAATGCACAAAAAATGGTGTATTCAGCCAACATCAAAGTTGAAGATCGTCAAGACAGATCATGAAGAAGGAAGAAGGGCTAGTGCCGGTAACTGCTTTGCTAACATCTCAAAGTAGTTTTATCGATAGCTGTCCAGTAATGCTCCGCCTTGCGTGCGTTTTTCGTACAACTGTCTTGGGTCCATAGGATTCTGGCGGTTACTTGTGCTCATTAGGTCTCTCCGAATGTGGGGCAGCCTTTTGAAACAAATAAAGTTGAGTGCTGTAAATAATTTTAGACAGGATATCCAGGAGTCTGGCTAGATCTGCGTGTATTTTTATTACAATTCAAACTTTGCCTTACCATCCAACACTGTTTTACATGTTGGCGAGGGATCTTCCATTTGCCCAGCTAAACCCCTGTCAGCTGCAAAATGCATTGGAATCAAGCAAATTCTACAAGCGGTTGCACAATAATTTCTACCCATTCGGTATTGATCACCTTTGGTTGGATGAACATTTCAAACGCAATCTTGACTCGAACTACCATTGGTGTCGAGGATTTTATATTAAATAGCTGGGACTCCACAGGCTTGGGACCATGCAGGCAGACGACGTGCCAGGTGCAGCCGAGGTGCCTATGTTATCTAGCGCTTGAGTCCGCTTCACGTTAGTAAGTGCGCTGGAACTGCCAAATGATAAGTAACTCAAGCTAGGACCTGTAGTAATCAACCCACTTACATCTTGATTTTGTGTATCCACTATTGGAATGACGATGGGCCGGTATTGCCGTCTTAATCCTTTCTCCGTGTCGTGAAGTGCAGTTCATGTGTATCTCTATGGGTCGAGCCATGACTATTGGGTTCTTACCAGAATGATTATTTTCTTGTCTCGCTTATTTGTCCGCAGAGGATGGAATAGTGCTCAGCGCGCCGCGTCACGACGGTGGAATTTTCACCCGGTCCCTTGCCACCTAGACTGATCTAACGCATGGATCATAGCACGTGCGTTCATTTGATAGACCTAAAGATATATGGCACTATATCAAAACTTTTGGGTGTCGTGTCTTGCGCCCAGCGCGCTTTCGAAGTTTGTGTTTCATTAAAATTCTATCCCCATGGAAATACACGTGCCGTGTGGGCCTATCGACAAGTTGATGATAGTGTACGAGTGCCACAAACTTCTGGGCGAGTGAAGCATTCACGCTCTGCGTGCACATTAGCTGGGTGGTTTACACTGAAAGTGATTTCCGCACATTGGTAGCAAGTACTAATGAATTGAAACTCCGCTCTTCAGCGAGGTTGGACATCATCGTTGTAACCACGACGTCCCCGCCATAGCGCAGCTGCCTATAAGAGGTCCATCTACAAATCGTACTCCCCAACGGCAAAGGGAACTACCGCCAAGCAAGTACCAATCTTCTCACTCTTCGTTACTCGAAATATCCCATCAGTATACATTCGGATTGTAGTCTGGGCGAATATCGGATGCACTCTCCAGAGCTCCAAGTGTTTAGATGACCGTGTGTGATTAAAAGGAAAAGTCTAGTGCATCTAGACTATGCGTAGGCCCGAGGCAGACGGGGTTTCATCATCAAGGGTTCCCGACACGTCAGGTGGTGACCTCTATCCGTCGCCAGGACTTTCCAGGGCCATGTGTCGTGATTCTGAACGCGCTAGGTCTCACATTCCACACTCGCCCCCTGCACCTATCTGAGATCAACCGTGATTAATACGTGGACTAATTCTGATAGAATATTTGGCCTTGCCTACAAGGTGCATATCCCAATCGCTACTTAAAGTTCGTACGTTGACATTTCACATGTTCTGGATTGTTTATCCGCCTACCCTGTAGTTCTGCCTATGATACTCTCTCCCTGAAGTCTCCATGAAAGTCGCCAGCTGTAACTATCTTGATGGAATTGCCGGGTGCTTTCCAAAAACCTGTCTTCCTATCGCCAGTGTCAGAGTTGTTATTTGAGATTCCCCCGACGGCAGAAACACCCCATATTACCTAGCCAAGTCATGTTCCCTTCTCGTTATCCCTGCTGCTTTGACAACATCCATGTTTGTCAGTGTGTGCACGACTTTAGATGGAGTTCGTGGCTCGAGCAGTGCATCCCACGACACATGCAGCTCAGGCTTTACTTGTAAGGCGGGTGTAAGTATGAGTTGTTCGCTTTGCACCTGGAGAACTTCACTTCTCGGACGAGCTTGGCGGACCGAACATGGGGCAACAGTGAGTTGTATTTCTGCTTCCACGTTGGTATAGTGGTTGATCGCACGATATGCAGTTCGTTGCGGAGTTGATAGATGGGCTTACGTCTATACAAAATCCCCTGCTGCCTCGACCAGACTCTTGAATACAAATCAATCACTGTGGCATCGACAAATGTCGCTATTTTTACATGAATACAAGAAAACTGGTGTATGCAGCCGACATCAAAGTGCCTGTACATATGTCCTTGAAGATTGTTCAGAAGGAAGAAGAAGCTAGTTCGAGGACAATCGAGCTTCGTCATTCTGCCAGACACTGCTCCGTAAGTCGCAGGTATTTCTCGACCTCGAAGCTCGTGCCTCGGACCGTGCGATCCACTCTGCCAATGCAAGCCACAGTATCTGCATTTCAGAAATCAACGATAGCGTCGTTCAGAGCGATGATGAAGCTATCCTCTAGACCTCCCGATGGAGGCCATAGTGATCGTGTGCGTAATTCCGTTGAAATTCATTACTCTACTACTTACATCACCTACAGATTGCGTGAGCTACAAGCTTAAACGTACTCCATATATCTTTATCGATGTTGAACGGTTTGAACTGGTCTGGAGTCGGTCGGGTGCAAACGCTTTAAAGGCACGCTATGCGAACCATGGACTTGTCGCAAATCTTATCACATATTCACAAGTTACGACTTGTCAAGAAACATTGAACACGATACACGATGCATTTGTCTGGGTAACATGTGGCAAGTATACCGGATGGTTGTTCTGTGGTTGGATATTCTGGCTTTGTAATGCAAGTGGGGCGACACAATACCGGGTAGGTGATTGAGGCATCCACTAACGCTTGCATCGGTTGTGGAATTTGTGGAGAAGACAATTATGGTGCGTCCACAGTAGTCCAACCTATATAGATCGCAATGCGGATTCCCTCTTAACACTTTTCGCAACTCTTCACCCGTTCTTCCTCATCAATTATGGTTTCTTTCAAAAAATTGTTCCAAAAGTGAGTCTACTGTTTTCAGGTTATACTCATGATCATAATACTAATTAATACCCCTCAGGTGTAAGGAAGACAAAAAGCCATCGCTTAAGCACTCCCAGTCGATGCCATTCAGATACTCAGGAGCGAGCATGTTCGAGCCTTACGGCGATCCTTTCATAGCTGTATACCACGGCAAGACCCCCTCTAAACCTTCTAACATCGCGCACGTCGAGCAAGCTCCAGGGATGCGAGACATCCATCGTGCGCAGTGGCACCCAGGTGTCCACGACCATCCGCCAAGTCATGCCCACTTCGACACGCGCGCCCACTTGCCGGACCAGTTTCCCAATCCCCCACCGCCCCCTCCGAAACTCACTCGCAGTGCCTCAGGCACGACTTCGTCAAACCCACAGAACATTAGGCCTCAACTGCCACCGAAGCACTGCAACACAAGCGATCAACCTGTCGCAGGCAGACACAGAACTATTCAGCAGTCTTCTTCAGCCACGTACTATTCGCAGCCCACAGCTGCGGCATACCCCTCCCTTGGTCGCAAAAAGCGGCGTGAGGCCACCGCTGATCAAGCTGTGGCGGATCTGCTGCAAACACCTGATGGCCGGCCTCCCGTATTTGGGAGCAGTAGGCAGGCAGAACGTGCCCGCGCCAAGTCGAGCACTGCTCACTCGTACATCCCCGTCCCTCACGATCTGCTGGAAACGGCTGACGGCCGACCTCCAGTATTTGGAAGCAGCAGACAGGCAGACCGTATGCGCACCAAGTCGAGCGCTGTTCGGACATACACTCCTGACCCTTATGATCTGCTGGAAACACCTGATGGCCGGCCTCCCGTATTTGGAAGCAGTAGACAGGCAGAACGTGTGCGCACAAAGTCGAGCGCTGTTCGGTCATACACTCCTGTCCCTTACGATCTGCTGGAAACACCTGATGGCCGGCCTCCCGTATTTGGAAGCAGTAGACAGGCAGAACGTGTGCGCACCAAGTCGAGCGCTGTTCGGTCATACACTCCTGTCCCTTATGATCTGCTGGAAACACCTGACGGTCGGCCTCCCGTATTTGGGAGCAGTAAACAGGCAGAACGTCTGCGCGTCAAGTCCAGCGCTGGTCACTCACAAAAACCCCTCCCTCCCCTCCCTCCCCTCCCTCCCATTCCCCCCATTCCTACCAGTCACTCCCCGCGTCCATTTATCTTGCGCTCTGTGCACAGCTCACGTACAAACTTGAATCATTATAGAGATCGGCGCTGACTGGTCTCGTTGGGTAGTATATCGATGGATTTGTGCACATGGAACTTAGTATGTGAAGATAGAGTCTTGGAGCTGCTTTACCTAATCATGTATGTCGAGTATATCATTATGTATATGTATATGTATATGATCTATGAAAATGATTTATGAAAAGATGGTTGTTTGGCATTTGAGATTATGGTCTGCTTGACGCTATCTCAGAATCTAAGTGTTACAATTTATATAGTTTTTTATTGCAGTGAATTATATTACCATCCGGCAGATGTCGTTCGCCATTGCAAGCTAGTGAAATTAGCTCCTATAACCAAGTTACTTCAAATTGCGCTTCGCCGTTGTAAATCAACTCTTCAAGTAATACCTACTTCTTGTCACCGCTGCCTTGTTCATTACATCGTGTGACCTCACTAGCCCTGAAGAACGTTACATGGAATCCATGTAATTCATACTGTGCATCCTTTGAGATGGCTTAATAATATACAATCAGCATGTACATCCGAGTCACGCCAATTGATGCATGTTCAGGATTACTCTGAGGATGCGCATCAAAGACGCGCTTGAGGAGTTTCGGACAACAACTTTCACAGTCTGTATTCGATACCCAAGTCTTCAGCAATGATCATTGCAGCCTTCTCTCCAATGACGAGCGCCGTCGAATAAGTGTTCTGAAACAAGGTCAAACTATGCATCAATAATTTCTCGTTCACTACTCACCGTACCAACATTCTTCGGCACGATGGATAAGTCTGCAACCTTCAGGTTTGTCACACCATACACATTTAGCCGAGCGTCAACGACTCCTTGATCTGCCCTTGATTTCATGGCACAAGTCCCGAGCTGCACACACAAGGATAAGGCACCTCCTGATGAAAGTTTAAGTTACACATACCGAGTGCCATGACGTTTGGACTGGGATTCGATCGGTATGTTAGCTTAAGAATGGGGAAATGAATTCAGGACATACTGTTGTCACGGTGAAATTTTTCGATCACTTCGTCATCTTCTGCAGTGTAGATGATGTCGGGCGCATTCAAGTCCACTGGACCGGTCGCTTCTCCGCAGACTGCAGTACTTCCCTCTGGGAAACGAGGGTGGAAGGCGGCGACTTCACCTCGGTAAGAAGGCATGCGTCGACAGATTTCGCGCATTTTTTTGTACCCAAAGTTGAGAGGTACAATATCCGACGGACTAGGCGGATTGTCATGGTCAGACGGATCTGGTTGAAATGAAAGAAGTGCCCACTTACTCATCTAGGTAGCCTGTAGTGAAGTCGATGTCTTCCTTGCCGTTCTCTCCAAATTTGACATGAACACTTCCAACAGACACGGGGTAAAGCTATAGGACCTGTATTCAGAACAAAAATCACAGGGTGTATGGAAAGCAGTACTTCAATCATTTCGGCAGTCATGTAATTGCGAGGTGGAAAGTCACTTGGCACCAGGACTCTGGCTATCCTGAGCATTCGCACGTCATGAAAGCAAAGGATTGCACACACCCTGAAAAGATAGTCCATATTGCAACAGCCTTTTCCGGGCGATCCTGGAAGAACTCCTTCCATCGCGGTTTAAAAGTTGAACCCATGACTTTCAGTTCTTCTTCGTCAGGACGCCACTTGATTTTTGCATCGTTGCCGCTGAAATACTAATAAGTGCGTTACAAAGAGCGAATCATTGTGCCAACTTTTGAGCAATGAGAGACTTTCTATGACTTTTCCATTGCGCAAGGTGTTCTGCGCGTGGGTACTTAGAGAGTGCTGAGAACATGGCGAGAACATGCTTGCTTACCCTGTATGACACTCTCCTCCCCACGCCAGAGCCGGTCCATGGTAACAAATTCGTCACCAACAAAGTACGGAACGAAGGCGCCAATATGATCTGATAACCTTGAATAAAGATTATGAGATAAAGATATAAACGCAGACCTCGATAGTTTTCTCCAACGCCGGGCAAGTGTACACGTTGCTCGATACCGCACTGCTTGAGGACCGCCTCAGCACCAATCCCAGACCTCTCGAGGATGGCTGGCGAACCGAAGGCCCCGCCAGAAATGACGACAAGTTTTGATGCTCTCACGGTACTCGATGACTGATCTGCGTCCGGGCAAGACACCGGGTCGTTGGTGAACTCGACACCTACAGCACGTTTATCCCTTTCAGTCGTCAGTAGTTGAGCACAATCGCGATCCAGAGTGCAACACTTACTCGAAGATCACGCGCTTTACACGCTTGCCAGCCCATATTTGTAAATTGGGGTTGTGAGCTTGGTTATAGACATAGCGATGTGCAGCGTCAGAACGCGTTCCAGTTGTCCCGTCAATGTACCTTTGCATATATTGCATGAGCCTAAGTCACGATAGACTACGAGGACATGCTCACTTGAACCATGGCTGAGACGAATTTTGTCAGTGGTGGCAGAGGGAGAAGGAGCATAATGAGGTAGCGCACACCGTAAGAATTGCATGTTTCTAAATCTTCGGAGTCATCGGAAAATGGCCTCTTGTGATATTTCGTGCCAACACGGATAAAGTCTTCGCTGATACTCATTTTACACCCACCAGAAGACACCTTGATAGGCCCATCGTACCCATGGGTTGGACGATCGGCCTGCACCTCGTATGTCTCCAGCTATGCAATAACAGTTCAGCTTGAGAAATGTACAGACAACACGTTTGAAGACCTTCTTCATGAGGGGAATCAAGTTCTTAGATTCCCAACCATCAACTCCCCAATCATCAAAATCTGAGGCAGGCGAACGAGTGTAATTCATAACTGTCCAAGCATCAGAGTCATGCTCATTGTTACAGAAATAATACGAACAGTTCACACTTGACCCTCCACCAACGCAATGGGCGCACTGAACAATTGGTGCACGACCGTTGAGATGGGATGAAGAATTTCCAATGTTCAATGTCATCGTAGTACTCGTCGGTGCCAGATGGGTGAAATATTGGTAGGGTTGAACATGCGCAGCTTTATCGAGGGTGTGTTGACCTCCTTCCAGAATTAAGATCCTGAGCGAGGAGTCGCATGCTGCCAGGCGACCCGCGACAACGCAAGCTGTACTGCCGCCTGCACAAAAAGGACCATGTTAAGAGTAACGCTGTGTGCAAGATGTCAATACTCAAGTACTCACCTCCAGCAAAAATGATATCAAACTCTGATAAGGACGGATAAGACATTGGTTTTGCTGTTTAGGGAGCCAGTCGCAGTCACCAACTCACAGTGCCGCAGGTGTGTACAACTTATAGGATAATCTACAGCCACCGCTGTTCAAGTGAATGACCAAGTCCGAGACTCCGATTAGTATCAGTCATCTGCCATCAAATGATAACATTAATAATACGTACCATAAACCATATCATGAATTCAAGGTTAGTGTAGTATAAAAACACGCACTGTAGTGACTACTACACTCGTTACTAAGCTCCTAACGTGATTAGCACGGCCCGCATTAAAGTGCCTTGGTCTCATGCCAGGTGGCACCCCGACTAGGACCCCGAAAAACTAACCAACATTACGCCCAAACGCCATAAAGCCTCCTGACCGTGCGTCAGGTATATATCTCGGACGACCCGCTCGCTAGGCTTCGAGCCGCCACTGCACGCTGTTGGGCTTGTCCACCAGCGCACAATTGCAATGCATTACGAGACATCACTGCTACTTGGTGTGCTTGTGGAAACCCGCACAGGACACACTTGCGCCGCGGTCAAGCTGCAACTGGTACGTACACATGATACATGCTCCACCTATCGCTGAGAAACGAAATCCGTTGGCAACGCCGGTTTTCTAGTCAACATGTACATGTGCTGGATTAGTAATCAAGAAGCACGTTTAATGCATCCAAGGACTGGTCTCGGCTTTAATTTCAACATCTAGTTGAGTAATCATACAGTGTTGAGCCATGCTCATATCCTCTTTACTCAAAGTTCCAGCATGAACGCATACAGTTCATTTCTCGGATTAAGCGACGTAGCGAAACACGACATTAACTATCCACTGAAGCATCATGGCCTGGCGGACAATGGTTTCAGGGCCGTTACACGTTTTTGAAGAACTTCCGTCGTGGAGCTCCCGTGCTTGCGTGTCGGGTGAATGAGCGCTGCCCTGCGCATTACGATCCGCCTCCTCAAAGTCGGAATGCCTCGGTAAATCATCGATGACTTTTAAACAACAGGCTAAGTAATCAAGATCATAGATACGTGGATTGAAATAGATATGTGATATTTATGGGACGCTAAATGTTTCTGTGTGCAGCTACGAAGTTCAGATTGATCTAACCAATAGAAATATCAGGAAGAGTCTCAAGTATCCTTCCCCTTCTCTTTCTTTCTGACCACCCACCCATCCCAGCCTATCCTCGTATTTCGGTACATCTTTGCATCAAATGCCTTTCCAATAAGGACAAAGCCGACATCATCAACTCTGTCCACAATTTTGGCGACAATGAGCGCTGTAGCCATTGGCGCCCATTCTTCCGCGACGCAGCTCAGCCCGCCGTGTCCAAAAGCAAGTAGTTGCATCTCGACTGGACGTTCATGCTGAGGATGGAAGCGCATCGCATCGAAGGTCTCTAGACGCGTGCCATATACACACGAGCGATGAACAGCTCCGACGTCAGCTATCTCTTGCGCAGGATAAAAAAGACGCTTCCACAAGGGGTGTCGACTTTTGCGTGCAATGCGCTGAATGGGTGGGTGCAACCTCAGGACTTCATTGATGATGGCTTCTACGCTTGGCCGAGTGTTCTTGACTTTGAAAGAATGGAACTGCTTCTGAGTGGGATTCTCGCTGAAATCTAGGAAGGCATTATGCATGTGTTGATTGCCATTCGCATAGGCCAATGTGACAGCAGCTAGACGCCACATGGACTCATACGCGGGAAGAATAGTTTCCAAGGCCTGAGAGGCGCGCTCCCTCCCGACCCATCTATAAACACGTTCCCTCATCGCGTAAAGTTCGCCAGGATAATAGGGAGTTTGCCGCGAGATACCATCCGAATGGCGGTTGAGTGCGCTGGTCATGAAGGCGACATCGACAGGGGAAAGGGTTCCAGGGTCTACGCCATAAAACCCAGTAATTATGATGCAAAAAGTAACACTTTGTATAAAAGCGGCGAAGTCGACTTCTCGACTCGGAAGGAACATCTCTGTGCATTTCTCAGCACATTTCACAAATCTTTGCCACCCAGCACATTGCTGGGGGCTAACGGAGGCAATCAATTTTCTCGCGTCTTGTACGAAGCCGTCGTGCCTTGAGGGGTCGAGTATTGCACTCGAGGATGTTAGAGCGAAGTGTTCATGAAGATGGACGCGAGAACGAATTTCGGCTTCATGGTCGATGTTTCTTGGTCTCAGCATTGCCTTAACAGCGCTAGCTGTGCGGTGGGTCCGAGTGCGGGTGACATGACATGCCCCGAAAATGACCATAGCCAGCGACCACAAAGCTACTGCAACTACTATGGGAAGCGCCATTCTGAGTAAGTTTTGCATTCTCCAGTTTGTTTCGGCTGATTATATGAGAATGAGACCCACGTGTCCAAACATTCGTGCGGGAAACACCTGTCTGTGGCATTCATTCCAGTTTGCGTCCTCCGCATGAGCCGCACTGCGACGCAGCATATCGATGTGATTTTTCTTTGTGTGGATAGCAGTGAAACATACTTCTCCCTCTTTCTGATTGCTAAGCGAGGGCTGTTAATTATGCAAACCGCTGATGAACTCCATCCCTGAGTTAGTGGGCTGTTATCACAATACTGGTACATGATCCACCGAAAATTCCGTAGTACAGTATGAATTAATCACAACAAACAACCACAGCACAGAATTCTCATGTCCGTCAATGAATTCGGCTAGATACGGAAATCATACTGTTCCTGCTGCGTTGTCAGAGTTGTCTATTTCCGGAGTTGCTGCTGCCGCCCTCAACAGTCAACGATCTTGTTCGCACTAATTAAGAGGAGATGTGGCCTAGCGTGCTCAACTTTGGAGAATCGTCCCTGAGACAAAGCTGCACGACATCGTGCCAACACCCTCGTGGCCTCGGCAAGTCGAATGGATTCGGAGTGCCTGCATAGCCACGTGCTCGCCCCTTGCTAGAATGGCGTCAGACTTGACATGGTCAGGTAATTAATGCGAGTGTAGACACTATGAGCATGGCATGGAGGTGGCTGTTGCGCCTGTCAAAGTTGTGGCCCTCTCTACTCCACAGACAAATCGAGTGATGCAGCCACGCCAGTCAGAGAATCTTGAATAGTGATCTTCGCTGAGAGTCTGAATAGGATTCGGAGAGGTAAAAGAATATCAACCCTTTGATTACGTACGTATCATGTCTAATGAAAACAGTGCAACGCCCACTGCAGCAGATCGGCAAAGGGTCGACATGCGCGACACCATGTGGGAGGACCGCCTCAATGCTGTATCCAAGTCGATTTGATCTCCGATGTCCTCGGATTCCTACCTTTGACTACGAGCGCTCCGCCTTTCCGAATTCAACAACTTTGCATACCTCACCCCCAACTCTCGGTTACTCTCTTCCTGAGGGCGGGTGGCTGGGATACGGCGATATTCTACACCATCCTCGGCTTCCGAAGAAACCCTCAGTCCAAAACTAGCAGGCTGTCTGTCTGCCACCTTCGTAGACACGTTCCGCAGACACCAATCAAGGGCTTTTTCTGTGCGCTCCTTAAGTGCGTAGGCTTCCTCCGACTGATAGAACGCCACAGGCAGGCGATGGCTGAGCCACAGATAGAGCACGAGCGATTTGTGAAGTCCCTCAAGAGTTACGAGGCCCTGAGACGGCGCACCAGCAGAAGACTTGCCGCCGGACATCATCCCTTCCACATTCTCCAGTGCTTCTATATATGGGCCGACTCGGAGGGCGTGCAGGATAGGGACTCGGATTTTCTCGTTGTATATCTGACATAGGCGAGCTGTGAATTCCACTGCAAGGGCATCTCGCCAATTCATTGGAGAACCGCCGATGAGAAGTCTATCATATAGTTTCATATGTTTGGCGTGAGTTTCGATGAACTGAGATCTTTCCTCAATCTTGGAGGGAACGAAGGCACGGCAAGGGGGCCGAACATTGGAGACATATGGAGCCACCTCCAATAACGTTTGGTGCAAAGCACCGGCAGGAAGTGCTTGAAGAACACTCTCAGCCCAGGCCAAGGTAGGAGAGACGCCTGCAAACACGATAGGATCTGGTTGGCGCAGAATCGCAGAGTGAAGCATTGGGAGATCATCTGCATGGAGAGTCGTAACGAAGCCTCCAGGTTCACCATGAAGGCCATAGCGTCCCGCACGCCCAGCAATTTGCTTGATTTGAGAAACTGATAGAGCGCGTTCGACAGTACCGTCAAATTTGCGCAGGGTCTCGAAGATGATCCGTTTGATTTTGCTAAGCCGAATGAGACGGGTAATACGATGAAGGGTGCAAAGTACTCACAGATTAAGTCCCATGCCAATGGCATCACTTCCGATCATCACATCATAGCCGCTATGAGGATTATTGAAGAGCGCCGCTTGTTCGGCACGGATCTCCGGTGGAAGTCGCCCGTATGCAACGGCACAACGCAAACCTGTATTCTCTTCTACCTTGCGCTTTAGCGCAAATATGCTGCTTCTTGAGAAAGCGACAAGACAGTCGCCCTTTCGGACTCTACCGAAATCTCCCTCCAGAGATTCGTCTTGAACAGTAAGAGGTGTCAAACGCTCGTAGCGGTTGATGAAAAGCTCGTCATCTGTATCATGCAAGAGCGCTTGGACAATTGGGACCGCAACTTCTTCGCCACATAAATGGAGTTCTTCGGCAGGTAGACCCAACACAGCAGCGGTCCATGCGGATCCACGGTCTGGGTCAGCAAGCATTTGGATCTCGTCCACGACTGCGACTTCTACCGGAAGACTCAAAGAAGTCATCTCTACCGTGCAACTCACAAGACCGGCATACTCGGAAACGATCCTAAACTCCTCTCCAGTGCGAAGGTTGCACTCTCGTGCGTACTTCGCCTTGCCTTCTTTCCGCACGGTTGGTCTGGACACTGACTCTTCGATTATATCCATGTTCGTGGATGTGTCTGGCTCAGAGTCGGGGTCTGGATCCATCCCGAGGGGCACGATCTGACCCTTATTGAGCCGGTCCCAAATTTCATGTGCGAGTAGCCGCAGCGGACCAGAGTAGACACCAGTCTTCGCCGCCGCGAGCGCGCGTAGAGCCATGTGGGTTTTCCCACTATTAGTAGGCCCAACGTGCATGATGACCTTGCGACGCATTGAGCGCGCTTTAGGGTACATATCCGCAGGGTATGACATATCTGCGGTTGAGTATAGATATGAAATTTGTTCCAGCGTATGCTGCGATACTGATTTCAGGAGAACTTCTTGTTGCTCGGGGTCGGACGCCCAGGAGTAGAAAAGTTGAGTGAGATTCTGGTCTAGCCGGAGTCCTTGATTCAGTTCTTTTGCTGTGAGAACAAATCTCTCTACGTGGTACTTTTTCTGCTTGACTGGATTGTGAAGGAGCCCAGAGCTGACCTCTCGGGCGAATATTGAAAGAATGGGCTGGACGTCTGTTCGTGGTACCCCGAAGGACTCCAGGCGACGGTGTACGTGCGGAAGATCAGCCCATTTGTGGACCTGTTTTTCCATGACGAGGAGAGTGTCATTAGCGTCCCGTACTGAGAAACCGTCCAGGATGTGACCCTTCTTTTGCTTCGTGACGTACTGAGGGTTGGAACGACCACCATGTTTGAAGCTACCACGTTGATTACCGGAAAAAGTTTTTGGAGAATGATATGAATTTCTTGGTTGTTGACGCGAGTCGTTGGAGCGAAACCGACGGAAGTGGACTTGGCTGGCTTCTAACCAACTTTCAGATTTTATGAATCCCGAAAGGAGAAGGCGACAGCGGGGCAGCATAACAACAGACATTAACCAAGAAGTAGAATAGTGTTATATTGAGAAGTCTACGCTGGCTTTATGAAGCCATTGAATAGAGTTGACCGTATTCTGCGAACGAGGCGGGTTAGAGAAAAGTGGTTGTTTGGTGATGTTAGGATCAGAAGGTTCACTCAAAAATATCAATGACTTGTCAATTCTAAGTCAACTCACTATATACTTACACCGGCCATGGCTGCCGCAGCAGCCGCCATTCGTCCTATGCGACTTGCATCACTGACACTGACACGTTCCTCCGTATTTAAAACTGCGTATAACCCCACATCAGCACGTACTGGAGCCAAATACCTTCGCGCACGACTTCGCGGGCCTTCTATGGTCAAATACTATACTCCAGAAGCCAATATTGCACAGCTCATAAGACAATGGCCTGAGTTGGAAATGATAAACTTGGCAGAGGATGAAAGACTGCAAGATGTGGAGGACAAAAAGAAGAGAGGGAAGGGTGCACCGAAGAAAGCCAAGGAGAAAGGTGAGTTGAGACTTTATGACATATTTGCACAATTAACGCCTCGTTTCAGGCGACAGTCGCAGAGCCAGCAGGAGGCGATGATGCATTGTATTGGAGCTGGAGAACGACCCTGTTCTGTGTGTCTACGACATGGCGGGAGACGACAAAGAGAGGACGGTCTACTACGTAGGTATATATACGTAGTCCGGATCCGGACATCGAACGATGACGAAGGGCGAACATTAAATTCTAACACACCCCCTCGACCGAGACATCGTGAGGAAGATAGTAAGCGCGTGAAGTTGAAATGACTGAACTATGAAACAGCGAGAAAGTGCTAGAAAGTTCATTACCGCGTATGGAGAATCGAGTATGTCGTACTGAGCACTGGGTGTCATCTAAATAGAGCCGGGAAAGAGATATTAGCATACTTGTTGAATGTAGCTTGCAGTATCACTGCGCAAGGTGATGGCATGCATTCGAGTAAGGCGGATTATGTCAGCGGATATTGCTGGCGTTAGTAGCCGAAAATGGAAGGAAGTCGTTTATTGACTGGAAATGAACAGCGGCATCGCGGCACACCTGCCTAATACGGTCAAATTTATGATAATATTAATGATATTCTAATCAGAATCTTTCGACCCTACGGAAAGTCATCCAATTATCGATCAAGGCATGGCATCAATATCCAAGGCCGAGAAGGCCTACATCCAATCCTCCTTACTATCTGATCCGCCATTACGAGCAGACGGTCGCGGTTTCATAGATTTTCGAACTATAGCCCTCGAGTCTGGAATTGCCCCCATCGCAAATGGCAGCGCACGCGTTAGCATCGGTAGAAACGCGCAGGACGGCGGTGGAGGCACCGAAGTCGTAGCCGCTGCAAAATTAGAAGTTGAGAGCGTCGGCGATGGCGAAGGTGTAGATGGCGGACGAGTGGCTTGCTCTGTGTCCTGGTACGGCTTTTTTGCTACACCTTTAAAAGAAAAGACTGGATAACTCGGACTGATAGCTCTCCAACTGCATACCCTCTCCTTTCCCCAAATGCCCTAGATGACCTGCAACATGACATGACGTCCGTATTGAATGCTACTCTCTCTCATCCGACAATCCGACCAACAAACCTTGGCATCATCCCTGGAAGGAAATCTTGGTTGCTCAATCTCGATATCATAGTATTTTCTGATGCAGGGAACATATTCGACGCAATTTTCATGGCTGCACGCGCCGCTTTATGGGATACAAAGGTACCTATAACAAAAAGCGTCCAATACCGCGCGAAGAAAGGCGAAACTCAGGCTATGGACGTGGACACGGACGAAACAGCCCTTGTCGGCAGCGCACTGGACACACGACAGGCGATTCAAGTGGCTGACTTCGAGCTTCCTGACTACTGGGACGAAGGCGAACCCCTAGATGGAAGACAAGCATGGCCGGTTTGTCTGACTCTCAATCTGGTTCGTTGTTTGTTGAGTTCAAATTCGATGGTATGTGATTGACCTTTGAACAGTTACCAACCTTGCATTTCCTGGATGCTACGCTACAAGAAGAAGCTTCTGTGCCTCTCAAGTTACTCGTATTTTACTCCTTCCCGTCAGATGCAACTCCACTGTTGCGAGGCATGCGCTTGCTCGGGACAGGCGTGTCGGACCTCACACAGGTCAAAAGCCTCTTGAAGGTAAGCATCTAGCACGTATCTTTATCACCGCATTCTAATCCTCTCAGGATGGGGAGAAGTATGCTCGGAATGTGTGGGTCGCTCTTGAAGGGAAGCTCAAGGACGAAGACTTTAGACGCAACCAAAAAGCCAGAGAGAGATTTCTCAATAGATAAACCTGCAACCATATGGCATTCTCACAATAACCCTTGACGAAGTGGTAAAGAGTAAGCGATTCCATGGCTTCGAGCTTATAATTTCTGGACTATAACTGCCTCCTTCGTGCTAGTAACTCCGGAAATATTTGACCGTTTATGCATTCAGGCACTCGTGATTGTATCTATCCATTTACAGGGAAGTTCAGTGCGCAGGCATCGAACGCATGGTAGGTAGAAGGCATAGCCTGTCCTGCCTGAGAAATCGGACTCACTGGCAGATGGGGGACGTCACGCGTAACAGCTCAGTCACAGTCTCGCATGCTAATGAACTGAACACTCTGCCCTCCAGCTAGAGATATTGAGCCAAGAATAGTTCTCGCCGGTCAAGCAATGCTCCCTCTCAGTCTGCTGACCTACACAAGATGCCTGAAATGTCCGGACATCATATTCCGAGTGCGAGAACGCCGCATGGAATGCTGGTCTATTTCGTACGCAGGTTCTTTCAGCGTAACTAGCGGGATGTACGAATCAGATAAAAGGAGTATGTTCATGGTACACTTCTGCAGCGGTCACCCTCAACCAGCATCATCCAAGTAAAGTCCCTGACCACCACCAACCCGTCATGAAATTCACATCGGCAGCCATCTCCCTCCTTGCTATCACTCTTCCCGTGCTCGCTCAGACTGAGAGCCTTTCGTATGACAACACTTACGATAATGCTGATCTGTCTCTCGACGAAGTCGCCTGCTCAGATGGGCCTAACGGACTCATCTCCAAGGGCTACACGACCCTAGGTCAATTGCCTACATTCCCCAATGTCGGCGGTGTCTACACTGTTACGGGATGGGATTCAGTTTACTGCGGAACATGCTACGAAGTAACATACGGCAGCGAGACAATCGCAATCCTTGCTGTTGACGTTGCGAGTTTAGGGTTTAACATTGCGGAGGCAGCGATGAACACGCTTACTAACAATGAGGCTGCGTTTTTGGGGAGGGTATCGGTGACTTCAGTTCAGGTCAACGCATCTGTTTGTGGCCTTTGAAGGTAAGCACGTTGGGTTTCCTTGTGCATGAAAATCGACGCTCATGTCGAGTAACTTAGTATCCATTGATAAACACCATCGGTTACTTGGATTCGGATTCAAGTACAAGTTTAACTTTCGTCCTTTTGGGTAGTGGTGTCACGATATGGACTGGAACTAGACATCAATTATGCAAGAAACTGTATTTCACATTCATGGATGTTTACTGAGCTCAAGATATATACGCACCTACGAGATTACAAATAAACATCTGTCCATCCCAGACTAAAACCTATAGATCCAAGACCGAGCGAACGCAGCCTCGTACCGCTCTGCCAGTGAAGCAAATACCATAAGCGGTTCTTTCGAAAGCGTCCACAGACCTGCCAATATAGGCACTACCGCTGCGCCTGCGACGATCTTGCGCGTTCGTGGGCTCATGCGGAATTTCCGAGAAGCGAAACGCGATGCTTGGATGATTTGTGCGCCTTCGACTGCGTGGAACATGACGCTTGTAACCAATCCACCGTACAAGATCCAGCTTCGCCAGGGAAACCTAGCCAAGCCAACCTTGATAAACTCAAAGTCTAGCTCTGAGGGCCCTACTTCGAATATCGGCGGTGAAGGATTGGCAGGGTAAACGCGGTGTGTGTAGAAATGTATAGGAAGGAAGATTAGAAGAGTTGAATATGCTGCGAGACTGAGGGTGCTGGTAATCTTGCGAGGCGGTGCTGAACGTGGACTGATGATCCTTTTCGTAATACTTGAAGCTACGTGGGATGCTAGAGGTAGAAAGAGGAGATATCTCTCTCCAAAGCCCGTTTGGTAGTACTCCCTACCAAGAAGCTGCGCCGGTCATGATTCAAACGTCACATCCCTTTGTTACCAATTTGATGATACTGTGTCACCTACCATAACATTGGAAGACAAACTCGAGCCTCCGACATTTGCGAGTGCCGGTGCGGACAGATGGACAATGAGGAAAACTGAAAGGAAAGGTGCGGAGATGTGGGCGACATTTGTCAAAACTGTCACTGTGTGTCTTAGTTTTGACCCATCTCCCTTGGCTGACATTGTTTCCGCGTCGTCTGAAGCAGCCAGGAATGACCATTTGGAGTTTTCGAACAATCCAAGGAATATACTGCTGAGAGTCATGGAAGTTGGCTTGCAATTTGTGGGGATCGCCGTTTGCCGCGACTTGCATGCAAACTCGTAAGCTCAGCAATTTTGAGTTTCGAATTTCCAGTTTGCTAGCATTATACGTCCTACATGTAAGTAATCCGTCCCTAAGTATACTATGCACATGAATTAATGCGAACCGAGAGAAATGTGGATATGCATGGTGGAAAGGTGATATTAATGATACTAGAACGCGGAGCAGGGGGCTGAGTATTAGGATCAAGCAACCGTAAAGAAGAAATGACGCGAAACACTGGGGCTATGAAACACTAGTGGGAATAGGGCTACAGGGTCAAGACAGTAGTGCCGGAGATCATCCTCGTGGGTGAGGTTTTACTGGGTGCGTGTTGGAATTCCACGATTCTGTGTCTTGCTCTTGGAAGAGTGCCGAGTATTCAATGTCGCAGGGAATACCGGGTACATGATCAGGGTATTCGGAAAGGGGAAGGGGATGGGTGAAAAAGTCAAAATTGTGTAAGCCAAGAGCGTAAGCTTCCAGAGCCTGTGCACGCTCCATGTCTTCATAAGGCGCTAATAGCTCATCACCAGGCAACATTTCTTGCCCCGGCATACAGGGGGAAAGGGGATTGCTATTCCAGCCAGAAAGGGAGGAGGTGATAGTTGTAAAGGAGGAAGGAGTGTAGGTGAGTCCATTCTGGCTCTCTGGGGATTGGTAGTCAAGCTCAAATGCCATGTGCGACTCGGACGGGTTGCCTATCGAGCTATCATGCTCCTGTATTATGGAATTGAGCACACATCCAAGGAAAAAATCGTATCAGAAACGTACCCCAGTCGATGCACCGAAAGTGAAGGATATATAGGAAGATGGATCGTTTGAGGCAGCATGCCATTGCTGAGGTTGCGCCTCAAATTCCTTCCCAAACCGAACATGTGCCGCCTGTGACACATAGTCAAGAGGACGCAGTGGCCACTCTCGTCCTTCAGTGGAGCGAGACCTGCACGAGTCGTCCTTTGGAGCGTATGATGGGAGGATGGGAGTGAGAAACGCGTCGGGTAGCGGAACAGACGACGATCGTCGTTGAGCTGCGGCACAGTTCCCAGGGACGTCTTTCGGTACGAAGTCTCCGTATGCCCCGACACTCTCGCTCCCTTCCTTCTCGATGACCTGCTGATGTACAACATCCTCTTGGGAGTCTTCATCCACATCTGCGATATAATGAGGCATTTGTTCGTCTGAATCGAGCAGGAAACTGCTGTTACTGAGGCCCATATCGTATTGACGTTTCTTCAGTCCGGAGATTTGGCGCCTCATTGGACGAAAGCGATAGTGGGGGTAAAGGCGTGCATGGTCCTCTCTCTCCTTATCTGCAAGCACTTTATAAATGTCCTTTTCAGAAGCCGACAACTCCTTCCAGGCCTCAGCGGCTCGCTTGGAGAGGGTCTTGGCAGTAGGATTGGGTGCTTCTGATTCCTCGTCGCCTTCTTGGGCTGCCTGGCTGTGCTTGCGTGAGTACTCACAGCGAAAGATTATGAAGGCGTTTCTAGGTCGAGGAATCCAACTAGGGTCCCTGCTTCTGTTACGCTGTGCACGTCGATCAGATGAAGGAGCCATTGGTTGGTGAGTAATGGAAGAGGTGGACGGTATAAAAGGCTTGGGTTGAGGAAATGTATGGTCTGGTAGATGAACATCATGGTCATCCTCCACGGAAGGAGGAGACCATCCGCGGAGGACAGGTTGGGGGGTGAAGACCATTGAAGACCTTGAAGGGATTTCCGGGAAGCGGACGGGACAGGGCAAGGTTATGTTATATGATTGTAATCAACAAACCTGCCGTTGATCTTAGATCAACTGCTTGCTGTTGCCCCAAGGTTAAGTGAATTTGAACTCAGACACATGAAGGGGGTTTGTTTTCAAGGACAGGATGATCAAAATTGAAACCAGGTCAGTGAGCCGAGCAAGGAAATTGAAACAATCGAGACCCGAGAACAACACGAAAACAGCTTGGAAATGTTCCCTATAATTTAAATGGATTAATAACCAAGACATCATTCGATCCGTTCGATCAACCTAATCTAGATCATACCCCGCCGATCACTATGAACGCCGTGGATACTAGGGTCTTGAACACACCTGCCCGTTAAGGTGCCCTGGAAGCTTGTAGCAAGCTTGATACTCCTCGCGATAGGAGTTGCGGGAGCTTGACCTCAAACGGACAACCACTCGGGCTCGGACTCGGTCAACCGCGGCAAGTACTTTCAGGGTGGGATGGCAGTGCTATGGCCAAAGCGAGACCAAGTCTCACTATTACAGGAGAGTTACGCTAATGCTAACAACCGGAGACTACACCGAGGCTGAATTCCGGGGGTCACCGTATGACCGCTTCCACGATGCACTTAGCGCTCGTAAAAACAAGTTCTCCTTGATGCCATTAATCCTTTAGTGATCGAGCGCGATCATACTACTTCCGATTCACTGCCGGCGGCTAGTACTGCATTCTCCGTGGACTTGCTGACAAACTAAAAATCAGACGAGACATGGTCATCATTTTCTATGCTAGACCTAGGCGTGTTTTGACTTCCATCATCGTCACCTCGGAGTGTTCAATAGCGCGAATAGCACCGCGACGCGCTACCTCCTCAAGATATGTCGTTTCATGACGAATACGATTAAACTGCGCCCGGGGCCCTTTCAGGAATTCCTCGACAGCCTCTGCGACATCGCGTTTCAACGTTCCGTGACCTTGGCTTTCATAGGCTTTGGCGACCTGGGTGACATCGCTGTCTGTGCAAGCAGCGAGGATAGTAAGTAGATTTGAGGTACCCGGGCGACCTTGAGGATCGTAAGTAATGCCCTGAATCGAGTCCGTGACAGCAGCCCGAATTTTCGATTGGATCTGCGAAGCGATATCGGTGAGCAAGATGCGAGACTGGACGTCGGGCGAAGATTTCGACATCTTGGACGTTGGGTCTTTGAGTGATAAAATCCGTTTCGATGGAGCTGAAGGCATGGTTCAACGGATATATATACACAACCTCAAATACTTACTGTTGACATAAGTCGGAAGGGGAAACAAGGGAGACGTTCCTTTGAATGTTCGGTTGAAGATATCGGCAAGATCTCTCGTAAGTTCTATATGTTGCTGTTGATCGTCGCCAACAGGAACGTGGGTGGCTCTTAGCAACACATCAGTCGTGCCAAAAATGACCACCAAAAGAAGGCCCACTTGTAAACAAGTACGTCCGCGGCTTGTAGCACAGGATACATGAATAGACCGGCGTTAAGCATCGACTCATCCACTTCATCCTCTGAGCTAGAATTTCGCGCCGCAGCTAATCTTGACTTGAGGAACGTAAGAATTGAATTGAATGTAATTACGCTTGGAAGAACGCACCTTCCAAGTCGTCATCCGGCGCAGTTTCCCCATGGGCGCTATGCAGCTTAATATCCAGGAGAGTTCGGTATGGTGAGGATTCTAGGTATTGTTAACCAATCGGCTGGTGGCATAGAGCAATCAAATACATGGTCCTGGTGAAACAGTATCGACCGGTTAGGGTCGATGCCTATGGCAAGTAAAACAGCCAGCATATCATTCCTTGCAGCCAGTAGGGAAGCAGGATCCTGTGGAAGGGTCAACGCATGCCATCCCACAATCGAAAACAGCAGTTTGTCCTCAGGCTCGGCAGATTTTTGAAGCTTGACCCAGTTGGACAGTGCGCCTAGGTAGTTCCCTAGCTATTACTATGTAAGTTGTTCCGTGTCAAAAAAAGAATATAATCTTACATGAGGGATACCAGTCGGTTGAATGCCAGAGAGTATCACGCGTCCCGGGCGGATCTGGCAGACACGTCGGGGAATGATCATGTGTGATGAGCACTAAGAAAAGTATTTTAAACTCCGATAATATACAAGGTACTAGACCTCAGCTGGTGCTTTGCTTTACTGACGTCTACTACCAGCCACTACCGGCTCATCTGGCGACCGCAGCCACATGGAGTACGATCCCTTTGTGGACCTTCCTGGCGGCGACAATTTTCACGATGTAACTGCATTATTTGAGGATGCTGCCGAAGGTGACCAGACATACTTGTGTTAACTTACCTGCCTGCTCATTGCCTAAGATATGCAACCCGGGGCTCTCGTGTTGACCGACGGATTTACTCTTCTGGATGCTATGTCGTCCTTCGAGGTAAATCCACTTATCTCCGAGGTTCAAACAATTCGCTAATGATGTGTGAAGATAGGCGAACCACGCTTCGATAGCGGCTTGGCGCTTCTGGACAAATCTAAGCCGTCGTTCAATCCTCTCGCCCCGCTTACCCCAGAGGAAGTGTGCTGGATCATAGATCGCTCGGTTTCCTGCGAGGTAAATCAGAGACAGCGTAAACTTTTGCACATGTATTCATTTGTCCCCTGTCTGGCACCCAGATGGAATGGCACTCCGGTTATACTCTTTCGCAAAGCATATACTCATTCCTTTACGTTCACTCTTTGAAAGAGATAGACCCTGACCTCGTCCCCGGGGGCTCACTGCCACGCTCAGACAGCTTGCGTCCGCCAGAGCTAATCACAGTCGTTCTAAGGGCAGCTCTGTTAGGCCTTCTCAAGTGTTGTGACCTGTCCTGGAGGGAGCTAAATAAAGGGAACGTGTATGATGTTCGTCAAAGTACTGCTTAAGTTGCCAGCCATGCTCATCTATGACCAGGCCGAAGACTGGCAAAGCGAGAAATGTGACGTACCCCTCTCCGAGGCCCTGCCCGTCAAATATGTCTGCAAGGCGCTTGATGAAGCGTGTCGTTGGCTCGAGACCTCGGCCAAAGGTGTGAAATGGCTCACATAACAATGTTCACCCGATGTTCATGCGATAAAAACTACAGTTCAACAACCTTGGAAAACCATGCTGATGAATCGATTAGTGTTTAGAAAGGTTTGAGGCGTTTCTTCTTTTACATGATAGTCTACTGACTCGTGTCAGTCACTAATTGTGTTGTTCGAGACACAATTGTCTCAACCTCACTCTGGTTTGCTTCCGACGATGATAAATCTAAGTCTGCAATTATTGCAGCCTATCATGACAGTAACTCCGTCAGAACCCGCGCCAGATTCTCCAGCCCGTCTTGCGTTTGACCCTCAGTTTCCTCGTGTTATTGTATCATACATCCCTCTGCATGTCCTACAGCTACCCGACCAAGCTCATACCTGGACTTTACTAGAGGGACTGTTGACATCGCTGAAAAACGTCAACGATCTTGCAAACACGATAGAACTGACGACATGGGAGGTATATACTATTACTGCTCTTCCGTCGATAAACATTAAATCTAGCATCAGGTTGCCGGCCATCTACAGCTGTGGTGCCCACGGCCCCATAGTCGGCTTCCATACGTGCGTTCAATCACACAGGCGAGTAATTCGTGCATGACAATCATCTAGTCGAATTTTATGATAATCCCTAGTCCGCATTCTGGGACGGCGTCCTCGTGCTCAACAAGTTTGCACTCAAACATGTTGTGGTCCAGTTCTTCCGCGAAACACTGGACATTTCCTATGACGCTTTCACGCAAAATATCGTAACAAGGTGGGAGGGTCCGGCGTCTCCGCCCCTCGTACAGATCGAACGCACCATGACGCAGGTTTGTTTGAAGTTGCGACATCCTGCATATATGCTGACAGCAAGACAGATACTGATTGCGAACATAAAGTCGCTATGGTACAACCCACCACGGCGGCGCCGATTCTGCGCAAAGTCCCTTTTCGACTGGCACGAGCTGTTTTCCGTGTTCATGGATGTGTGTGTGCGCCTTGCGCCCTTGGTGAGTGCAGCAAATGTAAGTAGTGCCCTGTAGGCTCACTAGACGATGCTTCTCAGCAAGACCAAGAAAAGCTTGACCACGTCCGTCGCGCCAGGGTAGCCGTCCTAATGTATAGGCTGTCTGTAATCCGCGAAGTCATTTTATCGGGATTCCAACTGTCACTCTATACAAATGAAGAGCGCGTGTTTGCGTACTGGTATGTCGTACAGGTGCTTGAAATGCACTTGTCCTGCATAGATCAACTTATGCCAGGCATGTCGGGCGGTACGTGGTTCGATGTGTATAATGACTAGAGTTGATTTTTTTTGCATCCAGACTCAAATGCTTACTTCGAGTTGTCATATCAGTCGCAATTCCTCACAGCATTGCAGTCCCTCTCAATAGCTGTCTTCATTGTAAGTGATGGTGAATATCACACATTCGTTCCAGATTTTTACTCGACGGAAAGATTACGGTCAAACAAACGACTTTCTCGTGGCGACGCACGAGGCTCAATTTTCTGCGGCGCTACAAGTGGGCTTTTATGCCCGAGTACGAAGACATCGATCTGCAACCCTTTGGACATCCCAACTTTACCAAGTTTGCTACTGCATGCGAATCGATGCAAAAGGTGAGTGTTCGTAGTAACCGGGAAAAGGTGCCTGTTTAAATGGAAGGTAGGATAAACAGTTCTCGTTGGATGGCATCGCGCTCGCCATAGAAGTTCTATCATGCTTGCTGACGTCACCCAATGGCTGGGCGGGACGATGGAGTGAAGAACGGAAGAAGGTGAGAAAATATTTAGTTGTAGCTACCACAGATTCTCATCTCCTGCAAGTTCGTCCAGAAGCTCCTAGATGTGTGCATCGATTTACAGAGACAGCTCCCTTCAACCGAGCAGGCCTTGACGACATGGGATGCGAAGACTTTGAAGTGGGATGCGGATGTTCATCCTTGGTTTCCAATTATCTCTGGATTCCCTCCAGTGCCATCACGATAGATTGGTGCTGTTTTTTTTTACCCGTTGATATAGATACAACGTTCCCTGGAAGGCCTTGTTTCAGCCACTAGTAATATGATGTCAAATCTATCGTGCATCGTGCAGTGCCGTGGTGGTCGGCTGAGACCCCTATTGTTATCAGTTAGCAAATTAATTGCAAACTTTAATCATGCCCATCGGAAGTCTGTCTGACGGTTAACCTGTCAGGACCTCGCTAGATACGCATATTTAACGTTTAACGGCTGCTTTAACTAACGAGTCTTCTAGCGTTCTTCTAGCGTTGCCGCGCTAGCTATATTTGCGCCATTGTTTAAAAAGCCCAGTCACTCAGGCTGGTCTGAAGTTTTTCTAGATCAATGTGACTACTCCTAACGATGCCGAGGGTACGAATGACGATGGTGCTCCGCAAGATCCATGCATTTTTTCTTCTGTCAATGTTGTGACACTGACAACAGTACATCCACCGGCTGCCTACGGAACTTTTACAACGAATGTTCAAACGATTTACCAGACACAGGTATATTCTCATTTGGCAATGACACCATTACATTACGAGCCCTTCCCTAGTGTTAACGTTACATAACTAGGGTGCACGACCTTTAAATTTGATGGGTTGCATATTCAACGTTGATCTAATCGACGCCGTCACTCCCTCGCCGCCTACTCCGGTCCGAGCGCTTCTGACTTCACCATTCCCGATTTGCGTGCTTTCGATCTCTTTTGAATCTGAATGTGATGTTATACAACTTGATTCAATTTCCTTTTATGTTGCGGCCCGTGGAGCCAATCTAAACGTCTTTTTTTGAAACAAAATGGGAAGGGTGGAGTATGTTTCAGATATCCAATTGTCTCCGAGTCTAACCTACTCGGTGGGCTAATGCTTGAAAGCTTGACGGCCAGCCCTTGCCGCTTTAGCCTTGTCTGGGGTTGACATGGACAGGTTGTCAGTTCGGGTGGGGTGGAGCTGCTCGGGAGGGTGGGATGCCTGCTCACGAATGGGACGATGTCGAATGACTCTTCGAGTAGCTTTAGACATTAATGGGACATGCATTAACGCAGCATACGAATGCTCCAATAACAAAGGAACCAGCATGGAGTGAACTGCGGTGCGAAATTAAAAGGGAGTGGTGGGTGGGTATAAAGAGAAACTGTAGGTACGAGTGAGGAAGTGCGAGGGAGTCACTCGACGTCGTGGCAGAGAGCAAGACGAATGTAGGAAGCGAACAGTCTGGATGTATGACGCCGGGACATTCCGCGGGTTACATCACCCGGTACTTATCCATGCTCTGTCTTCTGTCTATTAACATCTGACTACAAAGTCGTATTATTGCAATGCCGCCGTCGCAACGACAGGTATCGGGAGTTGTCACTAGACTCTCGGCGCGTGCAAGCCCATATCACAATGCAGTCACTTTGTTTGAAGCCGGAAATGCGGATCAGCCGTCAACATCACTGTCTTCCAGTCCAAAGCGGTCGAAGCGTATCAAGCTCGAGGTCGAATCCGGGACCTCGAGCATCTCAGACTGCACACGTCCCGAGAGCCCACGGAAGACATCACCAACTTTGAAGCTGGAAGAAATGGTATCTGAAGATGATGCGAGTTTGCAAGTGAAAATCAAGTCTCCCAAGAAACCTAAACCGATACCGCGGTCTCTGGACACTCCGCATATTACTCCATTACGCTGGAAGGAGGTCTATGACTCGATCAAAGTGATGCGCACACAAATGGTCGCTCCTGTAGACACTATGGGATGCGAACAAGCCCAGCACAAGGAGAAAGACCCAAAGGTTGATATTCATGCAATCTCATACGATGACGGTCTTATTTTGTATGGCAGAACCGACGGTTTTCTACGCTAGTTTCTTTGATGTTATCTTCCCAAACGAAAGATGAAGTCACGGATGCAGCTGTTGACAAGCTGCGGGCTGCCGTAGGAGGCACGCTATCTGTGGCCGCCATCATATCTGCGGATGAGTCTACAATATCAGAGGCAATAGCAAAAGTTGGCTTCTGGCGACGGAAGACTGGGTCCGTTTATTTTTCCCGTAGAAGGAAGAGTGGTTTTATTCACGTTTTCTATCAGGTATATCAAGAAGGCGGCTTTACGGTTACGGGATGAGTTCGATTCAGATGTACCCAAAACGGTGGATGAGCTATGCTCTTTGACAGGAGTCGGACCTAAGATGGCGTTTCTTACACTTCAAGTCGCCTGGAATCTGTATGTGGTGGATCTACTACGCCCTTTATGAACTCGCTAACGCACCTGCAGCAATCATGGCATTGGCGTGGATGTGCACGTTCATCGTATTACCAACAGGTTGGGATGGCATCAACCGCCCACCAAAAAGCCTGAAGAAACGAGGTTAAATCTTCAGTCGTGGTTACCCCTCGAATTGCATCGCGACATTAACCACATGCTCGTCGGTTTTGGTCAGGTATGTTTGCGCCATAGCCATGGGGATTCTCGTATTGATCCTTTTTTTGTTAAACAGACTATTTGCGTCGCTGTGGGACCGAAGTGCGACTCGTGTACATTGAGCACTAAAGGGCTGTGTCCAAGTGCTAATACAAAACCCCCGAAAAGCCCGAAGAAGCGGAAGAGACAATCATCTGCAGACCTTGAGCGCGAGTCTGGACCAAAGATCGATATTGCAATCGAGTCTTGACTTATGAAAACTTGATGTCCTTCCGCCCCCCACCTAGCAATGCATGCATATATTTTGTGATGTCCAGATACAATACCTTATTACCAATCCACTAACTCAAATAACTGATTCCCAGATCGAAGTGCTTGTCTCGAGCAAAATAAACAAATTATGTTGGACGCTGTAATTTGAAGAGTCTTAATTATGGAATGCAACATCTTCGAGTTACACAGATAGCTCCAGCGTGAGAGGAACGAACTTCGTTTACATTCTTCAGTGAATGAAGACTACGCGCTCTTCACGTTGTGCATGGAAACTGATCACATTTCTAACTAGGCCACACAACTTGTTTCAAGGGCCTGGCTCGTCATTTATTGGCAGATGAGATCATACAATCTTCCAACCTGTTACTCCTCGAACCTCCAGGAGTAGCCAAAGTTACTAGCCTGGGGGAGAACTGTCGCATCCATATGTTCCTTACTGAACGAATTTTTATTCCTTCAGTACGACCGTCCCGAAGTCCGACTTCGATCGTCGCGGAGCTCTGCTTGTTCCTCCGCGCCGATACTACGGAACAGTTGGTTTCCATTGCTCCCAGCACCATGTGTTCGGGACCAGATGTACATGTTTGTGCGATTATTCTCATAAGTTATTGATGACGACAGTTTCGGCCTTCTCTGCTTATCCAATGGCAGGCCCTCTTTGAGATTGTCACGTTATGTGCCTCAGGTAAGCAAGTTCATAGGCCAGCATAGACCTCGGATCATGATAAAGCTAAATGTCAAGTATAGGCCCAGACAGTACACCCACGACGCCGAGTCATGCACCCACCGCATTCCTATAATGTTTAGAACAATTTCAAGCTCAGAGGAAGCGACACTTCTCCATGGTCAGCTGAGCTTCGTATACATATAATTTAGAAGCTAAAGCGATCAACATTCAAGTCATGTTTGCTATCGCCCGTGTAGATTCTGCAAATATTGCTAATGGGCCAATCTCCTTTGCCTGACGACAAGGACCTTCCGAGCTTGTGCAAGTTGAGTCGAGATTCAATACACAGGAGTCGCCCATTCTGACAGACTATGTCTAGGTTTCTTCCCACGTATGTGCGAAAGAATATGAAACACGGAGTAACGAGGTTGATATCCGCATCGCCTATTCACTCAGGGCCATCGGTAGCGGCAGTTTCATTTGTGAGACTGCTATTTCAGTAATCAGCAGAACGTATCAGTGACACTATTTAATATCGTGTTGGTTAATCCTCAGGCCCCACCCACTCTTTCAGTAACAGACAGTATTCCACACCCGCCCATGTCGAACATAACTACAATCACTCCAGAAGAAATCCAAGCTTTGGACTTGGACCTCATGACAGCCCCAAATATAAAATATATCAATAGTGGGCCCTTTTATTTTCCGAGACTGATATGCTTACCTACCATTCGGATATCGTGTAGTTGCTGCTTTAACGCTGTTTACCTGGGACCTGAGTGAGTGAGCCCTCTCGATGAGTTTATTCTGGACCGTTGACAGAGACACTAGTCCTTACTTTTCCACACGAGGTAAGTTGTTCAACCAGGCCTAAATTATTGCGGAGGCTCAGCAGTGACAGTATAGACTATGGGTGCGTCAAGTTAGGCGGAATGCTGGCTAGCAAATGACGGGGACTTCTTGCAGAACGCCAAGTGGACGCCTGCAAAAGTTCTATTTTTCGTGGTGAGATAACGTCTGTATATCAATCGGGTGTCTTGGCCTTATCCTTCTCAGAATCGATACTTTGCGCTTGGGACAGCTATCCTAATAACATTCTGTGAGTTGTGCACCCAAGTTTGTTGCAATACACTGTTACGATAGACGCTCATTGCTAAAATGTAATACAGTGACATTCGACGTTACACCCACATTGGCTACGTGCGTTATCTCACCACTCACTCTTACTGGTACTAATTCGAAACAGATGTAAGCTCATACACTTTTATCCCCTAACCCCCCTCATGGAAATGTCAGGCTCTGCAAATACCCTCTTTGCTGTTATCGGTATGTAGCTTGCCCGTCGATCAACTTCAATCGGCTTTAGTCTGACAATTCCCAGCTTTGTTACTAGTGGCCAACATCGAAAGTAAACTGTCTGAGCTATCTGACGTGCCACGTACTCATCAAAGTTGTAGTGATTCTCCAGCTTCGATTATACGCGCTGTACGCCTATGGTGCGTGGCAATGTAAATCCTTCCGGTTGATACCTGGATGATATGCAGATAAAAGAATTGTCCTCCCTGTGTCAGCATTGTTCGTCGCGGTCTTCGGCGGCATGATGGTGATGGCAGTGATCATATACCAGTATGAGAAGAGTGAGCTTCATTAATGTTACCGAGTATGTGCACTGATCAAAGTTTAGATCACGAAGCTCAGATCTTTGGCGCATGCGCTATACTTGGGTCCGTGGATTGGCTGTATCTTTTCTGGTACTTACTCCGCGGACTACCTTTGCGACCTGTTCCTCATTCTCCACTACAGGGTACCAATGATGGGCTTGGACTTTGTTCTTGTCCTGTTAGCCGGCTACAAATCCCTTCAGCACTATTTCCAGGTACCAGACAAGAATTGGTCTGGTGCACGTCTTATGCGTGCCTTTGCGCGAGACTCGATTCTTTATTTCCTCTGGTGAGAGCTCATGCAACGCAGCGGGCCGATTCTGATGCAAGTACCACTTTGCCGTTTCCAGTAACTTTTTAGTATACCTATTCAGTACCTTGCTGGGCAAATTCGGCCCTGTTGAGTATTATCAACTTGGCGCGATCACGATCACAGTTGTCCCACCTGTGTCGGCAAATCGTCTCCTCATCAATATGTACAACTCAGTACACACCGAGGAAGAAGAAGAAATAGATATAAAGAGGTCCGTCTTTCGTAGTCATCTTTCGCCAATGTATTTGACATGATGATCAGAGTACACTACGACGTAGAGCTCGCACCCATGAGTATGGGAAGTTCACTCGAGGTGTAGTCGTGTAATGATATCTATGGTACTGCCGAGTTCATATAGCTGGCTATATGACCAAAATGCTTGTCTTGAGCAGGGAAGCTAATTTGTGTCATGTCGGATGCTCTAGGAGATTTCATTTTTTGCGCAGATGAGGCTTTGACCTGGAAACTGACAATACTTGTTTTGCTTCTTCAGTGAAGCCACTGTTCTTCAAGTGTGCTTGATCCCAGCAACTCCAGGCTCGTCACATAATGCAAGCCACATGCCACCGTGGGCTGTCGTAATTCTCCCCTTGGAAGTTAAGCTCTAAGATTTGCTTGTTTGGAAACTTATGCTTGCTTGGATACTATCAACCAACCACCCGTGTCTAGAAAGAAGGTGAGGGGACATCAACTCGGACAAAGCAGCTCCTTCTATCAACAATTTACGTGTGTCGGAGTGTCTATTTGTTCTACTGGTTGACAACACTGCTTACAGTGATCATCAGGATGCTGCCAGTGTATCTCGGCCGACATCTTCGCAAGTGGCGTCTTCTAGTACTATTCTGGCTATCATTGTCTGATGCTTGTCAGCCGACCTATCAGCTATCGATTGAACTTTTTTTGGTGCATTAGCGCCCATTCATTATTTTGGAGAAAGTAACTCCGGTATGTCTTGCGATTCTAAATTAAGAATTATGCAGCCAACGCCCTACATGATGAACGTCATCACACTACCTCTAGTCAGTGGACAACGTCGAACCAGGACCAGTGTCAATCATCGAAGTTCGCAGATGCATATCATGATCGGTTCAATCATGACGTCAGGTGAGTTCATATCAGCTAATTATGTAAAGATTTCGAACTGTTCCCCATCATACAAAGATTTTAATCACAAATTCACGATGACTTACATAAATTCAGAAGTGATCCATAGAACGAGGTTGCCGATAGGCTGTAAATGAGAAGATTTCGAGCCGCATTTACTGCCTGTGCAGACTTCTCGGTCGCCAAGGCCGCATCGGCATTTATGAAACTACTATTTCATAACTGCTTTTAGACCCCCGAATCCTCCCCCCTCTTTTCTCCAGTGATACCACACGCACCCATGTCGACCACTATCACCCCAGAGGAAATCCAAGCTCTGGACCTATACCAGGTGACAGCTCCAAAAATCAAATACATCAGCAGTGAGCCTGGCCACGTCTTTCCTGAAACCAATGTGACCTATCATTCAAATGACGTGCAGTTGCTGCTTTGACGCTCCTTACGTGGGACCTTGGTGAGCAGGCCCTCTTTGTGCTGTTATTCGGGATCGTTGACAGGAATACTAGTCCTAACTTTTCCTCAAGAGGTAAGCACATTGATCGATTTTCAAGCTGTTAAAGCTCAATGGTGATAGGTTAAATTATGGGTACGACGATCTGTTCAAGTATAGTATGTTGGCTAGCAAGGTGACCCGGATTTCTTGCAGAACACCAGATGGACGCTTGCAAAGGTTCTGTTTTTCGTGGTGAGAATGAGTGCATAGGTCAGGTGTTTTTACCTGACGCCCCCCAGAATCGATACTTCGCGCTTGGAACAGCTATCTTAATGACATTCTGTGAGTCGTGCGTCAAAGTTTGGTCCCATGTATCGATGCTCATTACTGAGATGCAGTAACGTTTGACGTCACACCAACCGATGCTATGTGCGTTATCTCATCGCTCTCTTTTGTCAATGCTCATTCAGAATAGATGTAAGCTTCAAAATTCTCAGCCGATATCTCTCCTTCACTGAACACCAGGTTCTGTAAATGCGTTCTTTGCCATCATCGGTATGTAGTATGCTCGTCCACAGGCACCAGTCTACTCAACTCTGACACGCCTTAGCATTGTTGCTAGTAGCGAATATTCAAAGTGAGGTTTCCAAGCCATCTAAAGTATGATGTACTCATCAAAGCCCAAGTGATTCTCCAACATCGAATATATGCACTGTACGCATATGGTACGTGGTAATGCAAATATTTACCTCCGGTTCATACCTGAATGACATTCAGACAAAAGAATCGTCGTTCCTGTGTCGATGCTGTTCATCGCGATCTTCAGCACTATGATGGTGATGGCAGTGGTTGTATACCTGTATGAGAAGGGTCAGCTTCGTCAATATTCTCGAGTATGTACACTGACCAAAGTTTAGATCACGAAGCTCAGATCTTTGGCGCATGCTGTTTACTTGGATCTATGGAGTGGTTATATCTCTTTTGGTACTTACGTTCATGAAATATCATCGTAACCCTCACCTCATTATCCTCTTCAGGGTACCCATGATGGGCTTGGAACTTGTTCTTGTCGTGTTGGCAGGCCACAAATCTCTTCAGCACTATTTCCAGGTACCAGATAAGACCTGGTCTGGTGCACGTCTTATGCGTACCTTTGCGCGAGACTCAGTCCTTTATTTTCTTTGGTGAGAGTACATGTAATGCAGGGGGCTGGTTCTGATCGAAATGCTCCTTCGTTATTTCCAGCAACTTTTTGATATATCTGTTCAGTACATTGCTAGGCAAATTCGGTCCTTCTGTGTATTATCAACTTGGCGCGATCACGATTTCAGTTGTCCCACCTATATCGGCGAACCGTCTCCTCATCAACATGTATAACTTTGCACACGACGAGCAGCCCACTTGGACGATAGTTTCGGAAGCTAAAGCTTCGCTGCAATTGGTGAAAGACACATCGAGGTCTGTTTTTCGTGCACATCCGCCGAAGTTATTTGACAATGACATGGTACCCAGAGTACACCACGAGGACATGGAGCTTACATTCGTGAGGACGAAGGGTTCTGAGTATGTGGATGCATCATCGTTTGAATGATATGTGCATGAGACTTTGTACTATATGGTTTTTTTATGAGTTCGTGCCTAAATAACACTTCCAGAAGGTATCCGTTCGGGTCCCCTGGTTCTTCCACATGAGCCCAATAGAGCGCCGCCGTCGTCGCTTTCATGCTATATATCGTCGTCAAATCGTATTTGGCCGTCCTGTAGCCCGCTCGGGTGTGACAGGAGTATCCTGCAGGGATACTGCCACTGTGAAGCATCAAGAAAACCAGCTGATCAATATGCACCATGCATACAGCGATTAATCTGCTGTTCTGCAAGTGCAAACGTAGCCGCGGCAACATGTACTAGTACACTAAACGTACCCACAGTTTCTGTCACCACTTTTATTAGACGGAACGACTGTTTCCCTTCTTCTAAAAGTCTGGCTCGGGGAGATCGTTTATCAGTGAACCTGCACAACAGTTTGGTCCGATCAAAAATTCTGTGAGGAACTACCAGTAAATATTGTTCTAAAATTAATGGCGAGAGCAAAAAGGGCGAGCTAGGTTTCCAACTCCGCTAGGACTCCCCACTATCTTTCTACCTATGCCTCCATCCTCCTTTATCTGAGGCTCTAGATCTGTCACGTTCACTCTTTCATGCACATATAAGCCTCGTTCACGCACGGTATTTGCGTTGCTTCAATCAACTTCAATGGTTGAAGTAGTGTAAAGAGCGTGTTTATGGATTTACAGAGCGACCGGCGGCCCCCCGCCTGAGGAGGCTTCCATCAAGGTCGCTCAGGCTGAGTTTCGGCCAGGTAGCAACAATGAAATTGGTAAGACATAACATGCTACTATGATGCTGACACCAGCATCCTGACAAGCCTCACCTTTCCTCTTTTTGTCTCTTTGAGTTATATTCTCACTAAGAATTTGAGTCGCGATTCTGTTGTTCAAAACGCAGGTCTTGTGCCACAAACCAATGGTCATTTCATCCTTGAAGGTCTGTGGGCTGGTGTGTGATTTGACCTGCAGACAACCACAGGAAAATGCTCGTACTGCATCCATGGAAGATGATATCTGGTGGCTTTCAACAATGTTCACACCGTGAGGACAGACTCAGATCGTATTCAGAGTACGAATGGTTTCCGGTGGGTGGAGGGGGTCAATGTGTGCATCATATTAGTTAAGATTAACCACAGCTTTTGTATGGTATTTGCAATATTTGGATTTACAAGTTCATGCCCAAAAGTGAGATGATCTCGAAGCACAATACAAGGAGTAATTGCCCTATCAGGTCCATCAGGGCAGAGTGGATGGGCAGAGCATATGTATCAGGGTCAAGACCTTTAGACCACAAGAAATTGGTCAACCATCGAGCTACAACTAATGAGGTGAAGACCTGTTGTGAACTTCAGTAAACGATCAGTGCAAGGCGGACCTGGAACTCACTGCACAACAAAAAAATAATACTGATAATATCGCAAATATGATGGGTAGCTTCAACCACCCAAACGCGCGTAGAGTACAGAGGAACAAGATCTCTATGGGAATTGTAATGACAGTCAACGTAACCATGACAAGTTTTGGGGAAGGTTCGCTTTTGTGCAGGCATGCGTTCGCAGATGCTGCATGAAGAGCAGTCGAGAGTCGGGAAACAAATATAGACCCAACGCTGCCAGGAAGCCCTGTTCTCTTGCGTTATAACAATATAAACCGTAAGATTCGCTCCACTCACCACTGATAACGATGGCAAGAAGAGGGAATCCTTGATAACGAGAGGCAAACATATCAAGCACAATACCACTAGCGCAAGAAATTACCATTGCACCAAAGAGTGGAACCCAGCCCTGGTAGATCAGATCCTTGACGCTGTTGTTACGCCTCACCAGGAACACGCATACCGTGGCGGAGATAATAGTGAGTATGACACAAATGAGAGGAATGGGAGTATTGACGACGTTGATGAGTATGGAGGAAATGACACCAAGAAGGCTGAGTGTGACCAAGTCTCCGAGGCACGATGCTATGGGGGGCGCAATATTATCTGAAAGTGTAGAAGTTTTAGCGTACATGTTAAATACAAGCCCAGCATAACTTTCCTGGGTCACGCCCATATCGTCGACATATGATAACAAGCAAACACATGAAGGAACCGAGGACAATGCTCGACAGACATGCGGACATCATAGCTGAAGAGGCCACCATCGTGAATCTGCCACGAGATTAACTACCACGCGCTCAATATGAAAACCGCACATACTCGATCAAACCAGACTTCGGTTTCCCACCTAGAGGCGGTGGCGGCCGAGGCAACCTAGCAGTTAGCGATAGGGTGCTGTTCTGTGGAAAAGGGTCTACAGGACCCGAAGATAGCTCTGGGACCAAAAGACCGAGGAGCATCGCGACACAAGCTGCGACAAATGCGACGACAGTCGCTTGCACTTGTAATAGTGCCAGATTACCACCCACAATTTTGCGTTGTGCGCTCCTGTCGTCTAGCTCGCCCATATTAGCCGCAGTTCCCATTCTAGCAGAAAGGTTCATTTCCAAGTTGCCTTTGAGGTTCAAGACAACAGGAATAATCATTATCAGCTCATCGATTGTACTCATTGCCCGCCAACGCTAGAAATAATTAAATCGAGACCTTAGACGTCACTAGTACATGTACTCACTGATACACGGTCAAGGAGTTCCCCGGTGAATAGGAGGCTTATGGTAGTCATAAGAAGCGTGGGTGCACACTTTTTAAGCAATCAGAGGGATTTCTTCTCTGCAAGTTCTATCCACGTACTTCGACAACAATGCTACCAACTTGTGGCCAAACCCTTCCTGTGCCAGACGGTATTCGCTCGTTTCCCCTGGTTCTTCCACCCGAGCCCAATAGAGCATCGCTGCCATCGCCTATATGCTCTACATCGTCGTCAAAGTCCTGCGAGTCATACTCAGCCGTCCTGTAGCGTGCATGAGGTGTGACCAGAATGTCCTGTAAGGTGTCTAATTCCACGTTGTCGCTGCCTTTGTCGTCGACGCGTTGTAGAAATGATTTTGTCTCATTTCTGGGGTCCTCTTGCATATTTTTGGCGAGTCCCAGCCAATCCAGAAACAGAACAAAAGAAGGCTTGTGTGGTCAAGCAAGTCTCGAGGTTTTGCTGAAAGTATCGTAGATCACGTGGGAAAAGAGCTTATGTAAACAACGACAAAACGCTTGGTATTGAAGGTGTCAGCGTTTAAACCTTAGCAAGGTCTGGTTCTCACCTACTTGCTCGTCACTAATCTGGCACACAGAGTATCTTCTGCTCTGCATCGGTTACGCGCAAGACTGCAGTAACCGGTCACTGGATTTGTCCTGTGGTTTTGGTTGCCAAATCCTGACGTGCCTAGTAGCCACCGAACTCGTCGGAAGCGCTGCTATGTCGTCCAAACTGTATTCCTATCGTCCACCTACCCCGACGCGCTCTCCCCTTTTTAAGAGTCCTTCGGAGACTGTTCCCCCGACAGATGATCTTGAAGAGCTGCAGAAAGAGCTTAAATCACTTCGGCAGAAGTCATTGGAACGTCTCAAGAAGGCCGGAGATGACTTGAAGACTATCGAGGAATCTATGAGGCGAATCAAGGAGAAAGAGAAAGGCAAGGCAAAGGCGGTAGAGAAGGTGAAGCGTGAACGCCCTTGTATGTCTTTCCGTTTTATCTGTCTTGGCTTAATTCTGGCTCATGAATTTTAATCTCTTTTCCCCGGTCCACACTTTTTCACTACTCAATCGACGGTCGACAAATTCCCAAAATCTGTACATATACCGGACGTCAAATTCTCGTGGTATCCCGTTCGATCTGATGGACGCCATGTTCATATTATTAATTCACGAATATTCTCTCAATCTGCCATGGTCTCGCCACAATGACGTTGTTGTAGTTACCCCAGCTTTGGATGGGGACGAACGTGATATTTCTCCCTCTGTCAATGGCTCTGTAAGGGCTCGAGCACCATCGATACCAGTTTCTTCCTTCCCTCCCTCTTCTAGGGCATCACTGGACCCTCGAAGATCGTAAGTCCAAAGACGAAGCTCCGAATGCACAGTCTCATCATTTTTCAAAATCTTCATTAGAATACCGGACGATATCAAGAAAAAAAAGAAGAAACGTAAACGAGAGGAAGATAGTGACCTCGAGCAGGGTAATCTACAGAGACCTTCCATAGAGACCGTGATTCAGATCCTTCGTACAGATTCCGGCCGCGCTGTGAAAACTTTGCCAGGCCCTTCTCTCAGTGTCCCTCTCAAAACATCGAAGTCACTGGGATTTGTGGCAAATCACGTGAAGGTATTTTATCTGCATTCTGTTGCACTCTGTCGCTTCATTGGCGTCCTAGTCTTCATTCGCACCCGACTTCACACTTCCGCCCTCCACAGTACTACTACCCACCCGTCCTCCGATACCCCCCGCGCCCATTGCCGGTCCCAGTAATGCAACGGATGTCACCGAAGATTTCAGTAAGCTCAAACCGCCAGCACAGACTCCCGTCAATACCTTCTACTCAAGCATTGAGCCTTGGATCCGAGGGATTAAAGAGGAGGACGTTGGTTTTCTTGAGTTTACTGCGGATGAAGTCGAGCCTTATGTGATACCGAAATTGGGCAGGCATTATTTGGAAGTATGGGAGGATACCGATATGGCCATGTATGGTGGGCCATTGCCTGGCTTTTCGTCTGGTCGATTGGGTGAGAGCTCGACGTCAGCACCGAAATGGGACCCATCGACCCTGATGGAGGCGGACCTGTTAACGGAGGAGCGCAGTCACGGGCCCTTGACTGAGCGATTAATGAGTGCCCTTTTGCCAATGCCAGATTCGACAGTGTGGAAGGGCGTCAAGGCTGCCGAGGACGCTATGGAGGGAAGGCCAGGCGGAACTGGTGCTGCAGCTGCGAAGCGGGAGAAAGTTAATGTAGTTGATTTGGAGGAGAGGGTTCAAGACACGATGCGGTTTCATGGGTTACTCCATGAGCCGGTAAGTATACTTACTGGTTTTATGACGGGTGTTTCACTCATAGCCCTGTTGTAGCCTGATTTTTCGACGAAAGTAGACGACCCAATTGCCACAGCTCTCAGGCATGCTCAGCGTCAATTACGGACCGTGGTGGCCATGAACAAGGCCAGGAAAGAACGTCTTGCTGCTATTGCTCGTGATCGGCTCGGTTATCAAGAATATCTGGACCTCCGTTCCGCCCTTGATAAAAGCATCACGAGCGCCTACTCGAAAGTCCAGAAGAAAGATGAGCCGAAGCTGAATAAAAAGAAAAAGAAAATATCAGAGGTCAACGGGACCGTGAACGGGATCACTTCTGGTGCCAGCGCGCCTAAACCTTCACCTGCAGCACTTGGACTCGGTCCGGATGATGATCTTCATCTTGTGGTGCCAGATCACTTGCAGCAACTCGTGGAGACCCGGCGGCAGTGGGTGGCAAGTGTCGGGGGGGTTTTTGATGAGAAGGAGAGGGAGTGTCCTGGTCGAATATGGGGCCTTCCGCGACGGAGCATTTATGAAGGGCTTGAAGATGCTATCCGCCACGATCTGGCTCGGTCGTTACATCCACGTAGTACTGCATCAGATCAACGGACTACCCAAGGGAATGGAGATGAGATGGATGTTGGATGACATAGGAGACAGTAGAGCTTTGCCTATCGTAATCTATCTTATTCTCTCCGTCGATTACACAGTTTCTTGTACACTGCCTTTCCACATTACATGCGCGTTTAATTACTCCTGTACTATCCAGAAGCATTACACCTAAAACACGATCACAGCCTCAATATTCATCCTATTTCGCCATTTTGGGTTTTTTGACCGTTATCTTACGAAGTGTCTCTCCCTCAGCTTTACGTTTACTACTCTTCGACTCCTTTACCTTGGACTCCTTTGTCTTGCGGGGTGACCCTCCAAAGCTAAGACCAGTATCACCGCCCTCCGCTTGGCCGTCAGCATCCATACTCGCATGATCGCTGCTTATTGGAAGCTTGGCTCCATACGGCACGAAATGATGCTTGAGTAATTCTTTTGGATATGAGAGGCGAGGAGGATTTTGGTGCAGAATGGATGGGTGCTCCGGAGGGCTCGCTCTTGATGGCTGGGCTGAAACAACGAAATGACGTGCAATCTCTTTTGGTGCTAGTCATGGAATGTTCAATAAATCATTCATATAGCTACACGGAATAAATAACTTGCCTGTGTATAGCCTGCCCTTTTTTCTTTTTCTAGGAAGCAAACACGACAGCTCTCTCAGTTCCTCTGCTCCAGCAAAATCCGCATCATCGTCACCCATCGACCATATATCATATACAGCGCTCTTCCGCGTCAAGCTACCGACCTGACCGCTCCGTGAGGACGAGGGTGCATCAATCTCCAGTCCGTCAAGATTTTTGGGGTCGACCTATCACAAGCATGTCATAAGGCCGGCAACCATGCATTCTGATGGACACTTACTGAGTCTGGGACACGTATTAGCCATATTTCTAGATCATCATCCTTCTGAACGGAGTCCCAGTCGAAAGTCTCGGTCTCGAATGCATGGTCGAATGACTTATAACCAGGCGGAGGTTTGTAAGCCCAGTGCGGGTTCTCTCCTTCGTTTTTGCCATGATCGGTGACAGTGACTAGCTGCGATTTTGACTTTTTCTTTGAATTCTCTTTGATTTTGTTTTTTGAGGCTTTGGGTGCTGTTTGCGCTGGTTCCGGAGATGACATGTTTTAAAGCAGTAGCAAACTGCGGGTTGGTTTCCTGTAACCTATAGGCAATCCAAATAGAAGGGAAAAGCTCGTTCCTGGGTCGTTATGTTATAGACCACCGTGTCAATGACCAAACCGCGACGATGAGAAGGTGCTCGCCTCTTTTGGATTGTTTGGCAAAGGCTTGGGAAATAAACAACATGTCCGATCAATGCGGAAGGCCGCATTCTACTGCGGTGCACACCAGCCCACAGGAGGACCATGATCATGCTGGAAAGTCCCCCAGTCCTGACAATCGCCGGAAGTGATTCCAGCGGAGGGGCAGGCATACAAGTGCGCATTTGTGCTCCCTTTTCTATAGGAATCCAAAACTCTTTGACTGAAGGCAGACCTGAAAACGTTCACTGTTCACGGATGCTACGGTGCAAGCGTGACTACTGCCCTGACTGCTCAGAATACCACTGGCGTGCAAGCAGTGTACGGAGTGCCTCCTGACTTCGTGAAGCAGCAGGTATGTAACTAATTACATGGTATGCTGTCCCCGTATCAGCTTGAGCATTTCCCATAGATAAACTCTGTCCTGGACGATATTGACATCAAGGCGATCAAGACTGGCATGCTTTTTAATGCAGAGAACACTAAGATAGTCGCGCAGGTACTCAAGAGGCACTTTGATACCAAGGGGCACATTCCTTTAGTCTGCGATCCCGTCTGTGTTTCCACCTCCGGTCACACCCTCTTACACCCAGATGCCGTGGATACCATTATAGATGAACTATTCCCCATTTCGGACCTCATAACTCCAAATAAAGCAGAAGCGGAACTTCTTCTGAAACAGCGCAATTTTCCGTCTCGCATTGCAAACTTACAAGACATGGTCAATGCTGCTCGACAGTTGAAGACACTTGGCCCTCAAGCTGTGCTCCTGAAAGGCGGTCATTTCGTCGCTTCGCTAGCAGATCTTGCGAATGTTTCATCGGACGACACGCAGGTGATTCGAGATGATCTTCTAGACGAGAACACGAATATCCTCCGGGTTCATGGAAGGAAAGAACAACACGTAGACTCACTCGTAGTAGATGTGCTTTGCGCATCTGATAACCACATCACCATATTTGCTAGGACTAGAGTACAATCAACAAGTACCCATGGCACTGGTTGTACGCTAAGTGCTGCATTGGTCTCTCAGCTTGCGAGGGGTATACCGTGTTTGTCACCCTCGTCATCCTTCTTTGACTGTTCTTTCACTTATCCTAACAAATCCAAATCATACAGTGGGTGAAGCTGTAAGGCTCGCGGCTGCTTACACCCATATTGGAATTGAGACCGCTATTCCGATCGGGAGTGGCTTTGGCCCTCTGAACCATATTCATTCAATTACTCCGCAACTTGTCTCGCCGTACGTGACTATCATAAACACATGTCAACGAATTAATTGCTTTGAATGTAGGCGAACCAAGACGAACCCATACCCACTCACGAGTTCCCTTATACGGAGTTCAAGGGTAATTTGGAAAGAGTATATTCGACACGAGTTCGTGGTGCTGCTGGGCAAGGGTACCCTTCCAAAGGAAAACTTCATCCACTTCATCAAGTAAGGACTTTGTTGACAAATAAGAGGGCACGTTCTGATTGCCTCAAAAAGACAAGATTATCTTTATCTCAAATATTATGCTCGGGCGTATGCGTAAGTAGCTGGACCATCCCGCTTCCGTAGTTAACGTCTCTCTTCCAGACTCCTTGCAGCCAAGTCACATGCCTATGCACCCATATCGGCGGCTATCGATGTGGTTTTTAGCATAGTTCAAGAGAGCTCGATGCACATGGGTTATTGTGCTGAGTGGGGTATCACAGAGGACGAACTGATAAACACCTCCGAATCTCCCGCCCTGACAGCTTATGGGGCTTTCCTCATTGATACCGGAATGCAGGGTACGCCGGCCTATTTTGTTGATGTTTACTTGCTGAAGGCATGGCTGTTAGGTGATCCTATGAAACTCGTCGTCGCTCTTGCCGCCTGCCTGCTTGGTTACGGAGAAGTTGGCTTGTGGCTCAAGGAAGAAGCTCGAGCGCCCGACTCGTGGGTTAAATGGGAGGGAAATCCATACCTCAAGTGGATGGAGGACTATTCAGGCGACGTCTATCAAAAGGCAGTGAAAGCTGGACTAGGTGAGGATGCAACGAACATTCTTGTTGTACACGACTCCATGTAACTTCACAGAGACGCTTGAAAGCCGTGCAGAAGCGGACGCACCTTCACCTATCAGGTTTGCGGATTGGCAAAACGTTTGGGAACGGTGTACGCGGTTGGAGAAGGGTTTCTGGGACATGGCGATGAACCTTGAAGTTTGAGCAACCATGCCGTTGAATGCTCCCATTAGCTATGTTACCAGTCCCATTTATGTTTCTTCGAACTATCCTGAGCATATTTAACTGGTAAAGCACATAAATTTAAACTGTAACGGAAAACTCTCAAGTTAATGTACAACAGACACATCTTTGCAAAACAAATCGAAGACCCTACATACTGTACAAAACCATGTATCACTTCTTCAGTTATACAACAGCAAGCAGTGCAGTATTCTGAACATGTCGTTGTGTCAGCTCTATGTCCTTCGAGGACTCAGATTCCACATTAGTCCTTGAGTCTGTAGTGGAGTTAGTGTCTCTGAAACGAGATTGTTCCATATTTATGAGCAGGTGGTTGGCAGCTATTGGAGGTATCACAATTGTCCAGCTTGCTCCTAGTTGGAAGAACTCAGGTGGTGCGAGATGAAACACAAATGTGATGGCCAAGTAATTAAGGAAGTTGCTAGGCACGAGATTATTTTCAGCATGTGAATATGAATATCACTTGAATGCTCACCATGCAAAGTAAACAAAAGAGTCTCGTGCCAAAGTCTTCATTAACCGAGCACCAGACCAATTTTTATTGGGAACATGGATGTAATGTTGCATAGATTTGAAGCCAGCAAGTACCATGATCACGAAGTCGAAGGCCATGATTGGAGTCCTTTGTTGCCATGTGAGAAATTTTGACGATGAAAAGTATCCCACACCTCACCAGAATGGAATGAACCAGCTTGGAATTGTTTCTTCGCATACACCAAAGAGCACAAACTCATTTGCTAGGGTGAAGTTGTTAGTTTAATCTAAGTGCATCAAGACAGCCCATTGTCACCTTGAGAGTATACACTCATTGCAATAGCTATTCCCACGGTACTGCATACATATATGATAAATAATACTACCATGGGAATCACAATCACTCGTTCTGTGAAACCAGGTCAGCTCTCTGAAACAGCTCTCTGGACATGACCTTCATACTGTAGTCATATAGAGCAAACAGCCTTCGAAGAAGGATAACTATCAAAAAAAGTGTAAGTTTTGGAATTTGAAAAAGGAGATCACCCACTCTCGATGTTCAAAACAAGAAAAAGTCCTATATTTTTGATGATTAAGTATACAGATGGTAGTACTAGTGACTCGGCATCTTACTCACCAATGATGTCGAAGTTTGTGAATGCATGACCTAGTAACAAATAAGGGTTACTGGTGAACAAATATGCTAGCAGGGAAACATCTACATCTAGTAGTTGTGAATAAGATTGATGGCTAATACAACAACATGAGGGACTTACATGGCATTAACAGGATTTGTGTGGACGTCGACTACAAAGAAGTGAGTTGATGCTAGTACAAACGAAGACACCAGAAAACTGACAGAAGGTTGAGGCAATGATTACAGCGAGTCCAAAATATCGATTCTGAAAAATAACCATTTCGTATCAGGGAGGCTACAGGTTGAATTGAACCACATACAATGAAGAACAAAATCCTAGATGCTGTCCACTTTGTTCCCTAACATAAAATGACTGTTATGATTCGAAGTTGGGTAGAATTGACTCAAGCCTACCCATAGAATATTGACCTGGCAAAAAAAGTGAGTTTTAGCTTTGTTTAAAAATAAATTCAGTACTTCGTCATGGAATGTTAGAACTTGATGAGATCATAAATTTTGTGCACTGTTGAAAATTGTGAAATCTTTGCTTTCCAAAGTCCCAAATGTACAGCACAGCAGCGGAGACTGAACAAATAGAGGTAAACACAAGATCCTCCAGACTTGAACTTATGGCTCTTACCTCCGAGTCGACGAACAATGGTATCATACACCTCATATTGTTCAAGCTGCTGGAACTCTGCAGCAATACTCGAAGCATTCATGATAAGTGCTGTGGAACAGTAGGAGCAAGTTTGTACTATTACATCTTGTTGATTGTGGTACTCTCTTTATATCTTGACTCAGAGGGGGTCCAACTTAAAGACACCCGGAGATTATTTGCCAGAATGCAGTGCAAACACTTGAAACAGATGCGAACAACAACTGTGCTGTGTGATAAGCATAAAATCCTTCAGCCTCAAGTCTTTAATTGACGAAGTTGAGGGAAGCAATTTCTATTCTGAATGTTGTCCAAGTGACCCTACGTGATGAAATCATGAAAGCTGTGTTCTCTGATCATGGAGCCTCCAGTTAGACCAGTTCAGAATTAGGTTGATCAGTCTTTTCATCAACATCAATGATCATGTGGGCCCTGGGGCAGTAACAGCCCACTGACAGCACCTGATGTTTGTTTATTTCATGTTTGTTGTACATAGCCCTAGTATCGTGTAGGGGTCTTACTCAAATATCTAGTACCCATGGTACATCAGTCAAGCGTTATCAATGAAACCTGTGTTCTCCAATCACATAGCCAGTGCAAAATCAAGATGGTCAATTCAACACGTGGATGCATAGCGGTGACAGGCGCGGAGCGCGGCGCGAGCAGCCAAGGCATCTGATGCCTTCGACCAAATGTACAGCTATGCTATACATAAACAACGCCATTGAGAAGGGGTGTCACAGGCCATCCGACCAAACTACCTATGATCAAGAAGCTCTGAGCCAAAACATGTACATCATCGAGAGAAGTAGGAAGCATGGATATACCTATTAGCGTTTCGCAAAAGCATCGAACATCTAGATTCTGAAGTGAACAGGACGACAAGCGTCGCAGCTTCATGATATGTCAATATCCAAATCCACCGGAGTCGGTGCGTCAGTCTCTGCATCGACAGCAGCTTCGAGATCTGCATCCGGAAGGTCTTTATCTTTTTCTGCCGGTTTGGCGCGGGCGCGGGCTCGGGGTTTCGCTGTTCTCCTTGGCTTCGTAGTGCGAGAGGCTGCCGCGACCGGTATTTCTTCTATCTCCTCCCCGTCCTCTTTTGCATTGGCACTCGGTCTCCCTCTCGCCTTTCCCCGTGCCCGCTTTCCTGACGCACGGGGCTTTCTTGAGCTGACGGTTCTCTTCACAGATACAGGGCCCTCGTCCTGGTCTATATCGTTGTCACCTTCGAAAAACTCATTGCGCGCCATTGTTCGGTCGCTTCTTCGCTCTCCTGCAAACGCAGTTCCCCGCTCTTCATCGATCTCCTCCTGTTTACGTTCTTCATCGGCAAGCCAACCCTCCAAATCAGGCGGTATTTCTTGCATGGCGACACTCGGTGCACCTTGCAAATACCGCAGCTTGTTCCGAATGCTAATGGTTATTCGTTGCAATGATGTTGGAGAGTTTTGGTTCTCGACGCGTCCTGTGAGGGGAGGATGAAGTTTCCACTGCGAGTCGCGGAAGAATGGATCGTAAACTGTGGCCGGAAGCTCATCGGGTATTGTCGCCCCGACAAGAACGGCGGTTTCATATGTCCAACAGCGGCTGACATTTTTTATGGTGTAGCCTCCTCCTCCTAATACAAGCAGCGGTACATTGAACTTCCTAACAAAGTTCACACATTCACCATGGGCTGCTATGGATAGATTAAATGCCCCGAGTCGGTCGCATCCTAACGAGTCTGCACCGCACTGCAAGACAATAGATGTCGGGCGGAAAGCCGTGACGGTGTCTTCAATGACGGTTTTGAATATTGTCAAGTACATATCATCATCGATCCCATCTTGTAAAGGCACATTCAGGCAAAAGTGCTTGCCCAAGCTTGCACCGTTATCATCGAGTTTACCCGTCCCAGGGAAGAAATCGCCGGTGTATTTGTGGAAGGATACCGTCATAACACGATTCGAATGATAAAATGCGAGCTCTACGCCGTCCCCGTGATGGATGTCGATATCTATGTAGAGTACTCTGGGATGATATCTGTAGGACTCGAAGTCAGGTCTAGGTATCACCTAGTGAAACGACTGCTCACCTCAGAAGTTCAAGAATTGCCAGAACAATATCGTTGACGTAACAGAAACCACTTGCTTCTCCACGCTTGGCATGATGAAGCCCACCCGACCAATTGATTGCAGTATCACAAGTACCCGCCGTAAGCTTCCTTGCACCTGCGAGGGAAGCTCCAGCATACATACGACAAAAATCATACATTTCAGAAAATATTGGGCAATCTTCGACACAGTTAAACGTGTCAATAAGATGCCGCATTTCGTTCTGGTTATTTGGTGTCACGCTATATAACGTCATAAGGTGAGCCAACGACGAGGTAGTGTAAATTCCGCACCGTGAAAGAAAATCAATATAGTCGTGGTCATGGTACATCTCTAACTCAGCTTGAGTAGCTGGACGAGGATTATATATGTGATGTATTTGTTTGTCAAGACCATAACCCATAACCAGGGCGTTGGTCAAGGTCAGTCTGTGTGGTTTCATCGGATGACGTTCCTAGCAGTGCTGGGTAAGAGTGAAGCCTAGTGATGAACATGAGATGACACATACACCATAATGGTGTTCACCGACGCCTTTAGGGAAAAAATATGAAACTATGGGACGAGAATGTGGCTTTTATTCATCTCTAGGAAAAAGAGCTCATTGATAGAGGAGGTAACTTACATTGACATGTTCAGTTATCGGTTGAGCAGTACCGTGCGGCCCCCGATCGTCGAAGTAGGCAGAAGATGAGAAGGTAGTCGCCTGTGAAGCACGAACCATGAATGTCTGGTGATCTGGCTGCACCACGCTTAGTATTAGAAACGTTATCTGCGAAAAGATAAGATGCGGTAGCTCGTGTGCTCTGTGCGCTTGTTGCGTACGAAGATCCTTCGGAGAGCTCGATGGGGAATTGAGTTATTGAAGCTCTGGTCCAAGTCGAGATTGAGCTTGAGGGAGATCCAAGCTCGCTTATTATGTAATGTTCAGACCGTCCGTGTTCAATTGATGCTTGTGTTCTTGCCATCATGTTGCTCGCGTATCGCTGGGTGTTGGCAACCCTTCCATTTCTCGTTTTTGTCCTTGCTTCCTCCGGCGACAGAGCATCAAACTTTCAGAACTGCGTCTCTGCATGTTATGGAGACCGTTGCCATCCTCAGACGACGCTTTCACGTGGCCTCAGACTGACGCGTTGGACGTGTACAGACGACTGCAAGTACCAGTGCATGCATATGCTCACAGATATCGCAATCCGTGAAGGTTCGAAGATACATCAATATTACGGAAAGTGGCCCTTTTGGCGGCTCTTCGGAATGCAAGAGCCAGCCTCTGTCGCGTTCTCACTGTGGAATATGTACTATCATATCCAAGGATGGCGCCAGCTTCGCAGCAAAATACCAAGTGACCACCCGATGCGATCTTACTACTTAACATGCGCCATAGTGAGCGTTAATGCCTGGCTCTGGTCCGCAGTGTTTCACACAAGAGGTCTGCCCTCAGATTATGCGTGATCACGTCCTCCTACTTATCGACTCCTTGAAGATTTGCCAAACACAGAAAAACTGGATTACTTCTCTGCTGCTCTCGTCATTTTATATTCCCTGTATCACACGGTTTTACGGCTCTTCAATCAATACCCCACCCGTTCGCGTGAGGATGGCCGTATCCAGCGCACCCCCATATACCTTCTATGGTCGTCCATTTGTACTGTAGCTTACCTTGCCCATGTCACCTATCTCAGCATTCTGCCACGGTTTGACTACAGCTATAATATGGCGTTCAACCTTACTGTTGGCTTCACGCATAATCTGCTGTGGCTGCTATATTCCCTTCCCGTATCGTTACCCCTCATTCGACGCTTTCCTTTCAAATCAAAAACTTACAGACCATCATACGCATCTGAGGTAGCAGTCTTTGTTGCTCTTACGACGGCTGCAACTGCTCTAGAGCTCCTCGACTTCCCTCCCTGGGGTCGCATCATCGATGCTCATGCCTTGTGGCACCTCAGTACTGCCCCTATCACAAAGTTCTGGTATGACTTCCTGATCAAAGATTCGTTGGATGATGGATGGAGGGAACCAAAAAGGTGAAGACATATTTAGTTTTATTAACTTCCGTGTACTAATGGTGTGGAATCTAGATAAATTGTTCCAGCATCTAAAAGCTCCTGCTCTAGCCTGTTCAAAGACTGCATTTTCTCCGTTTCTGTTCAAGTACGAGTAGAGAAACTGCAACATCGTTAGCGTCTTCACTTCCTCGCTTCAGCATATCGCACCTAGGACTGTATCCAAGGAATCCACCACAGATGACTCGATCTCCAAAAATGCCTGTTGCGATACCATGGTCACCATGAAGTGGCGCCTGTGGGGATAGAATGTTGCTATAGGGGTCGGACTTTGGGTTCCACTCTCATCAAGGCTGCGAAGCTGTCACTTGTCAGCCCCACCGTATAAATATTGTTGTACTATTTCCTAACCTCGAAATTGGAACCTGCTACAGCCCAGGAGAAATAGTTTCCCTCGCCGTCATCAAATTCCCATCGACTACACAATGTGGTAAATTTGGCGATTGTTCAGCATCACAAAGATGAATATACCTCTGTCGGCCTTGTCCCTCAATTTTCCGCAACCATAACTCCTCATTTACGAACTCTCCGTTGTACATGCTGACTGCGACGGGTTTGCCAGACTGGCTTCGGACGCTACCGACAGTGTCGTATCGATTCGCGTGAGTGTCCAGTCGGCGCACTGTCGTCTGATGCGACTCCCACTTAGGAGTTAACACCTCATAGTATAGTGCGTCAGTCGGGTTGGAAATGACAAGATTCCGCACGCTAGCAGTAGTAAACGTGAGTTTTTGGGTCATCGTTGGCATGAGACGTTGGCTCGGGACGAGGTGCATGCACTTCATGCATTCCCTGCTTAAATACCTGAGTGAAGTGATCAAACTCACACTCGATGCTTATCTTCACACAGTTTGTTTCAACTTAGACTCGCTTTCCGAATAGCCATGTGAACGCCGGGCATCCAATTAATTCAGAACAATGAGAATGAGAAAAGGCTGACGTCTTGTACAATCCCCCGCTCCATTTGATTAGTGTTAGAAGATGTTAAATCGTGGGTAGCTGGGGAGCTTCTGCCAGAACAAACCTCAATCATCGGAGTCCCAAGGATCGCAGTCGCGCACAGAGGAGTCAGGACCTAGTCATGTAATGTGTCGTTTCTAGGATGTAATATGTACTGACACGAGAGGATCCGGAGCAAGGAAACAAACTAAATGATGATATCAAGACCCCTGCCTTCCGCCCATTCACCGAAGAGGAGGCTGATGCTTTCACCGTTATGTGTGCGACGTATGCTTTCAGCGATGGTAGAACTAATGTCCAGCGCTATTAACTTCGAAAATTGTTCCTTGTGCTCGTTTTGCGGAACGGTATTTGTGACCTGCATGACACATTAGCGGCACAACGAAAGCCATGAACGACTTACCACAAGCTGCTCTATGGGAAGGCTGTTCAAAGAAGCCATGTGGGCTTCTGCGAAGAGTCCTTCAGGGATCATGCATCAGGCGATTGGTAATTACATCCTACATGACACGCACCGTGCGAAATAAGAACGTAAATAGTTTTGGCTCCTTTCTCATGCAGCGTCCGAGCAGCCAGTGTGAGCGTGTGGCCAGTATCTATCATGTCATCCACCAAAATAGCCACCTGGGGTGATCATCAATAAAGTTTCGAATAGACTATAAGAAGCAGGTGATTCCTTATCTCGAACATCTCCTACCAGAAGCTCCATGCGCTCCGGAGCATTTTGAGATTTCCCATCACGTTTCCGGTGTATAAGGGCGAATTCAATGCCAAGTTTATCTGCCATTGCAGTGACCCTGATCATAGCCAAGCAGTGAAACTGGCGTCAATCCACCGAAACGAAACGACACGGACCTTTTGGCTCCACCGGCATCCGGACTGACAACAATACCATTTTGCCACCCATCGATGTGCCTCTTGATATACGATACCATCAAAGGTTCCGAGAAAAGGTTGTCTACTGGAATGTCGAAAAATCCTTGTATTTGACTGGCGTGCAGATCCATGGTGATCACATGATCACATCCCGCGCCAACAAGCATGTTTGCGACTAGTTTTGCTGTTATTGGTGCTCTTGACTCATCCTTTTTGTCCATGCGGGCATACGGGAAACACGGAATCACAGCCGTAATACGCCGCGCGGAAGCTGTTTTGCATGCGGATATGAGGATCAGGAGTTCCATCAAGTTGTCGTTCACATCGCTACACCCTGACTGGATTATGAAGACGTCCTCCTCGCGGACGGATTCGGAGATCTTGACGTTTATCTCGCCGTTGGAGAATTTTTTGGGCATGCATGGCGTGAGGGGCACTCCGAGCCTATGTGAGTGAATCACTAGTCCGTGGGCTGTTTTGCTGCATCATGTAAAGCGGCAGCTCACCGCTCGGCCACAGCATGGGCGAGCTCTGGGTGACTATTGCCTGGAGAATCTAGATCAGCGAAAGAAAAGCACTGGTGCCAAATGAACATACCCGCAAGAAGTCTGATAGAGTTTCCGTGATACATAATTTAGAAATTTGCTGGATGGTTTTATAACATAGAACAAGATGAAGAATAAGAAAAGGGTGACTGTTGCAGTTGATTGGCACAATAGCTTCCCTTGCCAAAAAAATAATCGATAAAATCTTGTTTGCGCAGCACAAATAATCTACATCTACACTGCCACACTGCCACATCAAGCAGACACTCTAATGGTGATATTTTCTACAACGTATTCTGTGTCTGCATAGCCGATGAGTTGAACTATGCGGGCGCTGAAGACAACCGAATGAAAACACGTCGGAAACCAAAAACAAAGAACCCACCTGTTTAGGCCTCTCACTCGGGATATCTGCGCAGAATTGTAATTTGCTAAACCCCGTCCCACTTCTTCACAATCCCAATTTTCGCATTCGTCCATCTTCTCGATCGAAGGGATCTCATCGTCTGTAATAGTCTGAGAATCAGAGATCATATCATCTGATAAAGATGCCGACGACCCAGAACGCGAGAGTGCAACAAGGGACGTGACAGAGGCCGTCACTGATGGCCCGGGCTCTAGGACTGGCGTGCATGGTGTCGTTGCGGCCACGTTGGAATATGACATTTGTGCAAGTTCCTTGACTTCAACTGGAACTCCTTCGGTACGGCGGTGTATTAGTATGCGGACTGCTTGGCCAGAGGCAAATGAACCTCGAACTCCGAGCACCCCAACTGGCAACAAGCGGCCACCAGATTCTCGACGAGACAACACGGCATGTGCCCCAGAGTCAATAATCACGCTACCTGCTGGATAAAGCGTATGGCTCGTCCATGCCTTTAAGTCCCGCATGGGAATCAAGGCAGGCTTAAAGACAGTATGCGGAGGCCTCGGCCAGCTGAGAGATACAGCGACTTCATCCAAATCGACCTGATTAAGCTTTTGTGGAGTGATCGGGCTAGCAGTACCTGAGGTGGATACTGACGTGCTTTTCAGTGCTGTATAGTAGTCAATGATATCGACGATCACTGAGGGCTGTTTGCTAGATGCGATAACAGTTGTAACGCCAGCGCCTGTTGCGATTTCAGCAGCAATCAGTTTCGTTTCCATTCCGCCGGTTCCAAGGCTAGATCCTAGCGTCGATGTGCTGACTGGAGGAATGTGCTCAGCTTCTGCCAAATCATTACTGTATCTCTGGATCCGTACCTTGTGCTCGGATAGCAGCAACAGAGATGACCACATCAAGCTTTTTTGCGGAGGGATCTTTTCGTGGGTTGGTTGTATACAGACCATCGACGTCTGTAAGCAGGAAAAGGTAATCGGCATGAATCATAGAGCTCGTAATAGCAGACAACGTGTCATTGTCGCCAAATTTGATTTCCTACGAATAGTTAGCCCGCCCGTGTCGCCACTCATCATATCTGTAGTAGACACTTACGCTGACAGATATGGTGTCGTTTTCGTTCACGATGGGCACCACGCCCATCGACAAAAGTTCATTTAGTGTGTTGACAGCGTTCAAATATCGTGTGCGCTGGGATTTTTTCAGTGCTTGAACAGGGCGTCTGTGGAAAGCATCTTACATCAGATATATCTCCTCTTGTTAGCAGAACCTGAGCGGTTCGCTGATCAAACTGCCCGAAAAGATTGTCCCATAGTGCAATGAGACGACCTTGTCCTATCGCTGCTAAAGCCTTCCGTTAATCAGTCATAATCTTACAAGATACAGAAAGAAGACATACCTGCTTTTTGGACAGACTTTTCGGTCTCTGTGGGATATCCATCGTCCTCAATCCCACTCCAATCGCCCCAGAGCTGACGAGCACCACTTTGTGTCCATGGCTGCGTAGACTGATAACGGTCTCAACGACTGCAGAAAGTATGGACAAGAGGGGCTGGTGCGTTTCTTCATGGACGATGGAAGATGTTCCTATAGGGTTTCACAGATTACACATCTGCGGGTGGTGGGGCGGGGATAGTGACTACTAGTACTCGCCAAGCTTGATAACGATCGTGCTAGGAGGCCCGCGTTTGACTAGCCGTGACATTTTGTACAGGTCGAGGCGGTAGATGTGGTCGCGTCAAGAAGATGATGGGTAAGTTTACGATGGGTGACTTTTCTACGACGCTGACTCGGGCAATATGAGTCACAATGAAATGACGTGAAGTCTTCTAATAGTCTCAGGTGTCAGCAAATTACTTACACACTGGCAGCAGTAGTAGGCTACTAGTAGGTGACATTAAATTATCGAACTTATGGAACGGCGGCACCAAATATATATAGCTCATGTTCATTCGCAGAACATACAAACATCGTAACTAAATATATGCATAAAACATCACCACAACTCCTCCAATCGCTCAGATGCCTCAAATGATTAATTCATGGGAGCCCTGGCAGCTTCCTTCTCGCCCTTCAGGATGCGTTCGAGGTTGGCACCGATGCGGCGGCGCTGATCAAGGGTAAACTCAGGTTCTGGTGCAGAGTAGCCTAGTTCTGTGGGTTCAATCAGTATGATTGCAAAAATGTGTTTATGAAAATAAACTCACTCAGACTCGGATATTGTACAGGTAACTCTTCAGTCTTCACCGGGAGAGCAGATAGATCGAGAGGGAATGGAGGGCCAATCCACGCATTCCGGAGCTCATGGTCTCTGGGAGGCCACTGTCAGCTGTGTGTTATACCGGCGATAATCTCTACTCACTTTCTCTGCAAAGGTGTCGCCGCATCGGTCAGTCAGTCAAACACTCGATAAGCAAATGAATTACCGCTTCACGGGTCAGCGGGTGTATGAGTATGCTTTGGTTGCAATGAGGTGATGAGTAGACGTGACTGAGGAGAAATAAAGAAATACCTTAGATTACCCCTGTTCATGCAAAGGAACGAAAATACAGAGGAAACGAGGTCGAAGGTACCCAAATCTCGTATGAACCTGGGACCAACTTGGAGATGATTTCTTTCCAGGCAGGAAGGGTATGATAGACACTTACCAACGGGATGAGGGCCGATGGGGTCGGTGTTCACACGAAATAACGGCACAGCGACGAACGTTCCATCACGCCTTAGACGCAGGACAGCATCGCGTAATTCCAACGCAGCCTGGTGCTGGTCAGCGTTGCGCTGGTGGAAGTAGATATCTGCACACATTCTTCAGCGACCAAGAGATCGACACCTATACTCTCAACTCACGGAAGTGCCACTCTCTGTCACACGGAGCGCGAACGAGCCATGAAAAGAGTGAGTGATCAGTACTCATTAGTGAACTCGGGGCACTTACTTGACCTCAGAGTTAACAACTTCTTCAAGGTCGGTTGGTGGATGGTAGTCTGACATTATGACCCACCGTGGAAAAGAAGTGTGGCTCCGCAACTGGTCATAGCTGCCAATGCTAAGGATGATATATATAGTATGCAAGTGTCGATTCGCTGCCACACCAGCAGGCTCCAGGGATGGTAGTAGAATGTGGGGCTATGTCACACGGGCGAGTTCGGTAGAAGAAATGTGGGGTAGACGCGTTAATATTCGTATTCTGTCGGCTGCATTCTCCCGATCGGAAGATAACGATTGCATGGCCACTCAATTGGTCGCAGCAAACGGGTGTTAACATGTGATTACGTACTCAGAACCAGAGCTTAGTCGTAGACTACCGGTAACTAAACTAGACACCATGATAAACGAAATACAAATACATTGGAACAACCTTATAAATTATAATTAAGTTTGTTTCCATCGGTCAACCTCGTCTCCACAATGAATTGGTCAGTGTTCGACGTTGACAACGACATTTTAGAATTGACCAGGCCTGTTCAGAATGCGTCCAGGTATCCAGCAAAAAATATATCTATTGTTTTGCCTGATAATTCATGCCGTTTGGAACAGCCGCTTCATGCAATACTCACGTTATAAGCGGTTCAGCAGTGACTGACTCTCCAGGACCGCTCTGTATTTCAGAACAGACCCTTTGCGCATGGCGTGGAAAATCATGGAGATACTTTCGTCGACGAACGAAGAACAAGGTGGCGGTGTACAACCACTTGTGAATGTAATTTCACTCAAAATCATATACGACAACCGGAGGTGAGGCCTGAGGGCTTGCATATGTATTCAATGGATCGTTTATCTAACGCCGAATTTGATGCATATGGATCGCCGCGGCAGAACAGAAGCATGGTGGCAGGGTCGACTACAAATTGAGGCTCGGTAATCTCGGGAACGAATCACGCATGGCTAGGCAGTGTCCATCGATCCTACAAGTACGGTACCGTCGCTGGAGCCGTCCAGGCTCTTGGTGATGTATAGTCTACACTTATGCTCGTGCGGACGCCTTCCTACCACCTACTGCTTTTGTCACTAACCATCTCCTCATCTAGCCCCACCTCGATGCGTCGTTTTGCAGCTTCTACAATTTGGGAATCCGAGCTTCACTTTGCTGCGTCGTATTTGCTCTTACTGATATAAGAATCGCAGCCCACCTCAGCTCACTTTGCACAGGTCGCGTCACTATCGGGGCTTCCGCCCGAGAAAAAACTATCTGCTTGCAATCAAGCATATGTTTTTCTTCTTCGTTCTCACTACTTACACAGCTGCACAAGAACGCCCGCAAAGTGACCCACTCAAACAACACTACTCATTTTGAACTGACACAGAAAGACGATGGCTACCGTGTACTAGCTAGCTGTCATAAAATAACGGATGAGGGGCATGCCGTGAAGATCGAATGTCGAGGGTAGGAGAAGGATGTGAGCGAGCGGACTATTTCTAGCGCACAAACCACGTTACCGTCATGTATATATTCCCATGATCAAATCAAATCTAGACTCATCGTTTCGGAGCAGTTCTACCTGTGCATTAGTGAGATGTAAGGATGGAATACGAGGCCATGTAGAGGTATGGATTATCTGTCACAATTCACCTGTTGAAGGTGTGCCCATCATATATCAGTATAACTAGTACAGTGATTTCATTATAGAAAAATCAGGCGAGATGTACCCGGGCAAATTGATCAAGTCATGGTAGGCCAGAGTAAAACATAATTGGTGTCTAGCTATTCCTCCGATACATTAAATGAACTTCAGATATATGCCGCCACACAGAGGAGCGGCGCATGACATTCATTAAACGATCACCTCGCTGCCTATGATAGTTGCAGCGTTCCCATTGGCATTGGATCATCGCACCTCGGAGTTCAGGAAGATGGTCGTCGTACCAATGCTGTCTTAAATCCTCCAAGGTTCCTTCATATCCGCAGGGTGCGTTGTTATGTACCCACCGGCAGAGGAGGAGAGATGGCTGGTTGATCAGCAGTTCCGACTGGGCCGGACTTGGAGGGAGCTGAAACCCGGAGTTCACGCCTCCTAAATCATGAACATATACCACGCTTTGTGCGGGGTTACGTGAGACAGCGGTCCTGAGATTGTTTGGTGTCTGCGAGACAGCGCTACTCGTGTTGTCAGAATCGCGTAAGGTAGATGCCCGGGAGCGTACTTACTTGGAGTTTGTCGTCATATGAACGACAGAATGTATATCCGAGGCGGTCATCCCGTATTGCGAGGACTCGGGCAAAGTGTGGTCAATCGGTCCCGGCCTGTGTATGAGTATGAGGGCGTATACGAGCAAATAAGTGTGACGAAGGGCATACATCTGCAATGCTTGTGGAGACGAGTAGTCACTTCCAATTGCTGGATTATTAGGGACCCCAGACCTGGCACCTCCTAGTTCGTGGAGATATGGCACAAATTGCGACTCGCCAGACCAGCCAAGTGAGGCAGCGGCCCAGGGATTGTTTGGTGCCCACCAGGCAGCACTACTTGTGTTGTTAGACTTATGCGAGGAAGAAAAATAGTGCAATTACTTGGGATTTTCCATCATAGGGACAACGGAGTGCGTATCCGAGGTGGTCATACTGTATTGTGAGGACATGGGCAAAGTGTGGCCGATCGGTCCTGGTCTGTGTTTGAGTATGAGGGCGATTATGAGAGCATAAGTGATGAAAGGCATACATTGGGAATGAATGTGGAGATAAGTAGACCCTTCCCGTCGCTGAATGACTGGAGGTTCTGGACCCGGCACCACCTAGATCGTGGGGGGTTGGTGAATTATGCGGGGAACCATGAAAGATAGCATTTCTGTTTGATGGACTATCTGACATCCATAGGACAACGCTACTCGAGTTATATTTGTGTAATGACAATATTAGGGAGCTTACTAACTTGGGATCTGCCATCATAGGGACGACGGCATGTATATCCGACGTGGTTGCGATGTGTTGCGAGGACGCGGATGAACTGTGATCGTTTGGACCTAGCCTGTGTACAAGGCTCATCATGTGAAAAATAAATGGTGACGGAGGGCATACATTTGGGATGCGCATTTACTGCCTTCCATCGCCGGAGGACTAGAGCCGAAGCTGGCATCTGTATTGTGCTGGTTACTGTGAGGGGTTGGTGGATTGTGCGCAAAGCTATAATTGCCAAGTGTTGTTGATCTTTGCGGTGTTGAAGCAGACATTGTTCTAAGGGATGGAACGAGGTTGTCCCGTGTCTTTATACCATGCCCCGCCACAGCTAAAGAAAGGTGTCCAGCAAGCGTAAGAGTGTTAGTATGAAGTGATTTTCCGCGGCCTACAAAGAATGCTTAAAATATATGGATCGATTTGATGTTTTTTTGGAAATCAACCATACCGTTACTGCAGCATAGCGGACCAGGGAGGCAGGGATAAACTTTACGTGAAAACAAGCGAGCTCCAAACAAGACTGCTGTTCAGTAGCGGGTGTTGCGTTGCATCGCAACTATGTCATGTACAGCCCGAATACAGTGACCAAAATACTGACACCTTGATTGACGATCATGACGGACTCGAAATCGATGGAATGAGATTGGGGAATTGCGCCAATTTCAAGATGCGTCTTGAAGTTTCACATCCATGGGATGTTCCTGTGGATGGTCATACTGAGCCCTCAGTACATTCGGACAGTACCGGTATGCAGGGTTATGCAGGCCAAACTTCTGCCAGAGCCGAGTCGTTCTTGGAACTCTCGCCGTGAACCAAGCCCTTTGGTACGTTCAAATGGGGATTGTCGCATGACCTAGAAATAACGGCAGATGCCATCAGTGACTCGGAACTGGTAGAATGATATATATGTAATAGCATACTATAAAATATATATAATCTCATTAATGTTTCATATCATATGGCGACTCGGAATTTGTATGAAGAAGCTTTATCATTGTATGCTTCAAGAAAATAAAGTCCCACACATAAAACCCCTTGGCTAGACTTGTGACCAGTCCGTCTATGAGGTACTAGTAAGCCGTCAGACACTGCGCGCTCAGGCTGGCGCTCGATTTGATCCACCACACGACATGATCCCACGTTTCGAGGCCCCTGATGAGCTCAGGCTTCATCAAACCTTGAGGTTGCCTACCATCAGCTCCCTAGTATGTCCTTCTAACACTCGCTTTTTTGCTGTGATGTGTCTCGTAGCCACAGGGTTCCCGAGGAGGTTCAAGTTCACAGGTCGAGGGAGGCATAGTAAGTACTAGGGAAGAGTACATGCTAGTATATTATTGTTTGACCGCGATTTATCATTGAAAGCGACTCATCGGCCCATCACGAGCTTGCCGCGAGCGTTGACATGTACAGGCGTTGACTCGCCGGACACGTAAAACTTTGCAGGTCTCGTGTGTGCTTCGCATGATGCATTCCTCACTTCTTCTCTGCGCTTATCCGCATTTGCGAATCACGCACCGGTTGATCGGAGATCTGCAAGCTTGATCCTAGGCTTCAAATCTCGGCTTTTTCCAGATCATCTTGTGCTCGGCCCAGACCCCGGCTCTTGCGCTTGGTGAAGTCTCTTATTTCTCCTCTCCCAATCTTACTACTTCGTCTACTCATATCACTATCAAAATTAGTTGCTGCAGCAGTTCTATGAATGTTAATTCTCTCAACTCCACCTCTAACCACGCGATAATACAAAGGTCGAATGCAATGCCTTTTGGTTGATCTGAAAATCAGACTATTTAATATTTGGCTGATTGACATCGCCGATTCGTCGGATATCTGCTCTGTTGGACTCAGTCGTACATGATGACTGTACGAGCACAGGAGTAAAAGGATTAGTAATACATACATAGATGAATAATGTAGGGAACACCGACTTACCCGGGAATAGCCGGAGCGGTGTCGATTAGTAAGCACAGCACGGAGAACAGACAAGTCCGTTTTCATATGTTTCGGATCGGACGCATAGTATTAACCGTTTAACAGTATATATATTGTACGAAGTAGTTACAATGAATTCAGCCTTTTTATCAAATATTCTACTCTAAAACATCTACTCTAAACTACAGATAACTACAGGTTATGAGCCCTGCTCCGACAATCATGGATAACACGCACCACAGCAGCTCCTCATTGTACACCATCCCCAAACTTGCCGACGATAGCTCGAATTGGATAACCTACAAGGAAAGAGCGTTAACAGTGATCCGCGCACGAGGATTGATGCGATACCTTGATGGTCGAATCAAAGAACCTACCCCATACAAGACCAACTCGGCTGGAAAGTACGAAAAGGCTGATGGCACGGTAGCAACTGAA